TTCTAAATGTCATTCTTGTTATTATTGTAAACCACGTCTTCTAAGTTATGTATATTGACTTATTTATTATCCTATAATTTCATTAATTTGTACAAATAATGAGCTTATCTTTTTCATGTACAGTGTATATGCTTGATTGTACCGTTTAATGTATATTGTTTGAATTGTAGAAGGCCCCGGGGAAGAATAGTACTTTGTACCCATCCTTATTAAAACTTTACTCTTTTTGCCTCTGATATGCCCAGGTGCAGAGAAATTTTTTTTAAAGAAATAATGCATTTTTATTACAGATTCACTATATTATCAATAGAGCCCCCCCCCCCCCTTCCTCACCGAGAAACACCATAGCCTTTCACCCTGGGACCAGAAGTTTGCTCATCATAAGTAATCACTTTGTTTATCTGCTTAACACTAAGGAGCAGACAGGATTATTTAATAGAATTAATGCATGTTCACTATATTATCAAGAGCCCCATCCTTACACCAGCACATCTGACCCAGGAGTCATGCAATTCACTACTCTGGAAGAAGCACTCTTGCTCATCATAACTATACACATAGCTTCTTCGCTTTTTAACCAGAAGCAGTAAAAGAATATTTTCAAAGAAATTTTGCTTTTTCACTATAGAAATAGACCCCCCCCCTTTTTTTCACCAGAACCCTTGACCCTGGGGCCATGAAATTCACAATTTTGGAAGAGGCATCCTTGCCTATCATAACAATGTACTTAATTTGTTGAAATAATACCCAGGGGCAGAGAAGAAGATTTTCAAGGAAATAATTCACCTTCACTATAGGATCTATATACATGTACATTGTAGCCCCGCCCTATTAGCAGAACCCCTGATCCTGGGGCCATGAATTTCAGAATTTTGGAAGAGGCATTCTTACTTATCATAATAATATACTTAGTTTGTTTAAATATTACCCAGGAGCAGAGAAGAAGATTTTTAAAGCATAAATGCATTTCACTATATGATAAATAGAGCCCGCCCTAACACCAGAACCCCTGACCCTGGGGCTATGAATTTCACAATTTTGGTAGAGTCACTCTTGCTTATCATAACTGTGTATTTAATTTGTTTAAATAATACCCATGAGTAGAGAAAAAGATTTTCAAAGAAATAATGCACTTTCACTATATGATCTATATAGCCCCACCCTAGCACCAGAACCCCTGACCCTGGGGCTATGAATTTCACAATTTTGGTAGAGTCACTTTTGCTTATCATAACTATGTATTTAATTTGTTTAAATAATACCCACGAGCAGAGAAGAAAATTTTCAAAGAAATAATGCACTTTCACTATATGATCTATATAGACCCGCCCTAGCACCAGAACCCCTGACCCTAGGGCCATCAATTTCAAACTTTTGGTAGAGTCACCCTTGCTTATCATAACTACACTTGTATGTATTTAATTTGTTTCAATAATACCCAGGAGTAGAGAAGAAGATTTTCAAAGAAATAATGCACTTTCACTATATGATCTATATAGCCCCACCCTAGCACCAGAACCCCAGACCCTGGGGCCATGAATTTCAAAATTTTGTTAGAGGGCTCAATGCTTATTACAATCATGCCAACAATTTGACTGCTTGATGTCCAGGAGTAAAGAAGAAAATTTTTAAAGATTGCATTGCATTTTGGTGGTTTTAGCCCCCACCCCTCAGGCCCCAGGGGGGCAGGGACCATAAAATTCACAAATTTTGTTCCCCTTTACACATAGATGCCATATGCTAAATTTGGCTGAAATTGGTTCAGCGGTTTCAGAGAAGAAGCTGAAAATGTTCAAATGTTAACACACGAAGGACGACGGACGACGACGGACGAAAACAGATAGCAATAGGTCACCTGAGTAACTCAGCTGACCTTAAAAGACATTGATGGTAACCTAACATCAAAACTTAATGATAAACGTATTGGCTTCAACTTTTCTATCGTCAACTTCATTTAATTATGTAGCAATACACTCTTATCACCTGTATATAGGGTTTATAGCTCCCAGTTGATTCGATACACAAGAGCATGCTCCACGTACGAACAATTTCTAAAACGAGACCAGCTGCTGACAAACAAGTTGATGAAAGAAGTATATAAACAGTCTTGTATAAAGTCATCAGAAAATTTTATGGCTGATACAATGACCTTGTCAGCTAATACAATCTATCACTAAGTCGAATGCTGACTAACGTTTTTTAAACTAACTATAGGTCATTATTTACACACAGAATTTTCTACGGATTTGTCCGATCATGTGACCGGTCGACAGGGGATGTTTACTCCTCCATGGCACCTGATCCTACCTCTTTTTTTTTAGAGGTCCGTGTTTGCTTTGCTCCCGATTTGTATTGTTTCAATGGACTATTGAGCTTGATTATCTTTATATTTCTTTAACAAATGAAGTTAGAAAAAATTATCCTGAGAAATGTGTAGAGAAAGTACGAGGGATGGTTGATGTTATTAAAAAAGAAGTGGAAAGGCGTTGACACTATCATATTTATAACTACACCACGAGAGGACAACCCCATGCTAAGGGAAACTGTGAGATCCTGGATGGGATGGTAAAGAGGGACTACATGGAGTATCCCGGAGTTCATATTTCTGACAACGAGAACATGTGACGTGGACATCTGGCAGTAATTAAGTTACTGAATCCCAGTGATAAATTTCACATATCTCCGAAGGAACATCTTTATTAGCATCCAACATCAAGAGAGCAAGGGACATACTAATAATTATCGAAATAGATCGAGCTACAACAACTGGGATAACCACTTCGAGACGAATAACCATTTACATAGGAGCAGTTCAAGCTGGAATCATCGCTATCAGAACAATAATTATAACTGCCAGTCTAAAAAAAAGTCCGAACTATTTTCGTTGAACATAGAAAGGGCCATCAATACAATGGTGATTATCTGTAGATTTAATTCAAAGTTGTTCTATAGATTTGATACCCACTTCCGCCCAAACCCAACGCCCCGACATTTTAATTAGAACTATGTATATATAATAAACATTACATCTATTTTCTTTCTAAATTTATCGAGAATTTATTGAACTCAATCAAAGAAATTTAGAAACTTATCATTTATAACCTTCCTTAATTTTACATATAAATACAAGTTCATGGTATGTTTTCTAAGAAAAAAAATGAAATAAATTTTTGTATTGTGTCACTTATGATTCTGAAGTGTGCATTTTTTATTGATCGATCTTGGTGTTTCGTTAGAAGGTGAACGTTAAATAGAGAAATACATTTAACATGGAATGGCCTAAACACACAATCAAAATACTATACAAATATTTACCTCTTATAGTTGACATTCCCGGAAATAAATCAATAATTTTGCAATCAGAAATTAGAAAACGATAACTACTCAACTCCGGCCGGAGTTCAATTGAGACTAGCACTATAAATAGCCAATGAAAATTCCCAAACCTGCAACAAAACGAAAGCAGGTGTTGCAGTACTGTAAACATTTCTTTCCGCACATACCGAACGAGGAACTTTTCAATGGTACTGCGATTACGACAAACCTTCCTTGTTTGTAATGCGTTGTTTGGTTTGTCGAGTATAAATTACGTTACTAGCACAACGTACAGCATATTTTAACGTATGCATTTAAATTTTTTATTTGATTTTGAAAGTTTCTTTAAAAATGATTTTATATTTTCATTCGAAGAGGATGCATTTCGGAAGTATATATATACTTGGAGATTAAAATTTAAAGTCCTTTCTTAATATTGGACAGTTATTGCTGTTCTATTAGCTATAAATAATTGTAACCCCCCCCCCCCCGAAAGTTAATAATAGTTTTATCATAATCATTTAAACATTTTTGTAACGTCATCTTTTGTTTGACCAGGTTCAGTTAAGTTCTTATAGTCCTTCACTCCATCCGATAAGTTTTAACTGATTGGACAGTTACAGGTAATTACATGTATAATTAACTGCAGAAAAAAAGAAGTGAAGAAACAAAGCTTGTGAACTTGTATAATTCATACCCGGAAACTTAGCATGTTACTACAAGCCTTCCAAATTAAACTTCACATTTATTGTAACACTGGCGTCTTTCTAAACATTTACAAAAAAAACATGCCAAGAAAAAGTACGCATTCTAGTTCTAGAGCGAACTCAATAAAAGCGGAATTAGCGTTAATCTGTGATTTTTCCCCAGGGAGATGTGCGCGAGGCAATTAATGTCAGAAGTTTTGAGGGAAGGATCTTAAGTTTTCCTGTTTTTAAATTAAAGCTAGAATACTTATTATTTAGAAGCCTTTGCACCTTTTTTCCCGTCCTTTTTTGGAGGGGGGGGGGGATTTTCCATGCAAATCATATGCGGTTAAAAAAGTAAAATAGAAGACAACGAAAGTGAAATAAATTATAGTAAACTAATTAATTGTTCAGTAAAAATTAGACGCCTTTCAAATTTTCAGTGTTTCCATATCAAAATATTTTTTTCCTAGTATAAATTAACATCGGGCACGATGAACTTGGTTGTTGTGGAAGTCTCGCGCCTTATTAAGGTATCATACCGGTAATTGACCAATGAAAATGAACTTAAGTCAATTGTAGTTCCATTCATATAAAATTATTATTTTTTCCTTTTGATTTTTTTTTCCTTCCAGTCTATTTTTATAATTTTTGTACCTGTGTCAAGTGCATTTTACATATTTTGTAAATAAATAAAGGTTTTTGACGGGAACTAATCTATTTTTTTTTCAGGGCATAGGAGGCTACTTCCTGGGGTAGAAGTTTATTTTTCTTTTACAAAGAAAACGGAAAACTAGGATCCACCCCCTCAAATCTGCTGCCGTTAATTGTCTCACCAGCGATAGGGGAATATGGGTGATTTGCATCAATTACACTTTTATTGACTCCATCGCTGTGGAAAAATGGACGTGATTTCTTGGCTTGGCTGGACACAGACGTGACACTATTGTTGAAGGATCAACATCTTCGGCCTTCTTGTTATAGGTGGACTACATGTACCTGGTTTTCGCCATTGTCTTGTTTCTCAGAGGTTCGCTTTATCATGTTGTAAATTTTGAATTTACTGGGGGGGGGGGGGTTAAATGCAAAATTTACAACATGATAGCTTATAATTTCTCACTGAATCAGCTGTTCATCCATACCTGCGCAACAAAGACGCGCAGCTGCTTTAGCCCACAGAGAATGATTTGAGAAGGAGCCCTAATTAACCCTGGTGTCCTGCACAACCTGGCAATGGTGTGTTGCAGTGGGTGAATATCGACAGGAGCAGGGGCATCGTCTTACCATTTGAAATATTTGCTCGGACGCAATTAAAAGGCTGATGACTTTCCATCCTTCTTTCTGTGAAGAAAAAAATGTTTAAAAATTATTATAAACTTAATACATGTATTGTCGAGACAAATCGAAGTTTACGATTTTTGCATGCATTGTCGAGACAAATCGAAGTTTACGATTTTTGCGTCATTACTAAACGTACAAGTAAATGTAGTAATTAAAGGTTACCTGAGGTTAAAACTTTTCGTACAGGGATACGACACATCTAACTAGGCATCTCGGATTTTAATAGGCATTAACGATTTTTGGAGCTGTTTTCTTCCACTTGCACATTTATACATGCATATGTTCTTCCTGTATTGCAGATATTGTCTACCTTCAACAGAATTTTTCAAAAACAGTTGGGAATATTCTCTAACACGCAAATTTCTGTGCTTCAATACAGCTTGAATGCAAAATTAAGTCCAAGTAAGTGGAACTGATCACCATGCATTTATCGTCGAAGAATGCACACGAATACACTGTGGTAACTCGTCATATTTTTGTAATCTCAGTTTACCCTATCCCGTCGCATGTGAAAAGCTGTTTTAACACCCCCCCCCCCCAAAAAAAAGCGCTGACTTTTTTTTCAGTGAAATGTGCCTTATCGCTTCTGTTATCCTTGATAGAAATGGAAGAGCAACCAGTACAAAGGTATCGAAATACATTTGGTAACATGTAAAGAGAAAATGTCAATTTATAAAAAATTAATACTTTTCAAATTTTAACAATTCAAAAAAGGGGAAGGGGCTTGGGCGCACATCTACTTCTGCTCTTAATTTACATGCTATATTTTAAATGAATTATTTATTCCTGCTATAAGTCTGTCATTAACTGTCAATAAACTAAAAGATTTTTTTATTGGAATTAGAACAATAAAATTCAAGGGAGGGATTTCATCTGGTTATGTAATAATTGTACCATGCATAGTTTCGTATTGTATTTTGTAATAATAAAGCAATAAAAGTACAGTCATTCACCTGTTCTATACATTCATTCAAAATAAGTGGTGAACTTATCACCATGAGTGGTAAGTAGAATGCACGGACACACTATTGCAAGAGAGATAAATCGTCCTATTCTTCATCTATCCCGTCGCAGCTGCGCATGCGAGCATTGTATCTTCTTTTTCTATTAAGACAACGTCCTTCCTCCCAGCCCCTTCTCTTATTTTTTGTATTAAATTTTATTATCCAGATAGATTACCAAGTTTTTATCATCTAGCTTTTTCTTAACAAACATCTGTCTACATTTTGCTTCTTGTTTTGTACATTTATAATTTTAGTAATGGATCCAGTTCCCTTCAACATCGTGGCTTTCCTCCCCCGTCGATCCTTTCCAGTGATACAAAATTGCTATACAAGCCATCGCTGGTTAACTGCTGTCCACCTTTCAGGGTTAATGTAATTATGGCTCATTGTCATACCTAATTATGGCTCATTGTCATATACTCAGCTAGGAACAATAACTCTTAAAATCATTATTTATGTAAAAAGTCTCAAAATGAAGCTTGAAATTGAAATCTTTGCGTGCATCAATTTTCATTTCATGCATCTCAATATGATTCAAGATTCTTTGAAGTTTTTGAAATGGTCTTGTAAATGGAAGTTGTCATTTACATTGAAATTTTAAATTGCTTGTACATGTATACTTCATGTAATACTGTATTCAACTATGCTTTAATAGTATATAATAATAATAATACCATATTATTGTCGACGGATTCTTCCGTTATTTCCCGAACATGACAAGGAGCACACGGCGGGTGTGACCGGTCGGCAGGGTATGCTCACTCCATTGCACCTGATCCCACCTCTGATGTTTTAGAGGTCCGTTTTTGCTCTTCTCCAAAATTTGTTTAATGGACTTTCGAACTTGAATACTGTTCGTTATCTCCATATATTTCATACATGTAATTATAATACTTAGTTGTGTGCAATTCAGAAATACCACAGATCCGTTTAAGAATTCTACTGCTGCAAACACTTGTGTCCTCTTTATAAACAACTTTAAAGCAATAACTGTCAGTTTTATAAACACACTAAAGCTAAATTTATTTTTCAAGTGAGACTGTAGACATGTACTTGTTTTACGAATCTAAACGTTAGAAAATCGATGTCCTTCTTTTGGGTTTCAATTTTGGATGGATGATGGGTTTCAGTTAAGAATATAAAATATTTATATCAAGGTTTTTTTAAAATCTCATTTTCAGTGGATAAACGTAACATTAATAAATATATATTTTTAAAAATGATGTAAATAGCAATGGTTTCTTGAGCGACACACACAGTATTCTAGGTTTTTCTCTGGTGAGGGAAAATTATATAGAGGACGGCGGACACTGGGATTCATATAAATACACCGACAGCTATTAAGCAGCTGTCAGTCAGAATATATATAATATATCCGAAGAATTGGTTTCAATTTTGATTGCATTACGAAAAAGAGGGATCTTAAGTATCTTGCAATCTAAGAATAAAGTCAATTTTTAATTTATCTTGCTTCTCCTGCTACACATAAACCATGCCAGTAAAAAAAATGACACAGTGAATCAAAATCAAATTTTCTTCTGTGATATATGTATCATTTTAAATTCGAAAGATTTATCCAAAATATGAGTATTGAGAAGTTTTTTACAAACTGAATTACACTCTAAAGCAAGCAAAGAGTGTTATGAATAAGTGACGGGAAAACGAAGGTTGTTTGTCATCGTCGCAAATTTTATCAAAACTCGTAAACAACACTGAATTCGGGCACGAAAAGGTAAAATATACATATTCTGATTATCTTTTTCGAATATTGTGTGGTGTGAAAATCCTCGATCAACCGTCATTTCACTTTTTGGGACTTGGATCAAATACTTCATTGTAACTTTTTTTTTCTGCGCACGTGTATATAGTACTATTTGGAGGACGAAGCAATGCAATATTTTTGTACTGGGCTAGCAATATTTTCTTGCCACAAAAGTAGACAATTGAGGTTTCGAGACCCGATTTTCATGAAACCTAATACTTTTAGGAATGGAATAAAATTTGCCTGACCCATGCGAAACTTTTTTTTTTATTATTCTCTATTTTTTAAATCACTAATTATGCATTTTTATAATTATATAAAATTTTACTCATTTTTACATTTGATATTTCATTTGTCCAACTTAAATTATTTCTATAATTTTGTTTTTAACATAGCACAATTTTATAGGTCTTACATGTAAGTATATTACAATCTAAGGATGTAGTGATTTTAAGTCTTATTTTCCCCATAATTTTAATCTTCAAATTCCTAATATACACAATGCAGTAAATAAATCAATGTTACCTATGCATCTTTACAATTCCAACTCGTTTTACCCCGTTCAACATTTAATATACCATTTTGTCTGTCTTAAATTATTTCTTATTATTCTTTTTACATACAATATATCACCATATATGCATTCACATATACTCTAAAATTTATTACAAAAATAAGAAGGCCTTCTAGGAGCTGTATCAGCTGATAACATCATTCCACAAGGAATACAATTAATTGCAGATACGGATATTTTGTCAAACATACTCTCATTGTCATCTTAATTATATATATTAATTACATGTCATTGTCTCCCATATTATCATATCAGATAAACCAAAGAACACAATGTCATACTTTATTCATTACTTAGACGTAAAACAATATAAAAACAAGAGGCCCGGGGGCCACATCGCTCACCTGAGCATTGTGGCTAGGCAAAAAGCAAAAATCATTTTAGTATTGCAATGCTTAAATGCATAAGTGGTCCCGACCTACCCCTAACAGGGAGGGGAGGGGGTATGATTTGAACAAAATTGAATCTACACTAACTAAGGATGCTAACATATTTTTTTTGACTAACTGTGACTTTTTTCCTACAAGTTTAAACTTTCATTGTGACCCTTACCTATCCCTGAGGGTCGTGATTTGATCAAACTTGAATCTACACTATCTGAGGATTCTTCCATATAAATATGACCAATCATGGCTGTGCTGTTCTAGAGAAGAAGATTTTTTAAGATTTTCTTATATATTCCTGTGTAAAACTCTGATCGTCCATTGTGGCCCCACCTAACCCCGGGGTCATGATTTGATCAAACTTGAATCTACACCACCTGAAAATGCTTCCATATAAATATGACCAATCATAGCTTTGCTGTTCTTGAGAAGATTTTTTGAAATTTTTCTTATAAACTCCTATGTAAAACTTTGATCACCCACTGTGACCCCACCCTACACCCAGGGGTCATGATTTGAACAAACTTAAATCTACACTTCCCGAGAATACTTCCATATAAATATGACCAATCATGGCTTTGTTGTTCTTGAGAAGGTTTTTAAAGATTTTCCCTATGTATTCCTATGTAAAACTTTGATCGCGCACTGTGGCCCCACCCTAGTCCCGGGGGCCATGATTTGAACAAATTTGAATCTACACCATCTGAGAATGCTTCCATATAAATATGACCAATCATGACATTGCTGCTCTTGAGAAGAAGATTTTTAATTATTTTCCCTATGTATTCCTATGTAAAACTTTGATCGCCCACTGTGGCCCCACCCTACTCACGGGGGTCATTATTTGAACAAACTTGAATCTACACTACCTGAGGATGCTTCCATGTAAATATGACCAATCAAGGCTTTGCTGTTCTTGAGAAGAACGTTTTTAAAATGCTTCCTATGTATTCCTATGTAAAACATTGATCGCCCACTGTGGCCCCACCCTACCCCCGGGGGTCATGATTTGAACAAACTTGAGTCTATGCTACCTGAGGATGCTTCCACATAAGTTTCATATTTTCTTACGCAGTGGTTCTTGAGAAGAAGATTTTTGAAAGATGCCATAAATTTTTCATGAATTCTCAATTATCTCCCCTTGGAAGAAGGCGTGGTCCTTCATTTGAACAAACTTGAATTCCCTTCACCCAAGGATACTCTGTGCCAAGTTTGGTTGAAATTGGCCCAGTAGTTCTGGAGAAGAAGATGAAAATGTGAAGCAACAACGACGCCAACTACAACGACGACAGACAACGGACAAATTTTGATCAGAAAGCTCACTTGAGTCTTTGGCTCAGGTGAGCTAATAACATGGAAAATAATTACTTGAAAGACTACATGAATGCATGTTACAACATCTTTGAATTAGTCTTATTTTAATTCATTTATCACAATGCGTTGTTGTCCGTTTTTTCGTCATTTTCTGATTTCTGAAAAATACAATAAAAACTCCAATATTAAGCCATTAAAATACCAAGGAAACATTTCCTTACTTGGCAAACTTTTGCAGCATTCTGTCACCTTAGATGAATTACTTACGTTGTATGTAAAAACACTCTGAGTTGTGAAATACATGTATTTAAAAACTTACCATTCCGCTGAATTAGCATCGTTGCATGTGTTTTCTCACATTTCATTTTCATATCAGAGAAGGAAACTTTCCATCTGAAATATAAACGGATCTGAATTATTCCTGTGCAACACTTAAGCAGGCTAAATTTGATGTGGAGTATGAAACTGAGACATACACATGCTCTTCGAGGTCAAGAATAGTTGATCCCTGTGTATTCCGACCATATGCCTTTTCTATTTTCCTACTGTTATCCTGGGAAAACTCGCACCACAAGTCATCCTTTAGATATCGCCATTGAATATCAGAGACAGCTGCTAACAAAAATGAATGATTTAATAGTATATAACTTCAATATAAATATACATGTATATAAATATGTACAATCACCGATTATTTCACAAAACTATGCAAAGAACATAATAAAACTGAATATTTTTCAAACTTTATTCAAATGTGAGATGTAGGATACAAACATTTTCTCCCTCTAGTTGACGGCATTGCATCTTCGATTTTAACGCTCCTCTGATTGTTTCTTCTATTCAGCTCCTCGACCGTCATTGTCTTATTAATGTCTTTGTCTTTGATTTCGTCCCCCTCTTTCGACTCTATCGTCTCTTTATCAGAAAGATCTTCAAGAATTGAAGTATCAGAAGCAGTGGCACCCTCTGATGGTAGATCCGTCTCCCCTCCTAGTGCACTTCCGGAACCCCAAACATGGGTTTTTAACGAACCAACACTTCCGTATACATTCTTACGGTCACTAATACAGAAATGAACAGAACATTCAATATATTTATATTTTCTTTCTTTTTTCCTTCGATAATAATGGTTTTATATTTAGTACTATACTCCCATTTCTTTGAATTCAGCCTTGCATATTAAATTGAAATTTTTAAATCAATTTGATGTTTCAATAGCCCTTTTTTGTAAACATACCATATTTTCACCTCAAAGAATCCATCGAATCCAAATTTATATCTTACTTTCTCCCTGTTTGGCCATCTCACCTAAAAGAAAGACAAATCGTATTGAAGAAAACTGCAGTCAATACATGATCATTAATTTAGACGGCTTATTGTAATGCAGAGGACACTTTCTCCCACGTACATGTATTGTTTGGCAAATCTTACTATGATCAGCCCATTTTCTTTAACATTGATGACTACTCCCACATTCCCTTTACCGCCATCTTGGTCGCCATATCGCCAGTGCTCTCCTACAATATAGACAGTAATGACATCGTCTCGTAAAAGTTTTTAAATGACAACAGACATTAATTAATCCTTTTTGAATTGATCACCTCTCTCTACCAGACAACCCACGGCGATCATTTCTCCCTTGAGAACTCGCGGTTCGTCCACAACCAAAAGGTCGTAACCCAGAAGTGGATTACATCTGTAGGTGTTTTTGTGTCCAGAGTCCCACTCTACCCATACACAAGTCTCCCCTGTTAAAGGTATAAAGGATATCGTCTTTATTACTGTAAAAAATGATTCTCTAGATCTAAGACAGGTGGGTCATTCTTAAACTGAAACCAATTATAATGCTCCTAATTACTTAACAAACTAGTCCAAAACTTCATTGTTAAGTCATATTTCATAGAATTTTTTAAAATACTTTTTCCCCTTTTCCTCTGTACTGCTTTAGCTACAAAATATTTTTTTAAAAAATAAGACGCTCATAATGGAAGCATTCGTTTATTGAAGCTATACATTGTTATACCGTCATGACCGATGACGGTCCCTGGACCATTTTCATCCTGATTCCCCCACTTCCAGTCCGGTCCTCTTCTTACCCTGGCTCCCAGGGATGGTAAATCTGACTCCTTAAGTTCCCGATGAACCTTTTCTTCAGAATTGTCTTGAAGGCTACTAAAGTATTTACCCAGATGAACAACTTCTTCCTAATAGAGTAAAAAAATGTATCTCTTCATACTTTTGAGAAATTATGAAATATAAATCAGCCATGTGTAACATTCATATTGTAATAGATATTTAAGCATATTTCATTAGTAAGTGTTTCATTTATTCAAAAGAAGCAATTAATTGTATATGTTCTCAAATACCATTTATCCTCACATTGCATTTTCTTCTTTTAAATCCAAATACTTACAAAGTTGTTTCCGAGTCCAAGACCAGAGAGCAGTGGGTTATCACTCAAACCCAGTATCTCCATCCAAGACAAATCAGCATTCTCAAAATCCAGCCCCTGTTTCATCATGATAATAGCCTGCAACTTCAATCAAATTTACAGTTTTTAACTTATTTTCGCATTTTATACTGCAAAATCATATATTTTCGTGGTCTGAGGAAAAATAATGGTTCGTGGGATTTTGTTTCGTATATAAAGAAGTGCTGAGTTTTTATATATTTTAAAATTTAAAATTCGTGGAGGACATGAATTCGTGGGTTTTATCAAACCTCGAAAACAACGAAAATTTAACCCCCATGAAATATTAGTGATTTTAAAGTAATGCGTTTTATAGGAATTAATTTACATAATTTTCTTCAAAATCATTTTTTTTTGAGCTGCAAAGACAACAACTACTTAAATTGATTTGAAAACATTCTTATATAGAAAAGATTTTCTTTATTTTAAATCCAGTTCCTGGGGTCACGGTTAACTAAACTATCGTTTTGGTGTCTTGCAAGGGAATAGAGATTTGTTTTTAAACATCTTTCATTTCCTCATGCAGTCTTTCTCATGTGGTATTAATTCAAGGTTGTTTAGGACTTCTGGCTCTGAATGAGGATGGAGTAAAGGTTTTTTTTCATATTTAGTCAGAGGAGAGCACACAACTAAAGGGTTTCAATGCTTCTCTTTTAGTGTTAATAAGAGCAATGTTGCCTAATATGTGAGCATTGATGCCAACATCCCGTAAAGTACTTGTTTAAAATATAAAACAATCAATATTTGTGAAAAAACATGAAGTCGTTTCTCTCTGTCTATACAGAAATATGAAAAACATACGTTGGAAAAATATAAAAGTAATTAAAAGCTTTAATTTTAAAGACATAGGATGACAACAATAAAAAGAGTCAATGAAAAAAAGCATATATCAATGCGAAATTAAAACATAAAATGTTCAATACAAGAGGTGAAAGTTATAAAGTAGTCATGATTTTATAATAAATAGTACACTCATGTAATTGTGTTCTTTTTTCAGTCATATATTATTAGAAGTCAGAATAGATTGTTTAAAATGCATTTACAAAAATATGCAAGTGAAATTGTTGTCTTGAATTATCTTTCTCGTGTTTGTTATTTTAAGTAGTTTTAGTTACATGTATATGTAAAGAAAAAAACTTACTGTGTTTTGTGTCATACGAACCAACTTGTCAATTTCCTCTGATTTGTATATCTTCCCATGTGTCTTTTTACAGATTATTTCTATCATATCCTGAATCAAAGGATATAAAATTTGTAATGATGAACTTTCTATCCTCTTGAAGTGATAATGATCCAAGATTTTGCATATTTGATAATGCTTGACAATGAACAACCATGCTTTTTTGTTAATGCGTGAAATTTTGAATCTGTTTTTTTTCTCTATTGAAGAAATTTATATCTGTAAAGAATTCCTGCTCCTGCACATACACCGTTTTGAAACTATTGATGTCGACATCTGGGTCGCCTGACTTCATTTGTACACTTTTCCAATAAGATCTCCAAAATGTTAGAATAACCATAATATTGACCATGAAAAAATATACGCTGTGAAATGGACCATATCACTGAATGCAGTGAAAAGTTATTTACTTTTTAAGTAGAGAAATACAAAGTAATGATATTGATCTTGTTTTGAAGTAAACATAACACAACAAATCCTAAGACCATCCAAACTAATTGTATGCTTCAGATAGATATCTCACCGTCTCTGTTTTTTCTAGCGTTACACAATAAACTCTGTGTTTCCTTTTCTCCAAATCCTCAACTGTCTCATTCAACCAGAGGTATTTCTTAAAAATGCAAAATACGGCTGAAGTTGGAAAATATCTAATAATATTCAAAAAATTCAAAACAAATTCTAAGACTTTATAATTTTTTCATAAATATCAGTAGTTTATATTTATTTCGAGCATTCTTAAAATGTCAAACCATCAGGGTTGTTTCCTTATTGGTTGGAAAATCGTCTTCTCCAGAAGCTATTATGTCGGGAGTTCCTTTGCCATCAGTTATAAAAACGATCCGGGGGGCGACGGGAATGTCGTGAATTGTAGTATGAGGAGCTGTTAAAAAAGATAAAATTATTATGTAATTACTTTAAAAAAAAACTACAGAAATTAAAGCATATGGAAATTTATTCTGAATATGCAATGTATGCCCACTATAGAAAGTCATTCAAAAGAATATAAAAAAGTTGTATTTGGCTTAAATAAATAAATATTTTCGGTATATATTAAAACATTTTTTTTTTGCGTTTGAAGATGAAGATCAATTATCTTACTTACCATGTCCTAAGCAGCAAGCCAGAGCCATGTACAAACCAGCAGATACAGGGGAGGGCCCTCCAGGGGTCAGTAAATCTAGTAATAAATAATAATAATAAAATAACCGATTAAACCTAATTTAAAAGATAATTATCAAATAACTAACTGACAATGTAATAATCAAATAACTGATTCATAACATGAAAAAAGTAAGTGTTTATTTACTTCATAAACTACGGGTCCAATATTATTTCACCTAAAGTTCTATCTTTACTTCTTCAAATAATGGCTTTATATTCAGAAGTGAAAAAAGAGAATTAGATCACATAATCAATATGCTGTGGTTCATGCTGACAAAGCAGGCAATAACAGTCTTTGCTTGTAGGGCTCTTGGAATTCCCATGGGTGCTTATTGTGTCCCGCTATTAGCAAACCTGTTTATGTTCTTATGATGCAGAATTTATTAAAAGAAACTTGTGTGTGAAAGAAAAAGTCTCTTGTTGTGGTCTTCAATTCGACCTTTAGGTATATCGACGACGTTTTATCAACAAACAACATTCACTTTTATTCCCATGTTGATTCGATATCCCATTAAACTCGAAATAAAAGACACATCTGCTCCATATTTAGATATTTTACTAGAGAAAGACATTGACTGAAATTTATTAAAAATATTTTTATCGTCGACTTCCTTTACTTATGTAGCAATACAACATTATCACCTTCATGGTGGAGTTAACTTGGAGTTAACTTATGTCTCCCAATTAATTTGATACGCAAGAGCACGTTTTACATAGGAACAATTTTAAAGACGAGGCAGGCCATTGACAAATAAGTTGATGGTAGAAAGATATCTACAATTCCGTTTAAAGTCAACATTTTTCAGATTCTTTGGTCGAAACAATGACCTTGTTTGTAAAAACAATCTGTTGATAGAATAGAATATTGACTGATGCCTTTCATACAAATTGTTCGGCCGTTCCTTTCACACTGAATTATCTACGGATTTTCCCGTTTACCCGATCATGACAAGGGGCAGACAGTAGGCGTGACTGGTCGAAGGGGATGCTTACTTTCTTATAGCACCTTATCCCATCCCTCTTTTCTGAGGTCCGCGTTGGCTCTGCTCACGATTTGTATAGTTTAAATGGAGTATGATAACCGTTATCTTAAAATTTCACTCTTAACTACTCAGTAATCATCGTCGCAAGCCACGGGTTTTGTGTCCATTTCATTTCCACAAACCCGTGATTACCTCCTGCAGAATGTGCTCGTCCTTGTAAATATTAAATGACACACATTAGGAGTTGATGTGTACGCTCGTTATGGTTACACCCAATTATAGGATAGATTGATCATTTTGACTGTACAAAAAATTTCTGACAAAGAGCTTTAGATCATTGTTTCACTGGCTGAGTTCAAATGAGTAACGTTATTCAACTTATTCACACAAAATCTGCATGCAAACCCCTGTCTTTGTATTGTTTAAAAGCTTTTTAAGTATTTAAAAAATATATATTTTACTCGCCTCTGTTCTACAAGATTTATCGCATTTTTATAATAAATCTGCCACGCCATACGATCATTATTTCATTATGCCACGTAAAGATATTCAAAATTGCTATAGAGCATTTCATTCGTAAAGAAAAATCTGGCGTCACTTAACAGTGAACTTTGTAGTATGCAGCCATGGGTTTGTGGAAATAGAATGGACACAAAATCCGTAGCTTGTAACGATTACCAATAGCAATGTCCATTTTGTGATACAAAACTCAATATATTTTGTGTACTTTGTATTTTCAAACAATTAAGAATTTCGAAAATATAACCATTTTTAATTCAAACTATAGATACACTAACACCATCTACCGGTATTCTTTTATTTGAGATAAATCTCAGTGCAATATCGAGTCTATTTAACACTTTATCGTGCCCCATACACAGCTTTGTCATTTTTTCACTGCGACATACATCATACCTAGTGTCTCTAACACTTTATCGTGCCCAGTCTGGGTCATTTTACTTTTCACTAACTGCAAGATATATCATACCTAGTGCTTCTAACACTTTATCGTAGTCGTTAGTCATGTGCTGCACAACTCTCGTCTGTTCTCCAAATGTAGCAATTCCAATGTTCTCCTGTATCTCAAGCACTTTCGCTACCTCTGAAATTCCTGCATAGAGAAGGAAATATCGAAAATGAATTGATTGGGGCAAAAGCACAAAATATATAATTTGAAATTCTATTTTACTTTCATGTTTGTTGGAATTACATTTCTTACCATTAACGAAGGTTTTGGCTGTATTTATCATCTCTTCAAACATGTCCCCTTCCATGCTGCCAGAAATGTCTAACAACAGACATGTATCTGGTCCCTTTCCCCTCTTTATGGTTGTTAAACTTAATCCTACAGTATTGAAAATTTAAGTGAAAAGTACACTTTCCTGTAGGACATTCTCACTGGAACTTAAAACCGTTACAGTTTCTATTCACCATGAAATTAACAATCCTTGATATTAATTGCTTCATATCTTAAAAAACACTGTCGTCTGAACCTTTTTCCTAGCAAATTTTTGTTGTTCAGGAATAGAGTTGAGGTGGTAGTGATTATAGTTTTTACATGTATTTGGAAAATATTTTTCCTACACTTTTCATTTTTTTTTCTCGTAACAATTAAACAGAGGAAAAATAAACCATTGCAAATAATATTCTACAAAAAAATTTATTGGCCTCTTCATTCCTTCGAAATTTTAATGCGTTTTGGATCAGTTTTTGTAAATTTTCTCAGCTGTTCATCGCAGAAAGAATTAACATAAACGGTGCTGTAGGTAGAATTCAATTAAGAGATATCCTGGTATATCTCAGGGCCTTATTTTGGTTCCCCTCAATTCCTATAAAGCAATCTGTTTCGGCACCAACAATGCCTTACGGCAATGATTTTTCAGGAATTGAGTACTCGGACATTTTTCAAAACAACATAGTTGTCTGCACGCGCGCTTAATATCTTCACCAGACGCCTTACTGTAACCTTACCACACCCTATCGTTTTTAACTTTCAAACAAACAAAATTCTTGTCGTTTTGAACATGACTATTTAAAATAACTCTGAAATCAAAGAACGTACTTGTAAGATTTATTTGTAACAAAATTAAATCCCCCCCCCCCACACACACACAGAGAGAGAGAGAGAATTTCCATCGTTTCTTTATCTCCATTTTCTCTTTTACCTCTTATTCTCTCGGCCTCGGCCATCGTTTTCCATGTGCTCATTTCCCGAATATCCGGCACCGCCTGTGGATCTTTACTGAGTCCAGCTGAAGTTAGGAAGTCCATCATGTTCAAAGATTAATCAGGAAAAATGTAGCATTATGCTGCATTGCTTTATCTACATTTCATTTTTTTTTCAAACATAAAATTATTAAATTTTCAATATTAAAACTAAAGAAGAGAAAAGGTTTTTCCATATACCTAAATTTTTGTATTCGTTTCTAGCTCCAGCTGCGTGCTGAATAGTTCTATAAGACAAAGACAAATATTTCTATCAGATGTCTCTTTCATTCAGCATACAAATAACCTAATGGCTCAATTTTCAATTAAAATAAAACCCACACATTTCCAGGAGGAAATCTCATTTTCTTTTAACATGGAGGACTTACAGTTTTGGCCTTTCTCCACTCCTCCGAGTTTGTCTTCCCTTCGTTATTTTTTTAATTTCGTCTCTGGTTGGAAGATTCTTTTTGTCTTCTCTCTCTTCTTTGACACTTTCTGATGAAGGAGTAGCCATCGGATTAGTGGTTTGACCCTTTTCAATGCTCTTTCCTTGCATCAAACGCACACGGTTGTCAATTTCCAGTGAGGTCGTGCGTCCACGAAGACCAAGCTGGTTAAATTTAATTGGGGATTTTGGAGTTTTACTTATATCTTCCTCTTTATTTTCACTGCTCTTAGGTTCTGATTTGTGTTCTTCTGACACCGGAACTTGTTCCTTTGTACCTATTACAGCTTCCGTGTTATTTGGTTTGTTCATAGACGTTTTGGTAGATGGAACACTTTTGCCATCGCCAACAGCCTGAAGTTTTCTTATAGTAATTTTAGGACCATTTTGGGAGTGTGGGATAACCTTTGCTTGGTTTCTTGTTCCTTCTTTATGTCCATAGTTAAGACCATTTACTGATTGACTGAGTTCCTCTACTTTAGCATTAAGTCGGTGCAAGTTCTCTCTCAGCAATCGGATCTCCTTGTCGGATGTGTCGCTTTTTTCCTTCATCGATTGCAGCGTTTTGCCGAAATCTACATGGTAATTTTTATTGGCTTTAATTTGACAATTGGAAAAATTCTACAGAATTCGTTATGGAGAATAGAAAGGAGAGCAAGAATTTATTTATTATGGTATAAAAATAAAAAAAAAAGGTGTATATCGCGATAACGAAAGATAATAATCCAGCAACACGGGTAAAGCTGAGCAGATTTTACTCTGTGATCTTTTGTTTGAAAACATACCTGTCCATTTCTTGTCTACAAACTTTTGGGACCTGAAGAAGTGAAGAAGAACATTTCAATTGTGATTAAATATTTGAATTTTTTCATTCAATTTTCAGCAAATCTGAGCCAATAAATCAAGTGATTTATATGCTTTTGCCTAACAATTTTGTCGTTGCCAAATCTCTTAAAAGTATCCATGGATCACTTCATAAAGCATTTTTGCTGGTATATACATGTATATATATAAGATATTGGAAACAGATTAATCATATGAGAGTGATGAAACTTTTTATAGGTGAGATAATTTTAAGACTTATTAAAAAAAAAGATTAAAATTTTCGAATTGCTGATGAGAAGTCGAAGAGACCAAGCATTCAGATCCTGGTCAACAATTGCAAGGGATATACACGAAACAATTTTAAATTTAAATGTACAAAAGCAATGCACTGATTATCTAAAATTGCAATTCGTGGTGTGACGAATATGTAAGTACAGTGTATAAACACTCTCAACTCAGAAACAACAAAATGTTCTCTTTTGCCATTTTGATTATTTAAAGTTAAACAACACATAAAGCTCAACGTAGTCAGAGGAGTGTTGAAATTTAATAATTTTGCACACCTGTATGTGGTGTGTATTCAAGTTTATTCCAAGTTATTACATACCTTTCTTTTTCATTTAAGCTCTTCAGAATTGTTTTGTTCGATTTTTCCAGCTCAGTCACTTTTCTTGTCAAGTCTTGTAACTTTAAAAATAAAGTACATGCATGGTTAAAGAAATAAATTCATTTCGTAAAAGTCTCTTCAGAATTTTAACCCTTTTTTGGTCTTTTAAAACCATCTTCATGGAAATCTCTTTTACAATATATTTTAAATACATAGATATACATAAATCTTAAAATATGTCCCAGACCCCTCTCCATCTCTTAAAAAAATAACTTTAAAGAGTCGAAGATATGAAAATTCCCTGTAAGTAATGTTTGTTAATTTTACGTCTTTTCGAGAATTTTTCCTTATGTTTGGTCAATGGAAGCCATCAGTTGTCGGTGGAGGTTTGCAAATTTAAGCGAGAAAAATATGGAAATTTAAATGAAGCATTTTTCGAATTTATTTTTTAAATAATGTGAAAGATTGTCGCCCAAAGGGAAGAAATAAAACGGGAGTTATTTTTTCTATTTTATGCTTCAATATGATCACTACGTGTGATAATCACTATTTATTTATTGAATAAAAGTGATATGATGTCACAGTGTGAAAGAATATCAGAAGTGCAGCAAAATCCTGTCTCTTGTGAAATTAATTCCTTATTCAACAACACAGTACTGATTATCATCTATATTATCTAGTATATTATAATGGTATTCGAGATATCGGTGTTCGAGAAACCGAAGTTTAACTGTATTTTATAAAATCGGATATTCATTCAATAAACTGTTTTAATTTTAATTAGAATTAAAATGTCCTAAAATTATAAACATGAATAAATAGATATTATAATTAAAGTTGATTTTTTTGTGAACATGAAAGGAAACAAACTGCTGGTTTTTACTATAAATTGAAAATTATATCTTTAATAAAAAGAAATATTACGTTTCGTTTCTGTGTACTTTGGTTAACTTTCTTTTCCGAGATAAAATTTCAAATAAAAATATTCTCTCTTTCGGAAACAATTCAGAACTTGATAATTTTTTTGCATTTATTTATTATTGTTTTCACTTGTCTACTCTGTGTGTGTGTGGGGGGGGGGGGGGAGGGGGCAGAAATCCAAGGCAACAACGCTTTCGTTGTGGCTCATCTGATTTATTTTTCTCCTACTCAAAATTGAACAGTAATACCAGAAACTGTGTTACTGATTTTGGAAATAATCCTCCTCGATCCCCTGAAAAAACCTTGACCCATTTGCAAGGCGAGAAATTATTGTTGCTTTATTTGGTATAAACAAATCAAAATTAATGTATACTTTCTCTAAATATATGTGCAAAGTTTAGATGGTTTTTACATTCAAATAATCCATGACATGGAAAGCTATTCTTTCTTGATCTATTTTCGATTTGGGAAGGGGACAGTCTGTATTTGGAATGATCAGATAATTATGATATAAAGATTTGTGTTACATTGAGTTTTCTGAAATAAAAGTATGTTGTATTATATTTACAGTTTATAAGTGTTCTATAGATATATTAGGGTTTTGTATGTAAGAATAATTAGTGTTTACTTACTTGCTCAGATACGTTATCTTTGGAATCCATGGTTCTCTAGTGGCCACATCCGTTTTCCTGCAATAATAGATACTTGAATTTTCCCTATCACAAATAATTTCTACTTTCGAAATATGCTTAATAAACTTTAATCGGGTTAGTTTACTTAAGCGAAATGCAGAGTACTTTCGTTTTCGACATAAAAAGCTTCATACGATCATATGATAATGTACATGTTCTAAATATTATAACGAATGTGCGTATAAGAAATAATAAGATGTAACATACCTTTGTGCAAGATCTAATTACTAGTAGCAATTTCCTGATAAAATTACTGTTCTATTTATAGAAATAGGAAATTTTTCGGAAACCTGGCAATTTGTCAATTTTTAACGATCTGCCGAGGCCCTCTATCTTTCTTCAGGTTGAGATGTGTCATTGATAATCAACAATTTCTAATGTTCAAAATATTTATTAACTAATTTCCTTATCATATATAGTAAAAAATTAAATTACAAGTTATCTAATATGTGAAATTTTCATTGTTTGAGATGTAATTGATTACATATCTTTCAGATAAAAAAGAATTCATGATATTCAGGCTTTTTGTCGTTGAATGTCTTCTGTTATAATTCAATAATGAAACCAGTAAAATCGATCAAACTTCTGTATCATTTATGCATTCTAAAACCCCCAGATCCATTTCCGTCGGAAGGGGGGTTAATCTCCCACCCCTTCCCCGGGTTCCGCTCTGTACCTGCTAGGGGCCTAAGGCGGCCCCAAGCCACTACGGTTTTACTTCACTAGAATTTAAAGTCAAGTTACGCCCCTCTCATGATTATGTTAACTAGTACATTGCAAGGTAATTCTTTCTTATTTTGGGAATCCCCTTATCTAAAAATACGAGTAGTTAATAAATTATTACTTTATGGTGTTCATCACGTAAAGTCGGAACATCCAGGTTTGCCACTGTTTTGAAAATTAAAGCATGTACTCGCTTTAATATTTTGCATATGTCAGATATATACTTAAATTGTATTAACTGAATACTTGAATTACAGTCATATAAAGTAAATAATGGCAGCTCTGACAAATAATGGATTATGCATTGATACTGAAACTGATCCACGAACCACCCTCCGAACTGCGTCACATTCTGAATGAAAATCCCGACAGACCAGCGTGGAAAGACACGCCCAGATTCCCACCTCTACCAGAACTAATCAGACACAAAACACTTGAAGATATAAGACCAATATCTTGTGTCATTGAATGAAAGTAAGTATTAAGAATAGAAAATCAAAAATAAAGAACAGAAAGTCATCTTTAATCAGAATATTCAAAATGATTATGTTTATCTTACAGTTAATCTCGGACATAGAATTTTACCATGGAACAGATGGGATCAAGGAAACCATACTTCTTTATGCTGCTTGCCATGATGACTGTATTGATCTATCCAAAATAACTGATAAGGATCTAGCACTAGACTACATGGAGGCAGAGAAGGAGGAGAACTACAAACATATAGCCATTCTGGCAGAGTACTGCCCAGTAAGCCGTAAAAACAGGCACATTGTGGAATATCAAAGAAAAGCCAGAGAGATGTTGGAGCCCAACACTCACATAAACACCACCAGGGGTCCATTTCTCATCCAGGAGGACTATCTTCATTGCTACAGACTGCTCCATCCACTGATCGGTATTGCAGCTCACTTGTCCTTTGCACACAATTGGAAAGACCATGCTACCATAATCTGCCCTGCCTACCTCCTGGCAAAACATCTCAGGGTTCCTGCCTTAATGTCTGAGAAGAGGAGGTGAACTGAGATAGAGCTGCATGGGTTTAACTGCAGACACATGGCTAAGAGAATGATTACAGAGATCCTTCAAGGTCATGTGGTGGATCAGATGGACAACATCAATCTCTGTGATGAGCAGTTTGTAAATTATTTCTGTGAAGAGATGGAGGAGGAAAAGAATGGAAAGGACTTAATTCTGGCTGTTGACAAGTTTTCTCCAGAGGGATATCCTAGAGGAATTCTCTACTGCTGTGTAGCTCAACAGGTTCCAAAGATCAAAATTTTACCATTTATAATAGAGAATACAATAAATATGACATAGACAAGAAAGACAAGGAAAATCAAATAACCTGGGCCACAGATGCAGCATGCCACTGGGGACGATTACTTTCAAACATTAGGAAAAAATTTACTTTTTGAGACTTTAAGATGTGCAGTTCTAGGTAAAAATCCATCCATTGTTGAAAATCTTATGAAAAAGCAAAGCTGGACAGAGAAACATGGAAAAGGCTTTGGAGTGGGCTTGCCTTCAGGGTCAGGAGTTTATAACACGCTGAGGGAACAAGTTTATAACACGCTGAGGGAACTAGGGACCTTCCCAACCACACAATGTCTATTTGAAAGTGCATTAAGTGGTAATTGTCAGATTTTTATGGATATATTCCAAAGTGGTATAGACTTAGCAACACTTCATTACAGTTCTTCATGCTGCAGCTGAGGGTGGCAATGTAAATATAGTCCAGATCATTCTACAGACTGGTGCTGATCCCAACTCCTCCAACACAGAAGGAAGACTTCCATTACATGTATCGCTAGATCAGGATTCATATGATGTGGCAGAACTCTTACTTTTCAGTGGCACAGATCCAAATGCAGCTGACAATAAAAGTATAACATTTCTACACAAAGCATGCTCCAAGGGAAACCTCAGGCAATTTGAACTGGTTCTGAATGCTGGTGGGAACATCCAGGCTAGGGATTCAAGGGGGAGAACTCTTTTACACAGAGCTGTGTTTAGTGGAAATACGGACCTTATCGATTAATTGACTGCAATGGGATTCGCTTCGGAGGAAAAAGACTTAAATGAGAATACACTAGTACACTATGCATCCCTTCAAAGACATACAACATTGGTAGAAAAATATGTAGACATGCTTCCTCACTATATTTCCTATGTAAATAAACAAGGCTGGAACCCTCTTCCCTGTGTATACTTCTTGGTGAAGAATGGAGCTGACAGCAAACAGGTGACCTGTGATGGTCAGTCTGTCAGTTCATTAGCCAGAAGCAGTCAGCTGCTGGTTGAAGATAAAGTCTACACAAGACATCTCAGAGACTTTGATGAATGCATTGATCTTGGCCCCTATGATGAATTTAGTCTGATTCTAGATTACTTTAAAAAAGATTCATCAAATGATTTTTAAACTACATGTATAATAAATAAATATGTCATACAAATGTAAAACAAAATTTATTGAATAACAAATAATATATGTTATTTTCTTTTAATGCATACATATAAACATGCAGAGGTAACACAGCCATACATACAATTATACAAATTTACACATACATTTAAATCTTGTAATTAAAACAGAGAAAATGTCTTCTTACAATTAATCATACTTAGTTGAAAATGAATATTTTTTGAAAGCACTTGTATGACAAATGTTCTAGAAAACAAACTACATGTATGGATTTAAGTATAGACCAGAACTATATAACTTGTGCTATTGTACAATGTATACTGTATTTTAAATAGTTAAAGGCAGAGATGTTTTACGGGGTGGTAAATTCCAGGTGAGGGAGGGGCTTATTTTGTACAGGTGTGAATGCCTTGAGGGCTAGCAGTCTACCTGTGGTCATTTGTCTCCTATAATCCCTACACACAGGAAGTAATTTAATACACAGTAGAGTACCCAAGAAGTCAAACTTTACCTGTGTTGTAATTCTGAGATGATTTTAAATTAGAAATAAAAAGTTGTAAATAAAGATCTCAATAATTTTGTAATTGAATGTGTGTCAAAGCATCCTCACCCATTAAAAAATATTATTATTCAACGTATTTGTTGAACTTTGAAAAAGAAAGTTATACCAAATTTTAACATATATTACCATAAAGGATGTCATAATTATTTCAAATACTAAAGGTGTGTATGTATATATATTATCAAGCTAAAAATTCCATAGTAATACAGCTTCTCTATTGTTTATACCATTTGTGGTAAATATCAAAGGATCAAAAGTTAATCTGAAGGTCACCATGAGTGCCAGACAAGGTGTACAGTGTATACACAGGGACTTGTAAGTAAATGTCAATCACGTTTTAGCACACAATGATGTACCTTAATGCACTTGATTGACAGGGATACACAGACCAGGTATTTTTGAAGGCGGTGCTTAAAATCTCTGCCTTTAAAACACATGAGCTTAAATCCAAATCAGACTTGACATAGAATTAAACCAATCAGGAATAAAACATTTAAAATGCAGAAAATGTTACAAAATTCTCTTTTAAATATAACATTTGTTCCCCAATTTCTTCACAAAATGTATCTTGTTTTCTCGGGAAAGAATCTCTCCCCATGTTTAACTGTTAATGTGGTTACTGTATTCCACACTTCTCTGAAAGAACAAAAGCATATACAAAGGTGATACTAATGAAATCAGTTCATGGTGGCTTTCAGGGAGTAGTTTTTATGTAAGAGGACCATGGGCTAAAATGCTCATCTTTGCCCTCCTCTTCAGAAGACTTTATAAAGATTTTACCTGTCTTTATTCCCATGAAAAATTTTGATCCCATATTGTGACCTATTCCTAGCACTTCTAAACTGTACTTAAATTCACACAACATGGGGGCAGTCTCAATTTTAATATAACTAGCATGGGCATGATGTGAACAAAATTGAATCTGTACTATACCTGAGGATGCTTGCATATTAATTTGACTAATGATTAATTTGGCTAATAAGAGCCCTGCTGTTTTGTTAAGATTTTTCAAAATGTTTTCCCTGTATATTTCAATGTTAATTTTTTGTTCTTCATTTGAATCAAGTTGGATTCCCTTCATCCATGGATGCTTTGTAACAAGTTTAGTTGAAATTGGCCCAGTAGTTCTGGAGAGGAAGTTAAAAACTGAAAAGTTTACAGACAGACCAACAGACAGACAGATAAACACCTGACATTACTTCAATCAGATAAAGCTCACTTGAGCTTTTGGCTTAAGAGAGTTTACTGGTACTCACTTGAGCTTTTGGCTCAAGTGAGTTTACCGATACTTCTGGAGGTAAATGTAACCAAATCCAAATTCACTAGATTCGGAAAGTAGTAGAGCTTCCTATCATTGTGCTTTGTTAACAAATGCACTTATAATCAGATGTACAAGTTATTCCCCATCCTCAAACAAAGAAGAAGTAAAATGTCAAAATATTCTAGAGCCACAGCTTTTACATCAGACAATTTACTTTCCCCTTGGAAATAAACAAATTAGGGTTAATGTATATAAGATGATTACAAGTACCTGTTTGCAATGTAATTTGATTTTGCCCATACCTGGTACATCCTAACTTGTGAGTCTCCAGAGGCCAATAATTAAATAAATTGAAAAGAAACAGTTTAAACCATGCAGTGGCTTACCATAATAATAATTTGATAAATTATAGCAAAGTTATTCTTTTTTAAAAAATCTGTAAAATATTGTGGGTCCGCCTTAGTATACAAATGTATCCTATTTGTTACATGATAACTGATTTAAGGTTGCATGGGGCAACTTTTTAAATGATTTTTTTTGGGGGGGGGGATATACCCAAGTTAAGATTTGAGCCCCCATTTGTACCTTTCACATCCCAAGGGAACATGATGTACAATCATCTTAATATTATTGAAGGTGCTAAATTTTAGTCTAATAAAATTGTTTTTTTTTTAGTCCCCTACCGGTGAAACCGGAGGGGACTACAGGTTTCCTCTGAGTCTGTCTGTCCGTCTGTCTGTCTGTCTGTCCGTCTGTCTGTCTGTCTGTCCCTCTGTCTGTCTGTCAGTCTGTCCCACTTGGTTTTCTGCACTTTTTTCCTAAACGCTTGCAGATATTGAGCTGATTTTTGGTATGTGAGTGTATCTTGCAGAGTTACAGATCAAGTTTGCATTTCGTTCCGCTTCATTGATTTTTGACGGAATTACGGCCTTTTCAATATTTACGGGTTTTCCGCAATTTTCTTCTAAACGCTTATAGATATTGAGCTGATTTTTGGTATGTGGCTTTACCTTGATTAGTTATAAAATAAGTTTGCATTTCGTCCCGCTTCATTAATTTCTGACGGAATTATGGCATTTTCAATTCTTAACGGGAACCAGATTACACTTGCCGGTAGGGGACTAGTATTGCTAATGCAATACTCTCAGAATGCTTGTTCAGATGATGTATTTAAAGATTTGTTCTTGTGAAATTCATTTGTAAAAATTTTCAGTTGAAATTCAAATGATAGCCTAATTGCTCCCCATTCTGATGTGTTGTATGCAAGTATGCTCTATTAAATTTTATTTCAAAATGTATGTATTATTAGTAAACAAACACACTCCATCCCACATCCAATGAATGGATCTAGAGGGGGTCTGAGGGGGGGGGTCCAGACCCCCCCCCCCCCTTGAATTTGCAGAGTTATTAAATGTATATGCTGAAGGAAAGAAAAAAATGACTTTGGGCCCCCCTAGAAAACGTGGACCCCACCAACACCACCACAAAATAGGTGTTTTTAACCTTTGGGAAACAGAGTTTAGTTTTTAGTTTTTTTCGCTTGTCAAGAATTTTTCTGGGTTTAATACATTTGGGCTTTTGGGAAGGGAATTAAGTTTGTTTTTTTTTGGCCTGTCAAGGAATTTTTTGGGTTGGAATTTTTTTTAGGACTTGGATGGACCCCCCTGGTAAAAATTCCTGGATCCGCACCTGCATCCACCAACATGTGGTAGTGTGTGATTCTCTACAGTACCTTTGGCTAGTGGGTTAATTGGTAGAGCATTGAACTAGCATGCCAGAGGAAGCAAAACTTCTCTGTTACAAACATGCACACATACACAGATATACAAGTACCACCACTGCCCAATGACTTAAGTTTCATACATGATTCCATATATGAATAAAACATCCAAATTCACAATAAACTGATGATTTTTTTTTTCAAAAATTGATAATGGATGGTTTAAACTGTATGAGTGATTGCTAAAAATTTCAATTTAGGCCTGTTGAGCTATAGATATGTCTTATTTTATAACTACATCAGGTTTTATAGTATCTTTACCATTGTCAAAGAACTTCTTTTCATTTTCCTCTTCTGTGGCCGATGTGTCCTCCGTCTTCATTTCACGAACAGACAAAAAGGTCTTGATTTTCTCTGCCTCATCCATCCAACCATGTGATAATTTACCGATAAGGTCTTTCCTACGACCAGGCTTTTCCTCTGAAATGCAATCATTCTGACATTCTGAATAAGGTAATCCCAGTATCCTCTGATCTTCCACCTTCTCCAATAACTTTACTAAAGAATTTTAACATGTGTAAAGCATTTAGGAAGTATGGCATCTGCAGGCATGATTTCTGCATTACCTTTGAATTAGCTACTTTTATAATTTAAATAGCAGTGCACATCAATTAACCTCCATGAATACAATTGTGACAGTTTTATAGCTGAATAAGTGATACATGTATATCAATTGATTGCTCTAATAATAAAGTCAATAATTGTTTTTCACTCTACCTTTCAGGTACTTGATGAATGTTGATAATGCTAGTTCATAATGTTTCAGTGCTTGTTCATAATTTTCTTGTGAATTCTGGGGAGAAAACAAATCATATTTGAAAATATTCATAAATGTTGGAGACTATTAAACTGCAAAATTGAAGAACTGTTAGATCTGTGTGCACAATAAAATACAATATATATTATTACCTAGAATTAAAACCTTACTTCTGATTAAATCAAGATCTACATACCTCTGTATCTGCTGCCTTTATAAGTGTCATAGCTGCTGTTAATTCTTCATTATCTTTACACAATTCCACTACAAATAGAGGAGCATATTTGTGGGAAAACTGAAGTTGCATTTAAATAGGTTATCTCCCTTTATGAAACTTTTTTCTTTGAAATCAGATAGATGCTTACTGAGTTCCTCCATGGGGTCCTCTGAGATGGTTCGTTTGACCCCATTTACAGGAGGAGGGGGTCTCTTCGGCTTCATCAGTTTCTTTAGTTCCTCTGCCCTGTTCATGTAATCTTTCACCTTCACTCGTATGGCCTCTTTCTTCTTCTCATCTTTCTCAACTGATTAAAAATAAGATAATTTTTAAAATCATCTTTAATATTAAAGGATTCACAATATCCTTAATGATAATCAATATCTTTGCTTGTACAATTACATGTGTATTTCTATTTACAGTGGTTTTAAAAACTACTTGAGATGAACACTTGAAATTAAGCTTTACTAATGATGCACAAGTTAAAACATTTCAAATTTTAAATAATTCATTTGTTACGTACAATTATATATCTCAGCCATCTAGTTATTCTTTCTAAAGATTTTAATAAAATTAATTGATTCATGACTCACAGCAAATACTCTGACCATCTAGTTAATCTTTCTAAAGATTTTATTAAAGTTATTTGATTCATGACTCACAGCGAATAGCAGGAACAAAATATTCTAAGGAATCACAGTAAAGTTTTATGGCCTCTTTGTACTCTCCATTCTGATCTTTTTTCACTGCATTAGCAACAATATTAACCTGCAATTAAATATAAGAGTTAACTCCCTTGTAGAGTATGATGACTGTAAAATTTCAAGCAGTGTAAATCCTTTCATTAAGGAATGAATTTAATTTTTAAAAGTTCATAAGACTTGAACCACGACACTTTTTGCAGCCTATTTCATGAAGCATGTTAAGTGAATTATTGATCCTCCCAAATATTGTCAGTCTTGGGCTGATGGACAGGTGTTAAGGTTGAAAACTGGGTATATGTATATGTAATGAAATTTACAACCAAATACATGATATACATGTTACTCACTGCTTTTGATAAGCTCTCATTGGAAGCACAGTGTTCTAAATCTACAAATGGATGTGTGAAAAATTCCTCAAACGTTATCCTCTCTTCTGGATTCCTCTTCAGTAGTCTCAAAATCAAGTCACGGCAGCTCTCAGATATGTTAACTCCATATGGAATCTACAAATATTTTACACCTTTAAATTTTGATCATCTCATTTTCTTAAATCTAAATATGCTGTGTATGAACAAGAAACTGATGGATCATACCAATCAAAAGAGTCATTCTGTTCTAAAAAGGCAAGTTCTTTTACATGAAGTAACAAACCTCCACAGGTTTGGAATCCCATATCTTGTTTTCGAGTTCTTTAAATGTCCTTGAAGCAAATGGGGCTCTCCCAAACAAGCATTCTATAAAAAAAAAAAGATGTTCAAGTAAATGAAATTTATATGAAAAGTATCAGAGCTGTGCATCATTATAGAGCTTTAATAAAGATTTTACTTTAAAAAAAAACACACACACATAAATTAATCAACACTCTTCAACTTTGATCATTTCTAAATGATATGATTATCAAAGTCTCCAAAAGAAAATTCTAAAATGCCTAGAGTTTTGAAATTCCTGCAATATAGTTACTGAGGACAAAAATACTTTCTACTGCAAATGCTGACAAAATGTTGTCAAAATGGTTCAAATTTATTCATCCTCCTCTGAAATTCCACAATCCATTCTTTACAGAGATATGGACTGGAAGATCTGTCAATTCTAGGTTTAACACTAAATTTTTCCCCAAGAAATTTCACATTTCAGGGCTTGTACAAGTTGTAGACTACAACCCCTATATACATGTATTTTTATGGCCTGAACAACATATTTAAACTGAAAATTCTATGATCTTGCCCAAAAGTATTTTTAAAGTTGTACCATAAAAACCAAAATAAAAATATTTTAAGCAGAAGAGTCAGACCCTTTGATCACATCCTGCTAACATTCCCATCCAACTTAGCTCTTTCATCAGACCAACCCATGGTAAAAATATTTTTAAAAAAACATCCTGACTGTTGTCAATAGGTTGCACAGAACCAAAAAAATTATCAACAAAAACAGCTAGCGGCAACAAATACCCTTTGACCTTGATATAAATCTATATTGAGCTTTTTCTTCGCTAAATCTAAGATGCAAATATGAATTTCTTGTTCCATATATGCAATTCTAACTTTATGTATGAAACCCTGAACATCCATAAATCCAACCTCCTCTCCTACAGGTTTCAATAGCATAAAAATATGACACAAATTCAAAAAATAAAATAAACTTTTTTTCTGTAGTTATCATCAATGTCTAAAATTTTTGACATTTTTGAAAACTTTGGTAAGACAATAAAACAAGAGGCCCATGGGCCACATCGCTCACCTGAGGACTTCGGCTAGAAAAAAAGCAGAAATCAGTTCAGTTTTGATAAGTGCCCCCCCCCACACCACACTGCAGGGGCAGGGGAGGGTGCATATGATTTAAATGAACAAATTTGAATCTACACAGATTGAAGATTCTTCCATGTATTTATATGACTAATCATGGATTAAAAAATTTTTACAGATTTTTCCCTTGTTTCCTATGTAAAAGTTTGATCTTCTATTGTGGTCAAGCCCTAACCCTGGGATTCATTAACAAGCTTGAAACTAAGTGAGGATGCTTCCATATCAATATGACTAATCATTACTTTGCTGCTCTTTAGGAGAAGATTTTTTAAAGATTTTTCCTATATACACATGTATTCCCATGTAAAACTTTGATCGCCCATTGTGGCCCTGCCCTAATCCCAGGAGTAATGATATAAACAAGAGGCCCATGGGCCACATCGCTCACCTGAGTAACTTCGACCATGCTGTTCTTTACCAGATTTCCACCCTTTTAATATACCTATTGTGGCCCCGCCCTACCCTCGGGGGTCATAATTTGAACAATTTAGAATCTACACTACCTCAGGATGCTTCCAAATAAGTTTCAGCTTATTGGTCCAGTGGTTCTTGAAAAGAAGATTTTTAAAGATTTTTCTTATATATTTCAATGTAAAACTTGGATTCCCTACTGTGGCCCCGCCCTACCCCCGGGGGTCATGATTTGAACAATTTATAATCTACACTACTCCAGGATGCTTCCATATAAGTTTCAGCTTTTCTGGCCCAGTGGTTCTTGAGAAGAAGATTTGTAAAGATTTTTCTTATGTATTTCAATGTAAAACTTGGATTCCCTATTATGGCCCCGCCCTACCCCGGGGGTCATGATTTGAACAATTTATAATCTACACTACCCCAGGATGCTTCCATATAAGTTTCAGTTTTTCTGGCCCAGTGGTTCTTGAGAAGAAGATTTGTAAAAAATTTTCTTATGTATTTCAATGTAAAACTTGGATTCCCTACTGTGGCCCCGCCCTACCCCCGGGGGTCATGATTTGAATAATTTATAATCTACACTACTCCAGGATGCTTCCATATAAGTTTCAGCTTTTCTGGCCCAGTGGTTCTTGAGAAGAAGATTTGTAAAGATTTTTCTTATGTATTTCAATGTAAAACTTGGATTCCCTATTGTGGCCCCGCCCTACCCCGGGGGTCATGATTTGAACAATTTATAATCTACACTACCCCAGGATGCTTCCATATAAGTTTAAGTTTTTCTGGCCCAGTGGTTCTTGAGAAGAAGATTTGTAAAAATTTTTCTTATGTATTTCAATGTAAAACTTGGATTCCCTATTGTGGCCCCGCCCTACCCCCAGGGGTCATGATTTGAAAAATTTAGATTCTACACTACCCCAGGATGCTTCCATATAAGTTTCAGTATTTCTTGCCCAGTGGTTCTTGAGAAGAAGATTTGTAAAGATTTTTCTTATATATTTCAATGTAAAACTTGGATTCCCTATTGTGGCCCCGTCCTACCCCCGGGGGTCATGATTTGAATAATTTATATTCTACACTACCCCAGGATGCTTCCATATAAGTTTCAGTATTTCTGGCCCAGTGGTTCTTGAGAAGAAGATTTGTAAAGATTTTTTCTATATATTTCAATGTAAAACTTGGATTCCCTATTGTGGCCCTGCCCTACCCCCGGGGGTCATGATTTCAACAATTTAGATTCTACACTACCCCAGGATGCTTCCATATAAGTTTCAGTATTTCTGGCCCAGTGGTTCTTGAGAAGAAGATTTTTTAAGATTTTTCTTATATATTTCAATGTAAAACTTGGATTCCCTATTGTGGCCCCGCCCTACCCCCGGGGGTCATGATTTGAACAATTTATAATCTACACTACCCCAGGATGCTTTCATATAAGTTTCAGCTTTTCTGGCCCAGTGGTTCTTGAGAAGAAGATTTTTTAATGACCCCACCCTATTTTTGTCTTCTCTTGATTATCTCCCCTTGTGAGGGGACTTGGCCCTTCATTTTAACAATTTAAATTCCCCTTTACCCAAGGATGCTTTGTACCAAGTTTGGTCAAAATTGGCCCAGTGGTTCTTGAGAAGAAGTCAAAAATGTGAAAAGTTTACAGACGGACGGACAGACAGACAGACAGACGGACAGACGGACAGACGGACGGACGGACGACGGACAAAATGTGATCAGAAAAGCTCACTTGAGCCTTCGGCTCAGGTGAGCTAACAAAACTGAAACTACACTATGTATTGAAGCTTTCAAATAAGTTTCATTTTTTCTGGCCCAGTGTTTTTGAGAAGAATTTTTTAAAAGATGCCATTAAATTTACACGAATCCTTAATTATCTCCCCTTGAAAGAGGGTGTGGCCTTCATGTGAACAAACTTGAATCCTCTTCACTCAAGGATGTTTTCTGGCAAGTTTGATTGAAATTGGCCCAGAGGTTCTGGAGTAGAAGATGAAATCGAGAAAAGTTTATGCCAATGCGAACAACAATGACAACACTAAGACGACAGACAAATTTTGATCAGAAAACCTCACTTGAGCCTTTGGCTCAGGTGAGCTAATGAACTATACAAACTATTTACATCACACATACCATACACAATTACACCTATAGACCAAAGATCTACTCTGGAATCGTATTTGCCTTTACAGATAATCTCAGGGGCCATGTATAATGGAGATCCTCTCAAAGTATGCAGCTCATCTCCTTGGAACAAGTGTTTGGAAAAACCAAAATCTGAAAGGTAATCAAATACACTGTTTCTGTAATACAGTAAATTAATTACAAATTGACCTTCAATATGACGGCCATTGGGATATAACTCTTTCTAAATCCTCATCCATTGAAAATTATCTATATATACAGACAAGTTCAATGTACTGCAAATAAATCTTCTTCAATAAAATACATCTTCATTTAATTTACCTCCAATTTTAACAGTTGGGTTCAAGTGAGATGTTAATAGTATATTCTGGGGTTTGAGGTCCATGTGTGCTATGTTAAATTCATGCAGATACTGCATGGCTTTTGCTGAAATAGAAAAAAACAACACTGTCATTTTGTACAAATGTTGAATTCTTATACAGTACTCTACATTCTATGATACACAAATCCATCTTTTGATAAAATATTATACTTAATATTTTTTAGTCTAATTGATCAAAAAGGTTTAAAATACATGCAGAATTATCATAATATTTATTATCACATTTTTACAGCAAAGTAAAATTCTAAAAATACAGCTCCTTGCTTAAAAAATTACTGATACATGTATACACATCCAAATAGGCAATTCCTAGTGACTTTTTTCTTTTGGAAACAAATAGAAGTAAATGTACATTTTTTTCTCAAAAAAATCATGCCCATCTTTAAAAGTATGTTGGATATTTCAAATGATTAAAAACTAGAAATATGTCCACAGGACATGAATGCCATGACATGAGTGTATATTAGTAATGCAACATGAAATTTGTACATGTATTAGCGTATGAAGTTTGATGAGAATATCTCATCTATATCTAAAAAATTAGATATAGATCACCAAATTATGTATACATGTTAGTGCATAAGCTTACATAAAAATATCTTAATTGGTTTCTTTAAAACTTAGCAAAATGCAAATAAAAGAAAAGTGAGGTCAAGGTCACAGGAAAGAGCAGGGTCAAAAGTATTTGATGCAGTTGAATAGCTCTCACTAATACATATCAGCATATTAATTTTGGTAAAAAATATCTTGAATGGTTTCTTTAAAACTGAGCTAAACACTAATTTAAACAAAGTTTTTAAAAAAAGTGAGGTCAAGGTCAAAGGTAAGGTCAAGGTCCAAAAATATTGATGTAGTTGAAAAGCTTACTTCAGTATGTATCAACATATGAAGTTTGATTACACTATCCTGAATGTTTATTTAAAACTGAGCTAAACACTAATTTAAGAAAAGTGAGGTCATGGTCAAAAGAAAAGTCAAGGTCAAAATTGTTGATGCAGTTGAATAGCTTACATCAGTATGTATCAGCATATGATTTTTGATTACACTCTCTTAAATGGTTTCTTTTAAAACTGAGCTAAACACTAATTAAAAAGTGAGGTAAAGGTCAAAGGAAAGGTCAAGGTCAAAAAATGTTGATACAGTTGTATAGTTCCACAGAAGGACAGAAAGAAGGAAGGACAGAAAGACGAAAGGACGGATGGAAGATTGACATGGCAAACTCTATATGCCCTGGCCATATTCACGGCGGGGCATAAAAAGTGTTTCCTTTGACAGATCATCTGCTTGTACATAATCATACCTATCTGTTGTAAAAATCGCTTGAGGATATTTTCAGGTAGTGTTCTCTTTGATCGTATGAAGTTTGACAAATCTCCTCCACTACAGTACTCCATGATAAGATAAATGTACTGGTCATCCCACTATAAGCAGAATTTTATGTATTAGAAATTGTGAAAAAATCGGGGAAAATTCCACAGCATTCACTGTGTTACGAAAAAATTATAATTGTCTTTCCTGAAAAACAGACAGTATTTTTACTTAAGCTTTTGCTCCTTACACTGTATATTTATCACTTGTATATTTTCTTTCTTATCAGTTTAGTGAGTTTACTATTTGTATATGCACTGTCAATTTGTGATTGCTAATACATGTAATATACAGTATTAATTCAGATGAATAATACTGAAGAGTACAGCAGTTTGATTGCATATATATATTAATAATAGCTTTGACTAAATAAAACACGATTCTAGAAAGAATAATGAAAAATGTATGACATTAACAAAACAAAATATGTGTAGTTCAATTAAATGAGAAATTGGCATTTTACATTTACTATAATTATGAGTAAATATACCTGAAAATCTTCAAGCCTGACAATGTTTTCATGGTTCAACTTCTTCAGTAGTTCTATCTCTGTGAGAAGGTTTTCAGTAGATGCTTTATTTAGGGAACTTTTCATAACACATTTTATAGCTACTACTTGTCTACATCCACTCTGAAATGATTATGAAAAATAAGTTATATATATTTATAATAAATACAAAGTATTTTTATACAAATTCATTATTTTTTCATCCCCTTCCGGTTATGGGATTAAACTTATAAATGTGAGTCTAAAACATCCAAGATGGAATGCTATATATATTAGACAAGACATTTAAATATGTTGCAACATAATTGTATATAAATTACAATGGCTGGGTATGATATTTAGTAGATTCTGATTCTAATGAAGTACAGAGAGAGAGTCAGATTCCAGTTCATATTTTAGAGAGAGAAAAAAAGAGTTAGAGAGCAGAGAAAGAGCTAGAGAGGAGAAAAATGGAATCTATCTATCATTATTGGTTATTTGATAAAATATGAATGTATATGTTTCCATTTCTACATTGCAATTACAAAAAGAAAAAAAAGACAAATTTCTTTACAGATAAAAAATGTGCATGCATTACAACTTTAAATTACTAGGAATATAACCAGCCATAATGAAGCAGTTGTGTCCGCACCTTCATTATTAGAAGGTTTCAAACTCCGACTTCATTCAGATTAATTTTATTCACATGCTCTCTCATCCGTCAGTTAAATGCCAGTATTGGTTGACCTAACGTATCGACACAGGTACAGAGAAACAGATTTCGAGATGAAACTAGGCTAAGTCTAAGAAGAGGTAGGCCTATTTAGTTTGAACATGACCTTCCTAGTTCCATTTTTTGAAAATTATCAGTTGTAAAATGTTTAGATGGAGTGTTCCATTCATATGACATTGTCCAGTAAATCTGATTCAGTTCTTTAATTAACTGTGAAGTAAATTGCTAGCAGACGAAAAGAGAACAGTCAGAATCACCTGACGTAAACAACAACATATCGACCTGATCTACATACAAACAATCGCACCTTTCTATACGCTTTGTAAACTGTAGCATAGGTACCGCTTCCTAATTTTTCTGTAAACACGTATCCAGAAAGTTTTGGGACTACTACGGGTACAGGTTTTGCAGATATTGGTCTTCCCGAAGTTGGCCGAGACATAGCGTTGTCATTTTTCTACCTCCCTACATAGAAGATCGAACACTCCAACATCCGGTTTTCTGTAAAATACAGAAGAGCATAGGTGCTAAAAAAGTAATTTGATATTTCTTGTAATCGAAAGTTCACGAAACTCAGATATATAGATATTGTAAATTTTGTATGTATCAACAAACAATTGGACGCACTTTAAGTGAAATTAATGATATCGCTTTCAAGTCAATTATACTGCCTTTGTTATGATGACTTTGATAGCTTTGTATGTGTTTCCATAAAAAAAAATGGAGGCACAAGTACGCGGTAACCAGGGAAAGTTGTTTACAAAGGAAACGGGTCATTTATCGTAGGGCGATACCATGACACGTCTTTTTATCAACGCCATGAAGAAAATAGCAACTTTATCTGTAGCAGTGCTGTGAATTTGGTGCGCTAAATCGTGCTTAATTGAACAATTTTATAATCACTGGTAAAACATTGGTTAAGATATCGAAAATAGAATACACATGTTCATTTAAATCACCACTCAGTTAAAGTTCCATTCGGTATTATCTATTATTTGTTAAGATTGTATGGATATTGTCTGTTGTTATTTGCCAAGCATTATACGACATGTCAACGCATAATGTATGATCGCTTAGAGAATGTTAAATGAAGTTAAATCAGATCTGTATGTTTAGTTCAGGAAAGGTTTTAGTAACAATGAATCAGAATGGCCTTCTTTACAGACTTTCTTAAAGTTATTGTTTATTTATACCAAAGGTAACTTGTATACCAACTTTTTTATGTCTAAACACTGATTCTATATTATGCACCTAACTGGTGTACTGATATTGTCTGCATGCTAATTTCACTCTATATAAGTCTGAAATTTAGGCAACTTGTCACATATTGAGTGATGTATGGTCTGAATTACAGCTCTTTTCCAATTTTTTTTTTAAAGAGAGTTTCCTGATAACAAAGATGACCTGATTTTTACTTTTGATAAATTTAATGTAGAAAAATATAACAAGAGGGCTTTGGAATGCCAGCTCCTCCCAGAAAAAAGACAGTAGTTTGCTACATCTGTGGCAGGGAGTTTGGTTCACAGTCACTGTCTATACATGAGCCACAATGTTTGAAAAAATGGAGGATTGAAAATGAGAAATTACCCAAAGCCCAGAGAAGAAAGACTCCAGTCAGACCTCAGATTTTGCCATCTATTGATGGAGGGGGTACAGACAATGGTAAACAAGATCACTTTTTATATAGTCTCAAGTGCAAGAATAAATGTAGCTCTTAAATTTCTTTATTGCAGAATTTTCAAAGAAAACTCTTTGAACTTCGTTTAGTTGTGACACATATCTCCAACCACAAAAAAAAAAAAATGTTTGCAAATATTTGTCATTTTTTTTTCTGAAGATATCACATTATGAAAAATAGGTACATTTACATATATTTCTAGGATGGTGTATGTGCAGAATATTTTAATCAATGAAGTCATGTAGATTTATTTAAATTTTTGTTCAAAAGTAAATTGAATTTAAAGTCTTGTCTACTTAAAGCATGTGTTTGCATGCATAGAAGCATGAAATAAATCATGTTTATACATGCATAAAATTAAGGAACATTCTTATACATAAAAAAGCAAGAGTTCCACTTGTAATTAATTCGCTTCAAAAATCACACAGTCGTAAAATTCTTATTGACCATTTGTTATGTACTCTGTAAATGGTTTTCTGCACTGGAAATCAGAACAAATTCAATTTTACAAATAGAGAGATTCAATGAAGCAGCTTGGCAGAGTGCCCAGTCTCACTTAGTTCCTTGTGAAAATTGCGGACGGACTTTTGCACCTGACAGACTGCCAATCCATCAGAGAGGGTGCAAACCAGGTATGGAACCGTTTGTTGAGCTTTTGATAAGAATCACAAAGTTAAACGATTGTTGGGGGGTTTAAATTCTGTATATAAATCAAACACTTGAATAGTTTGAAACTCATATCAAATATGTAGTTTTCAATTTGATTATTTGTACATTTATGTCTTCTTTTATGATTGAAATGAATGAATATTGAACAGGTCCTGTTTACTTTATGAAATGGTTGTTAATGACACAGGTAAACCTATGCAACCATCAAAAGCTGGAGGCACCACAGATAAAGGAGACCGACCTAAGACTACAACCATTACAGATCCTAAAATTGTAAAGAATGAAAATATTATAGGAAATAAAACTGTAAGGGTAGAAAATCCACAAGTGGCTAAACCTGGTGTTGAGAGAGACGTGACATTCACTGCACCTAAAAAAGACCCCTCTATGGCAAAGGCACCACCCAACCCAGGTTTTGTGTTGTGCTATATCTGTGGGAGAAAGTATGGAACTAAATCCATCAGTGTACATGAACCACAGTGCTTAGAAAAATGGAGAAAAGAAAATGCTCAGTTGCCAAAAAGTCAACGACGGAAGACTCCAGTGAAGCCAGAGATCATTGGGAGTGGATCCAACAATATTGAGGCCATGAATGAAGCTGCTTGGCAGAGTTCCCAGGCTCAGTTACTGCCATGTGACAGATGTGGGCGGACATTTGCTCCAGATAGATTGGCTGTTCATCAGAGAGCCTGTAAGGCTCCAGGGGGTGGCAAAGGAAAAACCCCTTCTGCCACTTCAACAAGTGGGAATACCCCATCTACTAACTCAGGGGGATCTAGTCCTGTACCTAAGAAGACAAATGCCCCAACCCAACCTCAGTTTGTCTTGTGCTACATCTGTGGAAGAAAGTTTGGATCTAAGTCAATCTCCATCCATGAACCCCAATGTCTTGAAAAATGGAAAGTAGAAAACAGCAGACTCCCAAAGGAGCAAAGGCGCCCTGAACCAAAGAAACCAGAGGTTCTTCAGTCTGGGGGGAAGTATGATGTAGAAGCCATGAATGAGGCTGCTTGGCAGAGCTCCCAGGCACAACTAATACCTTGTGATGGATGTGGTAGGACATTTGCCCCCGACAGACTTTCTGTACACCAAAGAAGTTGTAAGGGAGCAGGGAAAGGTAAGTAATGGTATATAAACTGAGTTTGAATTTTAAAAAACATACACTGTGTATATATACATATTTTCAGGGTGTGTTTTAAAGGAAGATGTGCATACTTAAAATTACTTAAAAGATGGAATTATGATTTTACATTCGAGAAAGAATATTTTGTCAGACTGTCTTTGTTTACACTGTTAATGAAATGAAATGCTTCTAAATGAGAAATAAGGGCCAAATAGTGTAAACATACTTTTCTCCATGGGATCATAATCCTTCCGGATGACAATTTCTGTTGCAGAGCTTTTGCTTTGCCATTGTATGTCTTAAATGCACATTGGATTTCCGCAGAAAATTTGTGACCTTGTACATTGCGTAAATTAATATTATGCAGAAAAAAGTATGTCTACAGTATTCAGATATATTGAAAATAAAGTCATTTAAGGGTTATCCAGTAAAAATAATCAGCATTTGAAGGGGAATGGACAACCAGTTGATACATTTTATGCCCCTGTAATTGAAGATTCTGGGGCTTATAGGTTTTGCTCTGTCTGTCTGTCTGTGTGTATGTTTGTCCACAAAATCTTTAACCTTGCCCATAACTTTTGATTGGTTGGAGGTGTGGCTTTCATATTTCACTATTTCACATGTGATTTCCTTGTGACAAGACCTTTCTTTGAGTACCAACATATTTGATCTCTTGACCTTGACCATGGAGTTTGATCAACTTTTGAAAAATTTTACCAAATTTTAACCTTTATGCCCATAACTTTTGAACAGTTGATTCTAGGGCTTTCATACTTCGAATGTGTTTTCTTTGTGATAAGACTTTCCCTTGGGTACAAATATTTTTAGGTCACCTGAGTCACTCAGGTGACCTATTGCTATCCGTTCTCGTCTGTCGGCGTCCGTCGTGCGTTGTGTGTTAACATTTGAACATTTTTAGCTTCTTCTCTGAAACCGCTTAACCAATTTCAACCAAATTTGGCATATAGCATCTATGGGTGAAGGGGAACAAAAATTGTGAATTTCATGGTCCTTGCCCCCCTGGGGCCTGAGGGGTGGGGCTAAAACCACCAAAAATAATGCAATCTTTAAAAATCTTCTTCTTTACTCCAGGACATCAAGCAGTCAAACTGTTGGCATCATTGTAATAAGCAGTGAGCCCTCTACCAAAATTGTGAAATTCATGGCCCCAGGGTCAGGGGTTCTGGCCCCAGGGTGGGGCTATATAGATCATATAGTGAAAGTGCATTATTTCTTTGAAAATCTTCTTCTCTGCTCCTGGGTATTAAATAAAGTAACTAAGTACATCGTTATGAAAAGCAAGAGTGCCTCTTCCAAAATTGTGAAATTGATGGCCCCAGGGTCAGGGGTTCTGGTGTTAGGGCGGGGCTCTATTGATTATCTAGTGAAAATGCATTAATTCTTTGAAAATCTTCTTCTGTGCTCCTTGGTATTAAATAAAGTAACTAAGTACATAGTTATGATGAGCAAGAGTGCCTCTTCCGAAATTGTGAAATTCATGGCCCCTGGGTCAGGGGTTCTGGCCCCAGGGTGGGGCTATATAGATCATATAGTGAAAGTGCATTATTTCTTTGAAAATCTTCTTCTCTGCTCCTGGGTATTAAATAAAGTAACTAAGTACATCGTTATGAAGAGCAAGAGTGCCTCTTCCAAAATTGTGAAATTGATGGCCCCAGGGTCAGGGGTTCTGGTGTTAGGGCGGGGCTCTATTGATTATATAGTGAAAATGCATTAATTCTTTGAAAATCTTCTTCTCTGCTCCTGGGTATTAAATAAAGTAACTAAGTACATAGTTATGAAGAGCAAGAGTGCCTCTTCCAAAATTGTGAAATTGATGGCCCCAGGGTCAGGGGTTCTGGTGTAAGGGCAGGGCTCTATTGATTATGTAGTAAAAATGCATTAATTCTTTGAAAATCTTCTTCTCTGCTCCTGAGTATTGAATAAAGTAACTAGGTACATAGTTATGATGAGCAAGAGTGCTTCTACAAAAATTGTGAAATTCATGGCCCCAAGGTCAGGGGTTCTAGTGTTAGAGTGGGACTCTATTGAGTGCCTTTTCGAAAATTTTGAATTTCATGGCCCCAGGGTCAGGGGTTCTGGTGTTAGGGCGGGGCTCTATTGATTATATAGTGAAAATGCATTGATTCTTTGAAAATCGTCTTCTCTGCTACTGAAGATTATTTAAACAAACTAAGTGCATGATTATGATAGGCAATGATGCCTCTTCCAAAATTTTCAAATATATGGCCTCAGTTTTTGGGGTTCTTGAGGAAGGAAGGGGAGGGGCTCTATTGATTATATAGTGAAAAAGCATTAATTCTATTAATTAATCATTAATTAATCCTGTCTGCTCCTTAGTGTTGAGCTGATAAATAAATTGCTTAGCTATGATGAAAATGTGAGCTTCGAACAGAATTTTTAAATCTTGTGGTCCTAGGGTCAGGGGTTCTGGCATAACTGGGGGGGGGGGGGGGGGGCTTTTGATAATATAGTGGAAAAGTGTTAATTCTTTGAGATCCATAGGTATGATGATAAGGGTAACTCTTCCAAATTTGTAAATTTCTTGACCCTTGGTCTTGAGTTCTGGTGTTAGGGTAAGGCTTTGTTGAATCTGTAGTGAAAATGCATTGTACCTGTGAAATTCTCCTCTGCTTCTGGGCATATTGGAAGAAAACTGAGTAAAAGTTTAAATGATACAAGTAAGCGTATTTCTACCAGATTTTTGAACATCTGGACCATTTGTCTAAGCATTCTAGTCCTGGGCAGGGCTCTATTAATTTGTATTCTACTGAGAGAAATTATTCCCCTTTTCCATTCACCTTTGATAATTAATCACTGTAAATAATGTATTTGAAAGGTTAATAGAATAAGATAATTATGCAAGAATGTTTATTATATAATTCAAAAAGTATTTTCTTAGTTTTAATAATCAGGTTGACCTGTAAGTAATAGATAAATAAAAATGAGACAAAAATAACTTATCTTATTAAAAGTTCTTCAAAGACCATAAGAGAGGTCAATGCTAGAGCTCTTAATATGGGTTTAAAAATAGTACTGAAGCACTAATAGTTTGTTAATAGTCTGCATGGTGATAGTGTTAAGTGGGGGACAGATTAGAACTTAATTTATGAGTTGAAAATGAATACTAGACTAATTATTTTGTTGATCCTGATCTTCCTACTTCTCTTGCTTTAGGGTAATAAAGCTTCATCTATCAGTGTATTTAACTTGTAAATTGTTGTATTATACTCAGGTGACCGTTAAGGCCCTTGGGGCTCTTGTTAACCTTTTGACCTTAGAGTTTGACCCACTTTTAACCTTTTGACCTTAGAGTTTGACCCACTTTTAAATAGGGGTGAAACGATACACCTCCTTCACGGTTCGATACGTATTGTATAATTTTGTCTCGGTTCGGTTATTTTCGATACGATACATTTTGATAGAAGGAAACAAATTCAAAGTTGTTTTATGCTTTCTTTTTCTAAATCTAGTCACATATTTTACGAATTTTATTTGCAAATTGACTAGAAGAAATTGATTAAAATTATTTGACTGTCAAAAATTATTTACAAGCTATCAGTCATCAAAAATTTATGTTTTCTATACTTATTTATACTGAGTAACGTGTTATACCTTATGCCAAACCCGACTGAATAACGATCCCGACCGAAAAATGAACCGAACCGAAAATTAGAGATTTTGCACCGTGTATCAAACCGAGAAAAAATACCGCGGTGCATCGATACCGCGGTGAACCGTTTCACTCCTACTTTTAAAAAAACTTTAACCTAGGCCATAACCTTTGAATGGTTGGAGCTAGGGCTTTCATATCATACAGGTTTATTTCTTGTGACAAGACCTTTCTTTGGGTGCCAACAATTTCAACCCTTTGATCTTGGGTTTTGTCCTACTTTTGAAAAATTTTAACCTAATCATAACTTTTCAATAAATAGTTTTAGTGCTTTAATATTTCACATGTATATTCCTTGTGACAAGACCTACCCTGGGTATCAACAATTTTTACCTTTTGACCATGACCTTTGCTTTGACCTACTTTAAAAAAAACCTTTAACCTTGGCCATAACTTTAATTTGGAACACTTGGTACAAGGGTGTTCATATTTTACAGATGTATTTCTTGTGACAAGACCTTCTCTTGGGTACCAACAAATTTTACCTTTGAACATGGAGTTTGACCTTCTTTTGAAAAAAAAACCCTTTAACCCTGGCCATAGCTTTTGAATGGATGATGCTAGGGCTTTCATATTTCACGTGTATTTCTTGTGACAAGACTTTCCCTTGGGTACCAACAATTTTAACCATTTAACCTTGACCTTTGAGTTTGACCTTCATTTGAAAAACTTTAACCTTGGCCATAACTTTTGAGTGGTTGGTGCAAGAGCTTTCATATTTCACATGTATATTTCTTTTTGAAAAGACCTTTCTATCGGTACCAACAGTTTTGACCTTTTGCCCTTGGAGTCTGACTTTTATTTGAAAAACTAATCTTTGCCATGAGCTGCCATATGGGGGCATCAGTGTTTCACAAATACATCTTGTTCTATAGCTAGGTGTTCTATTCCATTCTTGAAAAGGGGATAGCTGATTTAATTCATACTATATGCATAGCTGTATGTACACTACTGCTTTTAGCTCTTCTTTAAATATGGCCAGGGACATACAGCACTTGTCATGTATATTTTTTTCCATTCTTGAAAGGGAGGATAACTGATTTAATTCATAGTTATTGCATAGTTTTACAGTTGTTTAATGCCCCACCTTGAATATAGATGGGATGTAGTGCTTGTCTCCCTTCTTCCATCCTTTTGTCTGCCGTCAGTCCAACACACTTTGCATTTAGCTCTGTTTCAAAGAAACAATTCAAGATAATGTTGGTGAAAGGTATTCAATTGTGTCATAATTTTCTAACCATGACCTTCCCTATGACCTTAAGCTACACTTTTCAATTATTTCAATAAAATTACATACAAAGATACCTGGAGTGAGAGCATTTCAACTGTGATTTTTTTTTACCTTGCCCTAGCTTCCTTACACAACTTGAATTTGTAAGACCTTGAGATTTTCAAGAAATTTTTTATCAAACTTCTTACAAAGAAATATACATGTACTGGTAAGAATAAAATAATTTAAATCCACAGTTAGTGAACATTATTATAATTAATTTAGTTGTGTCTTTTATGGTCCATAAATTCTTGAGAGTTGTTTTTAGCTCACCTAAGCCGAAGGCTCAAGTGAGCTTTTCTGATCAAAATTTGTCCGTTGTCTTTCGTCGTTGGCGTTGTTGTTGTTGTTGTCGTTGTCGTCGTAAACTTTTCACATTTTCATCTTCTTCTCTAGACTTACTGGGCCAATTTCAACTAAACTTGACACAGAGTATCCTTGGGGTAAGGGGATTCAAGTTTGTTCAAATGTAGGGCCACGCCCTCTTTCAAGGGGAGATAATAAAGAATTAGTGAAAAATTAATAGCATCTTTTAAAAATCTTCTCAAGAACCACAGGGCCAGGAAAGATGAAAATCATGTGGAAGCATCCTCAGGTAGTGTAGATTCAAGTTTGTTCAAATCATGACCCCCAGGGGTAGGGCGGGGCCACAATGGAGGATCAAAGTTTTACCTAGAAATATATAGGAAAAACCTTTAAAAATCTTCTTCTCAAGAAAAACAAAGCCATGATGAGTTATATTTATATGGAAGCATCCTCAGGTAGTGTAGATTCAAGTTTGTTCAAATCATGTCCCCTGGGGGTAGGGCGGGGCCACAATGGACTATCAAAGTTTTACATTGAAATATATAGGAAAAATCTTTAAAAATCTTCTTCTCAGGAACAGCAAAGCCCTGATTGGTCATACTTATATGGAAGCATCCTCAGGTAGTGTAGATTCAAATTTATTGAAATCATGACCCCCGGGGGTAGGATGGGGCCACTATGGAGGATCAAAATTTTACATAGAAATATCTACTGAAGAAGAACTGCAATAAATAGAAATATATAGGAAAATATCTACTTCTGAAGAACTGCAAAGCCATTATTAGTCATTTTGATATGGAAGGATCCTCAGGTAGTGTAGATTCAAGTTTGTTAAAATGATGACCCCCGGGGATAGGGTCGGGCCACAATGGGGGATCGAAAATTTTACATAGGAACATATAGGAAAATATCTTCTTCTCAAGAACTGAAAATTGTGTTTAGTCATTTTGATATGATAGCATCCTCAGGTAGTATAAATTCAATTTTGTTCAAATAATGACCCCCAGGGGTAGGGTGCGGCCCAATGGGGGGTAGAAAGTTTTACATAAGAACATATAGAAAAAATATTTCTTCTCAAGAACAGAAAAGCTATGTTTAGTCATATTGATATGGAAGCATCCTCAGGTAGTGTAGATTCAAGTTTGTTCAAATCATGACCCCTGGGGTAGGGAGGAGCCACAATGGGGGATCAAATTTTTACAACATAATATATGGGAAATTTTTTTTAAAATCAATCTTTTCAAGTACAACAAAGCCATTTGTTATATTGACATGAAAGCATCATCAGGAAGTCTAAAATTCAAGCTCCCCCACCCCCCCCCCCCCCCCCCCCCCCCCGGTAATCTTTTCAATACTGAACTGATTTGTGCTTTTGCCTAGCCAATGTGCTCAGGTGAGCGATGTGGCCCCTGGGCCTCTTGTTTAAATGTTCCCTTCATGTTTTTGCCACTTCTTAATTATCTCCCCTTGAAACAGGACACAAAACTTGTAACTCATTTCATAAAGAATACTAGGTTGGATGACATAGGCCCTGTGGCTTTGTAAAATAGGTTGAAATGAGAAAAGTTTTAGACAACACACTACCTAGGACAGATGGACAATGAACACACTTAAACCAGGAAAGTTACTTGAGTCTGTGAGCTAAACATCCCCATGTTTTGATTAGTGGATTGTTTCTGATTTTATTCTAATTGTATATCTTTAATCAGACAATTTTGCTCGAATAGTTAGAGGAAATTGGAGAAAGAAATTTAGCATAATTAAAAAAAGATGTATTACTGACTTTATGGATAATTTGTATAGGTGCTGGAGCCACTGGTAAAGCTGGTGGCGAGAAACCAGGTTCTACATCCTTTGGATCACCAGGACCTGCTAGTCCAACAGGAAAGGGGGAACCTAAAGGGGGTCCTAGAACAGTGGTATGTTACATCTGTGGTAGGGAATTTGGAACTAAGTCACTCCCCATTCATGAGCCACAGTGCTTAGAAAAATGGAAGAATGAGAATAATAAGTTACCAAAAGAGAGAAGACGACCTCTTCCCAAGAAGCCAGAAGCTGGACAGACACTCTCAAGGTAATCAGACATTTTATAAAGGTTATAGTTTTCTGTGCATTTTAATGATTTTCAGCTCTTTCAGAGAGAACTAAAAACATTCCTCCATGAAAAAAAAAAATATTTTGTCTGTTGGACAAACAAACATGGAGCAAATAATTTACCTCCTTTTTGACTTTAGAAAAATCTTTTGTTTTATGTTAGACATTCAGAGACCTCTCCAAGATGCATGGTGATGTTTTGGATATTTTATTTGTCTTTTAATGGTATATATTTTTTATTACCAGAAAAGACTTATTTAAAAAAAAATGGACTCCCATAAAAAAAAACAGTAATACCATATAATATAAACCATTATAGAACATTTTATTGTTGAAAGGGGGAAAATACATGTATCTTCTTCAATTTATTTACATAATATGATTCCTCTTTTTCAAGAGATCAGATGAATGAATTGGCATGGGAGAATGCTAAGAGTCAATTGATTCCATGTGAAAATTGTGGGAGAACTTTTGCCCCAGACAGGCTAGATGTCCACCAGAGGGCATGTAAACCCAAGCCGGGTCAAGGTCCTTCTAAATCTGCAGCTACGGAAGCAGCAAAGGTAACTTCCCCTATTCAACGTGATCTCTAGAGGTTAATATATGTGTTTAAATTGTTTGAAATTTGGTTTTATATCTTTATATGACCTTTATACTAATAATAACTAATCTTATGAATATTTAATAATTTGATATGAAGAAAAAATATAGCATGACAGGCTTCCTCACAGGCTTGATAACAGTAAATGCTTTGATTAATACAATGACAATATCTGAAGTGAAAACCTTATGACAACTAAAGACTAAATAATGAGAATTTCAGAAGTAACAGTCTCTGTAATGAGTAATGCTAACATAAAAATATATTAATTCCCCTTCTAAAGAACCATTCTCTAAGCATGGTTGTTTTGAAATGTTTTGTTTTAATGTTTTGCATGATACATGTTAATTAGAATTCTTGTGCACCCAGCTTTTATGAAAACTTTTCACATCATTTCTACCCAGTCTTTCAAAAATTTTCTTTATGATCATCAATGTTACACAGGAAGACACCCCTGAAGCAACTGCAGACAATCCTTTTCCAAACCGACCTGTACCTTGTCATAAGTGTGGCAAAAGATTCCGCCAAGATCGAATAGATCTTCACCAGAGAGTCTGTAATCTCTTACTTAAAGCTGAGAAGACCGATAAAGTTTCCCGAGAATAAAGTCTGAGGCTGTAGGAGGTAAAGTGTGTCTGTGTGCTCATCTGTATATGCTAACAGACACGCTTCACCTTCAATTCTGTCCACTAATAAACCCTTAGCTTCAGCATTCTGAATTATGTTTATTTATTGCTACAAAAATTAGTTAAATGATCTGTACTGGTGTCCACTTTTTCAATTAATATAAAGTTTACTCTCCCTTGTCTGTCCAACACATGTTCAAAGTATTACAGTACCCTACAAGGTATTCATCAACTGGTCGCTTTAATTTTTCACCAAATGGTAGTGAAATTTTGCATTTGTTTCTACAATTGCCCATGTTTCCTTAGTATGTCATAAATTTCTTATTGATGAATACATCCCCAAGTTAAAAAAATTCAAGGCTTACTGTAAATTGAAAAAGGGATGGGAGTGTCAATGATGTACTGATAAAGTGGTACAATTTCTTACAGGAACTGTGAAATACAGTGACTGCTTATACCCATTTGTCTTGTACATTGTCCAATTATCCCTTGTAGATTTGTAGGTGCCATAAACTACAGTCACAATTGATATACCTGATAAATAAAGTATGACACTTAGAAACTGATGAAATGCATTATATCTTAATGCACAAAGGAAGGAAATCATAATGGTTGATTTAGAAAGGTAGCTAGCCCTTAGGTGATAGTGGGGCATATTTAGGTGAAGAGTTTCCTTGAAATTTCAGCCAGCACCAGTTATACGAAGACCCCCAACTATGGTGTGTTATATATGTGGACGAGAGTTTGGTACAAAATCTATCTCAATCCATGAACCTCAATGTTTGGAAAAGTGGAAAATTGAAAACAAGAAACTCCCCAAATCACAACAGAGACCTGAGCCAATTAAACCTACTGTCCGAACAATTGGAGGTTTGTTGTGGAGACAAAAAGATTTTTAAAGTCTTTGATACTGAAAACAGTGATTCTGTTTTAGTACCAATGCTTGTTAATGCAAAAAATGAACTGTGTTAAACACTGAATAATGCACTGATTGTTTTTTTTTTCCTTTCACTAGCATGTTTGTTGCCAAATGTTCACTTATAGTCCTTGGTGTCACAGACCTGTTTACTTTTACCATTGATTTATGAAATATTTGAATGTTTTGCTTAAAAGATAATTCATGCACATATTAGTGCTTTATATACTAGAGTGTACCAAGGAAAGCATATGCACCTGCTTTATAGCATTATTAAAGATATAAATAAATTTAAGAGATTTGCTGCTAATCTAACGATCCTCCAAAAGAGATTTCAGTCTGTCTTTACTGCATTTGTCAGTCTACAACAATCCATTTTGGTGTACTGATCTTGATGTATTTTCAAAGTATTTACATTTTAGTTTGTGTGGTAATTATTTACTATACAGTTTCAAAGAACAGTGTCAGAAGATCATAAACATGATATAAATGATAATTATTAAAACACTCCTCTCAAAATTCAAAAGACATACATGTATTAGTTAATTTAACCATCTGTAGAATTTTTGTAATGTAGATCAAAGGTCAAGGTCAAGTGAACTGTAATGCTGGTAGTTTTCATGTTTTTATGACAGTAAACAGAACACATGCTTTATAGCTGTATGCCGTATATCAGCACTAAGAACAATTTGGAGATGTAGGTCAAAGGTCAAATTCAAGGGTCACAAGGTTGGTAATCATAGCATTTTACTAAGTCATAGTGCCCAGCAATATATGCAAGATATCAAATCCATACCTCTTACAGTCTCAAGATATATAAACAGAGGGATAGACAAACAGATGCTGGGTTAAAGTGATCCCTAAGTGTCACTCTCTCTGCAGGCAACACAAAAATATGCCTTTGTGAGAAAGATCAGGTTATATCCTCATGAAGTTCTGAAATTAAAATCATTACATATATTACATTCCAACTCTTCACATACTAGTATTTTAATCAAACACAGAGATATTGATTATTCCCTTAGTGCCATCTGACTCTTACTCGTCTACCACAGTTTATCTGGTTTGTTACCAGGCGTGGATCCAGGAATTGAAATTAGAGGGGGCGGAATAGTAGGCAGGGGGTCTGGGGGCCGCCTTGAGGCCCCCAGTAGGTCCAGGGATTTTGTGGGGTAAAAATGAAGTCTCTCGAGTTGATATTTTTACATTTTCTCAACGAAACTATGAGTTACGCCAACTTTGACAATTTTAGGGGGGGGGGCGCCAGGTGCGCCCCCCCCCCCCTTAAATCCGCCACTGGTTACCTTAAAACTGAAAAATTACATCTTACATAAATATATTAGATATTGCCAGGCAAAGTGTGACAATCTAATAGACAGCTTTCTTTAAAATTAAATATGTTCTGTGGGAGACAAAAGGAGAATACCATTACAATTTTATAGTAATACATGTACACTGTTCCTGATGCAAAAAATATCTACCCCTGATAGTCATTTGGGTAATGGTTACCAGAGTCATACACATTGCTTTGGAAGTATCATTATATACATTATACTGACATTATGCTTAAATTATAGTAAAAAATCATTTACATTTAATGATCAACTGTCTTCATGCAGGGTAAACAGGTCTGAAATCAAGGTTGATGTGAACTTGCACAACTAACAAAAATTCTTTAGAAAACATCAATTTATTGTAAAAAATAAAATGAAAGGTTTTAATTTACTGTTAAAATGCAAAAGCACAGCAATTTGAGATTATGATAATGCTTCAAATTTGATATGAATTGATCTTGTGAAGTTTATAGAGCAGCAACTGGAAAGGATGTTTTCTTGATCTTTATTTGGTATTACAAATAAAAGAATATAATTTTCCAACTCAAAATATGGAGACTTAGAATTTAGTATAAACTGTAAACTATAATTACAGCCAAGGGAACCTACGATGTAGATGCCCTGAATGATGCTGCCTATGAGAGTGCTAAAGCCCAACTCCTGAAGTGTGAGAACTGTGGGCGAACGTTTGCACCAGACCGACTTCCTGTCCACCAGAGGAGCTGTAAACCCAAACCTCCAAAGGAGGGATAAACATGATGGACAACTGCAACAAAGTTATTAATGGGGAATTGTGATAGCTAATAGAAGTCTTGACTTTCCAGTTTAGTTACCTCTGTTATATGTATGCCCAATAGCTGTAAACTTTCCCTAATTATGATAGATTAAATATATCAGTTACTGTAATCTGAATGCAGATTAATTATTACATTTTGATGGACAAAAAACAATTTTCATACAATGTAAAGAATTTGTTTATCATAGAGTGTATGTTTAATGGTGAACAACTCTTAATGAACTCCTGCAAACCCTGCTGTAGATTGTTTTTGACTGATCCCTTAAATGAGGATTTGGATTCAGTTGGAAAAGTTGCCTATCTTGCACAATACAATATATTTTTGTAAATTCAAGACCACCACTAATTGCTCAGTACATTCCTTGATCTTGTCAATATTTTGTTTTTACATTAATAATGATATTGTATTTGCAATATATGTATGAGGGTTGTCCCAGAAAAAAGGCAGTCTGTATAAATAGGCCTATTTCATAATCTAACAGACTAAAATCATTCATTTTAAGTTCATCTGAATCAAAGGTTCAAAGTGAGTTTTCTAAGAGAAAATGTTATTTGTTGACATATTTTGATATATTTCTTTTTAGCATTAAAAAATTGTTCACTACGATGTATGCTAAATTAACTTTATTCTATTAGGGAAAAATATTAAAAATATTTGGTTTTTCTGGGACAATCAACCCTCATATGTTTATATTCAGATGTCTGTGATAGTAGAGCTAAGGTAATTACAAGTATTTCTACAAATAAATATGTTTACCTTAATTATATGTAGTGATAAGATGCGTTACCGATACATATGCACTCAATATTGAGTTTATGAATGTCACTGTGAAGCATTCCCTCTAATTTGTTGTTTTTGCATTTACATGTATTATATAATATAATAACAGTTGCTCACAATTGCGCGTGTTATTACAGTTAAAATGTAATTGTAATGTTTTATGTTTAATTTATTAAGAAAATGATGTTTAACGTACAGGGTTCCTTTTTTATGAAGAAGAATATATAATTTCAGACTTGAAATATTGTAATGTTTTACGTGACATATTGATAAATTAGTAGCATTGTTGAATAATTCCTTTCACTAAAGAAATAGAATATGAAAATTGTCTTCATGATTAACAGATCAGCGCATAAATTTAGTCAAATTAATATCAATTGAATGTTTTACATAACTTACATTTTGAAGAATGTTCTATCATCAGTCTGTTTTGAAGTTAATACTGGTATTTTATCTGCTTGCCCTGTATTTTTATGACATACTTGTATGCGTACATGAGAATTTTTTTTTTTAGAATTCTATTTTTGTCACCTACCGTCCACTTTTTACACAAGGAGCTTAGATTTGCTCAATACAGTGACCACTGATATAAGGTGTGAAGATCCTGCCATTTTGTTGCAGTGTTGACAATGTTGTTTATCTAGTCTAAATATAAAAGTGCTAAAATACTTAAAGTAAACCTTTTATGATCTTTTGTTCTGATGCATAGTTCAAATTTGTTCTAAATCAATTTAAAATATTTTTTAACATGCCTTTAGTCATGTAAGAAAAAAAATGATGCCTTCTTATTTTTTCATCTATGTGGATGTATTATTCCAAGTATTTTCTTTTCGAGGTTCTTTTTGAATTCTAATGTTAGTTATACATATAATACCGTTTAAATTAACTGTAAGATTTTGGCATTACCTTTTATCATAGTCAATATTAAGCATCTTTATCAATAAGTAAAGAGATTGTATATGAGGAATTTGTGTATGAATTATAATTTATTTATTTATTTTTTAAATACTGTTTCCAATTTTATCTTATCCATGCAATTGTTTTAGATAGTTGTCTCTATCCTAATGGTTTGTAATTCTTCTTCTTTCATGTCTCTACAGAATACCTTTAATTTGTTTTCTTATGAAATTTTTTATAAAATAAAAACAAAGTTTTTTATGAAATTATTTTTATTCATCAATTTTTCTGTTTTTTCGTCTTTGGATACTGACCTATTCGTAAAGTCTCATACTATAAACTTTTTCGTTGAAATTACATAATTACTTCAAAGTCTGGAATCAGGCAAATATTCTTGTCAAACTTTGATGATGAATCAAAATAGCTGCAGAACTGTAGCGTTATGGTTTTATATTTTAGTCTTTGACCATAATGGCCAAAGACTAAAATATAAAACCATAACGCTACATAATGGCCAAAGACTAAAATATAAAACCATAACGCTACAGTTCTGCAGCTAGAAGCAAAAGTACTCGATTGCAATTTAAATCCTCATAAAGCTAAGTTGTTGATTACTGATAAGGGAATAAAAAAGGACAATTTAATCAAGAGATTTGTGGAAGGACAATTCAAACACTCCAATTTCGCAGAGTATACTCGGGCGCTGAATTTTTTCCAGGGGGTGGGGGTGGGGGAGGTTCCACCCCAGACAAAAATTTTCCAACTCAGAAATTTCTTTACAAGCCAAAAAAAAAAAACCAAACCAAACAAAACAAACAAACAAACAAACAAAACTTAAGTCCTTTCCGAAACGTTTCAAACCCAGAACATTTCTTGACAACCAAAATGATATTAATAATATTAATAATAATAATAATAATAATAAAAACCGGAAATCCCAAACGTGAAAAAACAGTATTTTGTTGTTGTTACACAATAAATCACAATAAATAAAAACAGATTGCAAAAAATTAAACTTTGGCCCTAACTGTAAGTTCTCATGTAAAACACAGCCCTGTTTTTAATTTCGATGAACCCTGTTGCTGTGATTGCTTAATAGAAATTTCTGTGAAATTCTTTAAGAACGCTACTCCTTCAAAAGATTTGTTTTGTATACAGTAAAACTTGGAACATAGGTACACCATGCTTTATATCGGGTTTTAATTTGAACAATTTTTTAGTGTAACTGTACATTTACTTAGAATATAATCTTTCAGAATGCCTTTCCTGTCAAAGTTTTGATCTGGTTTTATTAAAGGTTGTCATACAAGCAATTTACATCAAGGGTCATATCAATGATTCTGTTTTTCAATGTTGCCTTACCTACTGAAATGTAAAAGGTGAGGATAACGAACTGTGATCAATCTTATAAAGCCAGTGAAGAATACGAATTGTAAACAGGTAAAAACGGACCCCTGGAAGCACCAGAGGTAGGATCAGGTCCCAAGGAGGAGTAAGCATCCCTTGTCGACCGGTCGCACCAGCCATGAGAAGGCAGTTGGTATGATGTCTGTATGACGTTCCTTTGGAGATGTTTGGTTTAAAATAAAACAATTCAAAAATCTTGTTTTTATTGCTTGAAAATTACTTCGGCTAGATTAAGGGACGTAAAAATGTCCTCTGTAGTTAGACGTGGCATTTAATAGACACCACACGAATATTGCAAGATTGTACCGTAAAATTGTGGCAACCGGAAGTGTGATGGACCGGGTACGGATGCCAAAGCACTAAGTGACTATTACAATGTTAGACATTTTTTTTGATATAGGGACAAACGCCGAATATGGTGTAATTTTCCCCCCGAATTTTTAATTAGTACAAACATAAAGAGCACTAACACAAAGAAAAAATAGAAAGTTTTTCCTCCAAAACATCTGAGCACGATTTTTCTTATTTTCTCTGAAATGGTCATTACTGAAGAGAAAAGGTGTAACAATAAAATTCCCCAGAGAAATTTCTCTCGCCGAGCACTGTAAAATTGATTAATATTCAGAAATCTATAATTTAAAAAAAAAATCAATAAATTCCAAGAATCAACAAAGATATTTATAGTATTAAAGTTATTTTACTTCAGTAAGTTTTTTTCTTCTAAATTCAAAAGGTTGGTAAACCTGAATTCTATTAAATACATCCACTTTTTATATCTACATTAGTATTTTACTTTTTCATTGTAGCTTGGTATTTTTTTTTTTTACTTCATCGTAAATACACAAAACAATTGAAAAAGAATTTGTGAAATACATGACTTGGACTTATAAAAATTTAATAGTTTCAAATATACATTCTCTTTCCAGAATTTATTTGGTTTGCAGATGGATACACCAAATTCATTCCATTTGGGGTTGAATCTTGATTCATCGATTCAGATGCCATATTCCAGATATTAGCAATAGAGGCCATGTCAATGCCTCTGTTTCCGTTGGACATTTCACTTGTTAAATCGCTTGTCATGGTGTCTGTCTTGATGGGGCCATGCCTATTTATTTTGTTCGTAGAAAAACCAGAATTAGGTGGACCTACGGCTGGAGGTCTATTCAAACCGAGCGGCTGAGGTGCGCTAGGTTGGGCTGGCTCTCTTGGGGTGGTTAGTGCGCTTACCCCAGCATTACCAATAAGAGCTGGTTGGGTTGACTGTCCTCTTGGTCTAGGCATCAAAGGCTCATCATTGCACCATGGTCCACGACAAGGTTCTGGACCACATGCAGATTGGCATTCCAATTGGCTCTGGAAATTGTTGTCATTTCCACCATTGCATCCACTAAAATAAAAAGGTCGACAGGTGCCCGAATATCTGTTGAAATACCATCGGCGGGTGTTTGGATATGAACAAGGATAGACTCCGCGATCAGGGTAGGTGAAGCATGCACAGGATCTGATACAATCTTCCCGTGAGGAGTAACTGTTAAGATTTCCTCCACAGCCAAGATAGAAGAAGCTTTCACATCGTCTGCTGTAGACATTGAAGAAATACCTTGTACCTGGGCGGGGATAACCATAGGGGCAGAAGTAACCAGAGTCACGGTACATGGTACACTCTGTAAAGAAAAAGTTTATTTACATCAGTCTACAAGATTCACGAAAACACTTAAAGATCATTGAACTTTTGAACAAGTTAAACTAAAACAAATATGTAAGAAATTGTTCTCGAAGAAAACGATCCTTATTTATATTGTAGAAATTCAAATTGTATTAGAACTTACGATAAGGAAGTTCATTTCCGGGAAATATTCCTCCAGGTTTCATGTTTTCTCCGTGCCTATTTGGTTTTTGTGGTGCATTTGTTCTGGTATTAAGCGTTTGACCAAAATGCAAGTTAGGGGTTTGTCTATTCGCTCCGTTAGCCCCTGACCCATATGTGGGTCCTGGAGGCATTATAATCCCCAGAGCAAGAGGAAGTGCCACTAACAACCCTAACTTCAGAATCATCTTACCGGAAAGATAACCTATAATATGTAAAACAATATTGCATGTAATATTCCATATTAAATTGAAATTTAAAACAAGTATCATAATAGTCAATTAAACCAAGAGTTACATCAAGAACTGAGTTTTAAGCAATTCAAACATAAAGCTATGAAAATTGACTGTACCTTTGATTCAGCAAAGATGGTAAGATGTGAATGGAATCGTACCGATTCCTTTTATAGTAAAGATTGCATAACGGGACATGTAGTAATACGTTGATTGCATCATGATCGACATCCTAAGTGTAAAAATTTACACAAAGAAACACGAAAAAGGTTAACTTTAAACATTGTAATGTTTTCATGAGGGAAAAAAAGAATGTTTATCTGTAAATTTTGGTATGTTTTAACATAAATGTTGTAATTCAAGCACAGGATAGAATTGTTGTCAGCAGGTTCTAACATCTTCGGAGAAGTTTTCTTGGCAGGAGACTAGTTTGTACAGTCATGTAGCTTCTGCTACAATGAATCAGCATTATGATAGATGATGTTTGTGTCCACATTAGCTTTCTGATATACATGTATTTTATTTAGTTCAGCCATCGGTAAGTCATCAATTGTAAGTAATTTTTAAAAGTTTGAGTACGTCTACCTTTGAGATAAAATTCCGTTTAAATTTTTATAGATATTAAAAAGATTGATGATGTTTTACCAGAAACATATGTACCTCTTTTTAAAAGGATGGTTTACATCCATTTGTCTATGCTTTCTTAATTTTTATTTCGTACTTTAGTTTTCAGCATGATTATATGGAGCTCACAATATTGACCCACTAATATATATTTTAAGTGGAAGAGATTTTGAATAATATGTTCCGGGTATTTTGAAGTATGCATAGTTATCACAGCAATTCATACATTAAAACAGGGATGTTGGAAAGTATTGTCTATCTAACCATTGACAGTGAGGGTCTTTAAAAAACTCTTCTTCCTAAACTATACTATGACAGATATTTTGTTAGGTTTATATTATTTGGTATACTGAATTTGTCGTTAGAATTTTCAAATGATAATGGCATACCTACCCCAGTTCAGAATTATAAGGTAGTACGTATACGTACACTGTACTTAAATTGGAATGAACGAAAGATTATCTTTCTTAATCTCTTTACTCTTCCAGCTCCCTGGTAATGTATTGTATATAATAATTTTATTTTAAGTTTTTATAAACGTAAATGTGACTTCCAACATGAAAGATCAAACTTATTGACTTCGACATCTTTATTTACGTCGATATGCAACTTATCGACATGTGCAACTTGTCTATGTCGACAGGCATCTTATTTATGTCGATTTGCAACTTATGTATGTCAACGTGCAGCTATTCAAATTAAAACTTACGTATGTTCAAATGCAATTTATATATGTTGACTTACACAATTACAGATGTAGCCTTTTACATATATCGTTGCATATAGAATATATTCAAGGAATAACTGTCTATAGTTTTTTTGTTTTTGTTTTTTGTTTTGGTTTGTGATGTGAACAAGCAATTGGCTTGCATGATTATTTGCATGAAGAGGTTTATGGATAAAATTATCACGCGAGCCAATTGTTGACGATCATCATAAACCAAACAAGAGGCCCACAGCCCACAACAATCACTTGAGTCAATATGTTGTTCTTCAGGAGCAGATTTTTTTCTATTATATATTCCTATGTAAAACTTTGATACCAAATACAGGGATAGACATTAACAGTTAATTATCCGCTTGCCCGGGGCAAGTAAAATCTCGGTTCGGGCAAGTGAATCTATCAGTATACTTGCCCGATTGGACAAGTGAATGATTTCTGAAAGAAACATACTAGTACATCTTTAGCTTATATTCATAGATGAAATAATAAATTTTCAAAATACTTGATTTCCATCTCTAGATTTTAAGTCATTGCATATCAACATTCACTCAATAATTAGGTTTGCTTTTCTGTTTTCTTTCATTCTAGATAGAAAATTCAAGCTCTCAGAAAGACGATTTTGTTTTTCATATTACGAGATAAGATTATGATGTAGTTTACCGGTATTTGCTAACTTACAGAATAAATCAAATAAAATAAATACACATGACACATTAATAATCCTGATCACGTTATGCAAATGTCCCTATTCAGGATGGTTTTGCAGTCATCATTATTTTGGAGAAACAATTTCTGGAGTTGTTTAAATGGAAATGATTAAATGAGTTATTTTCTTCATATTAACTTTTAGCAACCAAGCTTTATATTCGGACAAGTCAAGGTTTGAGATGACTTACCAAAAGGGCGAGTGGATCTGAAAGTTAATGTCAATCCCTAGCTGCATTGTGACACCAACCTATCCCAAGGTGTCGTGATTTGTACACTATCTGAGGATGCTTCCATATTCATATATCTAATCATGGCTTTGATGTTCTTGGGAAGCACGACTACTTCTCGAAAATATTTTGAACTGCTTTACGAAAATTATTGTTTTATAATCAACATCTCTCAAGATTAACTCTTTAACGTTTTTCTCTCTTCTCTCCCTATCATTTCTTTATACTGGCTTCTACAAGTGAAATAATTTATGTCAACCCATCTGGCCACTTTAAATGAAAGCCGAGGACGATTCCGTTTAGATTCTTAAGGAAGGAAAAAGAACGTACATATTTTTCTAAGTCCCTAGATTGGGAAATAATTGGAGAGAAACTAAAGAACTCATAACAGATCAACTAAATCACACCTTGGACATTGTAAATCAACACTGAATTATTAAGAACAAATCATCGCTATTTTTATCCTTTTTAATATAATATGGATATTGATTGTTACACAAGCTGGAAATTCGTAGTTGCAGGACTATCATGAACTGAAAATTCATTGCTATTTTTATCTTTTTTTAATATTCATTTACTCATTTTATTAACATTTGAAAGTACAGCCAACAAATCAAAACTCTGTTTAATATTAAAATGACACCGGTAAAAATCTCTAATTTAGAAACTGTCCCATTATGAATAATTACATATGAGACCAGAGTTCCACTTCCAAATGAGGTTAAAAAGGTTGTAGCCTAAATAACATGATACTCAGGTGACACTTAAGGCCTATGGGCCTCAAAAAATAAAACCTTTTTAACATATTCATCTGACGCTAATTCTTAATTTGAACTGATTTGTAAATTCTTGTAAATTAACAACCTCACATTCCATTGCTTGTACACGAAGCTGATCGTTTGCAGGAGCTGCTTTTTGGCACGAATCACTGGCGTGTAAAAGACTCCGCAGATCATTTTCTATACTTGTTGGCTAGCATATACAAATATACGTACAAATTTATACAATTTAAATATAAAACGTATATATATATATATATATATTTTTTCATTTTGTTTGAAATCAATGTTAACAAGAATTATATTGAAAGGAGAAGAGTACTTAATAGTGAAATTTACTGCCTGTATTTCATACATGTAATTAAAATATTACTCATAAAAAACTTCATATCGGGATTATCTCTTTTTTAAATTAATATTTCACCATATTGTCATTATTTTATATTAAAAAAAACAACATGTATTTATACCAGTGATTGCAGGATTCGAACAGGTTAAAGAAGACAAATGCGGTTTATACGGCCATCCTGCTTTAACCAATTGACCAATCCGGGTAAGGTATAAAACTGAGTGGTTTAACGTATACTTCTTGCATTTTAGGGGATTTTTTCTTGAATTTGTAGGATTTTAAATATGTGCCTCTTTGAAACAAAAATCAGAAATGACAGTTTTGAAGAGAATCAAATTAATTCTGTTTCCAGGAGGTAATTATATCATGAAATATATGTAGATAACGCACAGTTTCATGCAAAACATAGGGATTCCCTACTTAAAACGCACAAAATCAAATTTTGCTCTGTGACTTAATTACATTTCATTTTATCATAAGTTAGAATTCGATATGAAGCTTCCAATTATAATTCTACATAACATATACATATGATAATATCTAACTTTCAGCAAAAAATATTGTAGGAACTGCAACACCCTCTTTATCAAAAAAAAAAAAAAAAAAAAAAAAAAAAAAAAAAATCCTTACCGTGGTCAAAAGAAGATTTAATAAATTTAGTTTGTAATATTCAATTTCGTTCGAAATCATTTAAACTTATAAATATTAATTTCTTATAAAACGATGGTATTGAAAGGAGGAATTTGCCACGGATATGAGAATGGAACACGAAAAATTTATCTTAAATATTTAAAACTGGATAACTAAAGAACGTAACCTTTTTAACTTAAATTTCTATTGATCATAATTCTATGGTCCATGTTCCAATCAAATATCAAGATGGCGTTTTCATCTTTGCACCAAACATCGTCAAGATAATAAAATAGACACAACCGAAACACATTTGAAGTCTCAATTCAAAATATTTGAAAGTATGATTTATTTTACAATTTTTTTTAAACATACATGGCTTTTCGAATTCCAGAATCCATTTTATTCGTGGTGGGATAAACCATACTCATTTTATTTGCATTGGAGTTAGGATTCATAGGAGAAAACGCCATCTTAGCAAAAGAGTTCATGTCGATTCTGTTGACGAAGGTATTTGTGTTGGTGCCTGATGAACCTCTGGTGTTGGTGGGCATAGCAACATTCGGTTGATCGATGGCAGGCATTCCATTAATTCCAGTCGGTTGGCTAGGCATGGCTGGGAATGGTGCCTGTGCTCCAGTATTTCCATTAGCTATTTGAGCAGCTGCCTGTCCTCCTTGCCTTCCGTCTCCCATCCCAATACCACCGCACCATGGTCCATTGCAAGGTTCTGGTCCACAAGCAGATTGGCATTCTAATTGGCTTTGGAAATTATTGTCATTTCCACCATTGCACCCACTAAAATAAAATTGTTGACAGGTACCTGAGTATTTGTTGAAATACCATCGGCGGGTTAGATGATAACAAGGAATGATTCCGCGAGCAGGGTAGGTGAAGCATGCACAGGATCTGACACAATCGTCTCGTGAAGAGTAAGTGTTAAGATTGCCTCCGCAACCGAGGTAGAAGAAGCTTTCACACCGTCCTGAATACGTATTAAAGAAGTATCTTGTACCAGGGCGGGGGTAACCGTAGGGACAGAAATAACCGGCGTCGCTGTACATCGTGCACTCTGTCGATGAAAAAAAGTTAAAACCGGACATTCATAAAAGGAGTTAAAATATTTTATTGAATTATAATAACGCATCTGTCAAATTTAGTTAATCTGAATGGAATGACTATAGGATAGAAATACATATGTAAGGTTTCAAGACCAACTTACGATAAGGAAGGTCACCTCCAGGGAATCTTCCTCCTGGTCTCATGTTTCGACCAGCATTTCTATTGGTGTTTGGATTTGGTAATGTATTCATGTTATTTGGTGTTATTCTGGCTGTGTTGCTGGAAGATCCCGTGTTCATCCCAGAGTTTGGAATACCTCTATTAGCCCCGTTCGCCCTGGATTCATATTTGGGTCCAGGTGGCATGAGCCCCAAAACGAGGGGAAGAACAACTAGCAACCCTAACTTCAGAATCATATCACCTGAAACGTTAATAAATGTGCATGCTTGCTTTTCAAATGATTCGAAAATCACGACAAAAACCTGATTATTCGAACATAAATAAATACAATTATTGTAAATAAATTGAGATTTATAGGGGTACTCTTTTGAAAAAAATAATGGATTTATCAAAAGATAATGTCATTTATATCCTTTAAAAATTTTCACAAAAGTCCGTTTAATACTTTAATATTGTGAATAAGATAATTAATATTTGCATGTATTTTGCAAGTGATAATAGGTATACATTTAAACAGAAATGCTATTATATACATTTGTAAAAAGAGATCTAAGAATTCATGAAACTGAGGAACCCCAGTTTTCAGAAACTTATTACAGGAGTTCCTAGAAATTAATATAGCAAGCTTCATCTTTACTTCCATTGTTTTCTTCACTTAAATTCCAAACTTAAATATTCAAAAGGAAGAATTTAGGACTAAAATAAAATATAACCTTTTTGATAGAACCGGCCGGTCCCTAAAGAGATTGTTATAGTATTGGCACTGAACGACTCTTTTTATACAAATTTATTGCATAACGTCATATGCATCATATCACCATTTACATAATGTTCAACATCCTTAGTGTGAAAATTTACACGAGGGACAGTTAGCCATATCAAAGAATACTGAAAAAGGTTAATAGAACATACTGTTGAGGTTTCATGAGAGAAGAAAAGAATGTTTCTGCATGTTTCTACATAGATAACTGAGGTCAAACATGCATACGTTTCGGTTTTACTGATTTTCGCCAAAATTTGGAACGTTTATGCGTAAAAGACTAATTGTAACTAATCTTTCAATGAATCAGCCCTGTAATTGATAATTTTCGAGAAAATATAAGAACACACAGGCTTTTATGTAGATCCGATTGCTTGTTTCCCTTATACAAATTTGAATTGAAATGGGTTATATGAAATATGAAGATAAGAAACAGTAATCAAGCTCAAAAGTCTATTGAAACAATACAAATTTGAAGCAGACAAACACGGACCTCTAAAAATATCAAAGGTCGGATCTGGTGCCATGGAGAAGTAAGCATCCTTAGTCGACCGGTCACACCCGCCGTGTGCTCTTTGCAATTGCCATGATCGGGCAAACGAAAAAATCCGTAGACAATTTAATTTGAGAATAATGGCCTAACAATTTGTATAAAAACGGCAATCAACATTCGATGTAATGATAATTGTATTTGTATCGACCATAGAATGTCTACTTTAAAAGAGACTGTTGATATTTTTGTTTCATGAACTTATTTATCAGTAGCTTGCCTTGTTTTAGAAATTCTTAGTATGTAGAACAGCTGTTGTGTATCGAATCAACTGGGAGACGTAAACTCCATATATATGCAACTGACAATGGTATATTACTACATAAATAAGAGCAGTTAACGATAGAAAAGTTGAAAGTATCACTTTATCATAAAGTTTTGTTGTTAGGTTACCATTAACGTCTTTTTCTCGTAAAATATCCAAATATGAATATGTATCAGACTCAGTGGTATCTTTTATTTCGAGTTCAAATGAATATACCTAATCAATGTAGGAATGAAAATGAATATTCTTAGTTAATTGATGAAACGTCATCGATATATGTAAATGTTGAATTGAAGGCCACAGCAAAAGATTTCTTCTTTTCATGTAGAAGTGGCTGTATCAATTCTGTCTCATGAATATAAAACAAAGATCTGCTTATAGTACTCATTGGGATTCCGAATTGATTCCTCTCTGTATATGTTTTTGATCTTCAGTTTTTGTTTTATCAATATTATTCATTTAGGCATTATTTTAGCAAAGGAAAGATCACATTGAGCTTTGATTTGGAAAGGAAAAATTTAACTTTTCCAGATTGCTTTATTAAGTATTGCCTTCACGGATTTATCATGGATTTAAATTTCCTAGAATCTCTTGTGTTTTAATGTAAGAACACTGCAATATTTGATTTTGAAGAATAGTGTTTACAAATGTATATATAGCTTTTTTCCCATATAATTCATATATGCTAAAATATTGAAAAAACTGTTTTTGAAAAATGCGCCAAATGTTGCTACTTGTGACGTAAGAGAGGTATCTTGTTCACTGAGAACATCAACACATCTTGTTTCGAAAAGATATGGATGTTTATTTGCATTGACAATGTTGACAGTGAGACAGTACCAAGTTTTCTCTTGATGTGTCATTTTTTAGTTTAGCAAAACACAGAGTTAAACCTCAGATCTGTGGAAATAATCATTTGTTGAACCCAGTTCGATCTAAATTGAAAGTAGATCTATCTAAAGTTAATACCTTTTAATCTTTGTAATCTAATGAGCTTTAAAATTAATATGTTTCATTACATTTCTACTTATCTTTTTTTAAAAAACAAAATCAGACAAATTCTTTCTTTATATGATTAATCGCTTTCGTCAAACATCTTTACCTACTTGATGCGGAGTAAGAAGATGGCCCTTACATTGCGGGGTCGAATCTCACTGTAGGACATGGCGACCGGTCCTTCGGATGAGAATCGAGGTCCCGTGTCGCAGTAGGTGCTGGTACGAAAAAGATCCCTCAATGCTCAATGGCCCTCAGTGCAGAGTATAAATCTGAAATTTGCAGCTCTCCACCCCACCGGCAAGAAATGGCGTCTCGATACGATTGAAAAATTCTCGAAAGGGACGTTAAGAAGGTTGGATCCTGCTATCAAAAGTAATGAGAATTTTTTTTAACAAGTATATGTTTAGAATCTATACGCATATGTCAATTAAAAATCAAAATACAAAAAGGGGTTAATGCGCTTCTTTTGGCGCTACGGAGCATTTAGTATGACCTTTTAGCACTGTAATTTCGTCTAACACATAAATCAATTTTACGAAGTTTTTCCTCCAATATTTTTTATTTAAATAAATTATCGGAACAAACACAGTCTCATTTCATCTTGAATAGACCACAGGCACTTGGTGGCTGAATCTCCCCCCTTTCCATTCTTTTTTTCTTTTTTAAATCTGGGATCGACACATCTTTTTCCTATGTTTGTATTCATTATATGCACTATATGTTATCGATAATGCAATCCTTTTATCTCAATAAGCTGTTTTTAAATATATCGTTTTCGACTGATACATTTTTTAAAATGTGCATTATTTATTTTGTTAATTATTTACATACCTAATTCTTTCAGAATTTGTGACTCACTGCAAATCGTTTATCGGTAAAATTAAAGTGCGAACTTGAAATTGCAATTGCGAAATATTCATATGCACCGTCTTAAGTATTTTTGATAAAAGATTACATATTGTTGAAAAATTATTCAGAATATAATTCTTGACTGCATTAAAACTCAATTGTTAATGAAATTAATTTTTTCCCATGTACACTGTCACAGTTGTTTTCTCGGACGCATCTATACTTATAAATTAATGAATTTTCCGAAACGGGTGCACCAGAGTTCTTACTAACTCCTCTATGAATACACTAGATACAAGATGATGTCCGTAAACTATATTTAGATTTCACTCGCATAGTAAGTATCGTAGATTAAATTAAAATTCTACTTTCATTTTCGATAAACAGCCATGAAATAGCAAAAACGTGAGTACGGTGGCGGTTCCGGTTGGCGGATCTAAGTTACTGGCAATTTTTAATGAAACTGACAACAAGCAATCGTTTATTTATTTCATAAAACGTCATCACTGAATTATTCAATCAAAATTTGATTTAAATGATATAACAGAAATAAGTTGTGATAACCGATTAAAAAAGGGAAATATGCAAATTATTTTCGTCATTCACCGATCTTAATATTGACAGAAACTTCTAGAACATCATATAGCATCGAACCCGATGTTAAAAAGAAAAACGAGGCAATACTAGCTGCATGAACATAAAAAAAGCTTTTGTGTGAATGGTCATTGAAATAATGGTAAATCATCGATAACACTATAAGTTGTGAATATATTTATATATCGGAAGACTATTACTAGGTTTTCCTAATAAATTTTTCGGTAAAAATTTGTGTATTCACTGAGAGCATAGTGGCAACGAACCCGAAGTACAATTTGTACTTTGTAATAAATTTGCTTACATGAAAAGAGAAAATTAATGAATAAGGTATTGTTCAAATACAGTTAAAGCTGTTAAAATTTTGTGCTTTAATCAGTACATTTCAGTTTTTTTTCTGAATACAGTCTTTAGTTTCAAATACCCGGCCTATTCCAATGGCGTTAAAAGCTAATTTTTTTTTAAATCATCATTAAAATGTGCATATTCGCTTCGCTGCTTTTATGCTTTTATCCTTGACGGAAATGAAAAAAGAGCACCTGAAGTACAATATCCATAACATAGTACATGTATAACAAGTTTTACAATAAACGTCAATTAATGAAATTGTTATTTTGGAAGTTTTTTACAAGGGGGGGGGGGGTGACTTACATCTACTTTTGCTCCAAAGCTAAATGCGAGATTTTGAACAAAGTATTACTTCCTGCCATAAGCTTGTAGGCTGTCAGTTTCAACTAATATATATATAATTATATATATATATATATATATATATATATATATATATATATATATATATATATATATATATATATATATATATATATATATATATATATATATATATATATATATATATATTACTGGAATTTTTCTGTCAGTAGTGGTATAAATTCAATTCCCCACGCTTGCGCGGGATTTCATCTAGTGCCACTAAATAAACATAGTGCCAGGTAAGCGATACAGGTGATAAAGAGACAATAATTGTTTAGGTAAACGAATGAAAACTCGACCAAAATTAGCCCTCGGGCCTTCGGTTCTCGGCCTGATATTGGTGTCTCGGGCTGAGACAGGATGTGATATTGAAAAGAGTATATATTATCCTTTATTTATTTTAAAACAATTGAAGTTAATAGAACAACTAATATACTGCATGAGTATTTAAAAATAAATACCTTTTCCCCTAATGTCTGGTTAAATCTTAAAATATACTTATTGATCAGTGTTTATTTAGAATGCATAATCAGTGCTTTTATTCACAGTTCCTGAAAATATATTAGACATTTGAATTTTTCTCAATATAATATACATTGTAATGTTTTATGATGATAAACTTTGAAGAACATGAGTAAATACATTTTACTTTGTGAATTTATTGACATTTTTGTGAGCATTTTCAAGTACTTACTATTATTCGCAGATTTTCAGAACATGAGGAACTGATCATCTTATTAAATTTGGCTTTTTTTTCCTAGTAAAACTTGAATCTTAAAATTTCCTTCATATCCTAATAGGTTTTATCTGGGAACGGTTTAATTTCATTTTTCAACCTTCTAAATGAATTAGCCATATATGTGTTCAATATACTGTAAAAGTATTATATGTTTGACAATGTACTCTATATAGAATCTTTCGCAGAAACAGCTTCCGCTAAACTAAGTACTACTAGTACATCGCTAAATGTCTTATGTATACATGTATATATTCATATAAAGCACAATCAAAAAGCTTTAAATCAAATCTACCCTTACTTGCTGAAAAATCAATTTCCGCCAAATATCTTACACACTAATGAAATACATTAACAGTAGTTCAACGAGTTGTACACTATTTTCTCTATCCCTCACTGCTCTATTTTGAAGGCGACTAAGATCCAGCATTAAAATATTTAAGGTATGATAGAAATTAAATATTCAGATCCTTAGTCTGTAAAATTACATGAGTGAATAAGTAAAGGAATTTTTGTTAGTTATAATATTTCGAATATTTCATAAGATTGTGAAAAAAGTTTTTGCTAAGCTCTTTTGCAAGACAAAACCCAGATTAATTAGAATTTGTTTCTTTGTTTAATGTCCCTCTCGAGAATTTTTCACTCACATGGAGACGCCACCACTTGCGGTGGAGGGCAGCAAATTTATACCTATACTTGGCACTCAAGGCCATTGAGCAATAAGGAATCTTTTTCTTGCCAACACCTACTGTGACACGGGGACCTCGGTTTATACAGTCTCGTCCGAAGGACCGGTCTCCACGTCCCAATGTAAGCAATTAGGTATAGCCCAATTCTGTAGATTTTCTTACAAAACAAAGGTATCGTAAGAAAGAGGTTGCCAAGGATATGAGATTGATTGATTGACTGTGTGTTGTTTAACGTCCCATTCGAGAATTTTTCACTCATATAGAGACGTCACCATATACCTGTGAAGGGCTTCAAATTTTGACCTTTACTCGGCACTCAGGGCCATTGAGCAGTGAGGGATCTTTATCGTGCCAACGCCTGCCGTGACACGGGGCCTCGGTTTTTAAGGTCTCATCCGAAGGACCTGCAACTTTCACTTCAAGGTGTCGAGCGCATGGCGAAGGAACAGTTGCTACCCAGTTTTTATCGACTTAGGTCAGTCGCGGCCGAGATTCGAACTCACGACCTCCTGATCATGGAGCGAGCCCAAGGATATGAAAATGAAACACGAACATTTAAAACTAGACAATTAAAGAGCATTAATACGTTCTAAGTTAAGTTCTAAGATCATAATTTTGTGCTCTATGTTCATTCAAACATCAAGATGGCGTTTCAATTTTTTCATCCAACATTAAGATAATAAAATGAAGACACAATCAAAATATATTTGAAGGCTCAGTTCAAAACGTTGGAAAGTGCTATTTATTATACAATCGATTTTTTAAATGTACATGGCTTTTCCAGAATTCATTTGATTCGGAGTAGGATAAACCATGCTCATTGTATTTGCATTGGAGTTATGATTCATAGCAGAAGACGCAATCTTTGCAAAAGAGTTCATGTCGATTACGTTGTTTGCGTTGGCCATGCTATTTGCCATATCGATAGTCATTCTGTTGGTGCCCGATGAACCTCTGTTGTTGGTGGGCATAGCAACATTCGGTTGATCGATGGCAGGCATTCCATTAATTCCAGCTGGTTGGCTAGGCATGGCTGGGGATGGTGCCTGTGCTCCAGTGTTTCCATTAGCTATTTGAGCAGCTGCCTGTCCTCCTTGCCTTCCGCCTCCCATCCCAATACCACCGCACCATGGTCCATTGCAAGGTTCTGGTCCACAAGCAGATTGGCATTCTAATTGGCTTCGGAAATTGTTGTCATTTCCACCATTGCATCCACTAAAATAAAATTGTTGACAGGTGCCTGAGTATCTGTTGAAATACCATCGGCGGGTGCTCTGATGATAACAAGGATAGTTTCCGGGATCAGGGTAGGTGAAGCATGCACAAGATCTGATACAATCGTCTCGTGAAGAGTAAGTGTTAAGATTGCCTCCGCAACCGAGGTAGAAGAAGCTTTCACATCGTCCCGAATATGTATTAAAGAAGTATCTTGTACCAGGGCGGGGGTAACCGTAGGGACAGAAATAGCCGGCGTCGCTGTACATCGTGCACTCTGTCGATAAAAAATGCTGATTAAAATCTGGTTACATGACAAATTAAAGCTTGATTAGAAGCTTAAAAAAAGTTTAAAATATTTTTGATTTATCCTCTGTCAATGATTCTGAATTAAATGACATATAGAATAAAAATACATATGTAAGGTTTCAAGACCAACTTACGATAAGGAAGGTCATTTCCAGGAAATCTTCCTCCTGGTCTCATGTTTCGACCAGCATTTCTATTGGTGTTTGGATTTGGTAATGTATTCATGTTATTTGGTGTCATTCTGGCTGTGTTGCTGGAAGATCCCGTGTTCATCCCAGTGTTTGGAATACCACTGTTACCTCCGTTCGCCCTGGATCCATATGAGGGTCCAGGTGGCATGAGCCCCAAAACGAGGGGAAGAACAACTAGCAACCCTAACTTCAGAATCATATCACCTGAAACGTTGAAAACGTTAATAAATGCGCATTGGTTGCTTCACCTATAATTCTTAAATCACAGCAAAACCTGAATTCTGGGAACTAAGTAATTACAGTTAATGTAAATAAATTCAGATTTATCGGGCATCCCTTCGAAAAATCATTATATTTGAAGAATAAATGAATGAATTTATTCAAAGATTATGTGTTTGTTATCCTTTAAAGTTTCCACAAAAGTCCCTGAAACGTTTTAATATGGTGAATTATAACAAATATTTGCATGTATTTTGCAAGTGATTATAGGTTTATAGTTATACAGATATGCTGTCATATACATTTGAAAAAAGAAATCTGACATATGACAAATTTATATATATATATATATATATATATATATATATATATATATATATATATATATATATATATATATATATTTCAAGGAACATTAGTTTTCAGGAACTTATTACAGGAGTTCCTAAAAATTAAAGTAGCAAGCTTTATTTTTTACTCCCATTGTTTTCTTTACTTAAATTCAAAGTTGAAAATATTCAAATTGAATAACTTAGGCCCACAACACTTTGATATTAATGATAAAGTTACCTTTTTGGTAGATCCAGTCGGTCCCTAAAGAGATTGTTATGGTATTGTCACTTATAGGCTCTTTTTATACAAATTGATTGCATCATGGGATATGCAGTATCACACTAATTACATAATGTTCAACATCCTTAGTGTGAAAATTTACACGAGGGGCAGTTAGCCATATCAAAGAATACTGGAAAAGGTTACTAGAACATATTGTTGAGGTTTCATGAGAGTAGGAAAGAATGTTTATCCCAGTGTTTCTGCATGTTTCTACATAGATATCTGAGGTCAAACATGCATGCGTTTCGGTTTTACTGATTTTTGCCAAAGTTTGGACACGTTTCTGCATAAAAGACTAAATTGTAACTAATCTTTCAATGAATCAGCCCTGTAATTGATGATTTCCAAGAAAAAATATATGCAAAAACACAGAAATATGTTGGTCCGATTGCTTGTTTCCTTTATACAAATTTGAATTTAATTGAGTTAAATATGCTTTCATTCCTCTCTTTATATATGTGTTTGATTTTCAGTTTTATTAATATTATTCATTGAAGTAATTTTTTTTAGCTAAGAATATAATGTCTTGTATCTCAAATTGAGCTTTGATTTGAGGGAAAAGATTTTTGTTTCCTGATTGCTATATCTCATAATGTTTTCATGAATTTATCATGGTATTACATTTCCTACAATCTCCTACAATCTCTTACATTTTTCAATGTAAAAGCATTGCATCATTTGATTTTAAAGAATACTATTAAGGGATGTTAAGCAACCAACCAACAAAAAAAAAGTTGTGTTTTCATCTGCATAAACTGTTTTGAAAGTAATTTACTTAGATTTAAATAATTTTTTAAATGTCTTTTGAGCAACATTTTGGCTGATATATTAATCAAGAAACAATATCAGTTCTCTTGGGAAAAAGAGAAATTCTGTTGATTAAAATGCATTTAGTTATTCTGAAATATGGGAATACAATATTGTTGTTAGAAGGATATGTTCTTAAATTATACATGACCGATATTTAAGTTCCTCACACGATCGTCGTTAACCTTGGTATTAAATTAATGTCCGTACATTAACAGGCTACACATAAAAATCCTCAGTTCTTCTAGAATTACAGCCAACTGCCAAAGAATTTTAGCTTTAATAATATTTAAATAATTTAATGAGAAGTCGGTAGTCATTAAATTTGCTTATGCTTAACTGTAGCATTTTTTACCAAAAGGAAGTACAACGTAATTCGAGAAATGTTTGTAATCTTTATTAATCAATTTGGGTTCTAAAAAATTCCAAAGAACTTTAAAAAAAATTGAAATCACAAAATTTTGCCAAAACAACACCATCAAAACGTTTAAATTTTCAACACATTAGACTAATATTCCCCTCGAAAAATCATAGACCAGGCGTTTTGACATCACAGTCAACACCTGCTTCTTCTTTAAAAATGAGACACCGAAATTTTCATATCTTGTGATCACCTACAATCTTACTTTTTAACAAAGAAAACCCCCATTCTGATTCTACAAACACATACTCTGAAGTTGATATAAAGAAGATGCTTGAGTTCGTCATTGACAAAATCTATGAAATATTTGGAGACGACGTCTTCTAACAATCTGTTGTAAATCCGATGCTTTGAACCTCTATTAGCAGGCACTGAATTGTTATAAAGCAGAATTTATTCAAAAAATTAGAACTATAAACATTCTTCAGGAAGAAATCTCTTGCTGTGGTCTTAAATTCAACATTTAACCGTCATTGTAGCTGAGTCGGTAGAACGCTCGCGTTCATCGGAACTCGTTGGTTTAAGAGCCGGTGTAAAGACGAATAATGACCCCCGTAGAATAATGACCGGGGGTCATTTTTCGACGTCGAAAAATGACTCCCGGTCATTATTCGACGTCGAAAAATGACCCCCGGTCATTTTTTGCCGTCGAAATATGAACCTTTTGCCTGTAGAAAAAGTGGCATCACCCTTAAAATCTGCATACTCTACGTGAAGAAAAATGACCCCCTTAGAATAATGACCCCTGGTAGATTTTATTAGGAATTTATTTTTTTGGATTGAAAAAATTAAGAACTAAAAAATCTAGATGGCCATGGATCAAAATGCTCACCTGGGGGTAAATTGAAGATATTACGATGATTTGTTGTTTTCATTAAATCTTTCAAAAGTCTTTTATAAGGAATCGTTTATGTACACTATGTGGAAATGCTTTCATTATGATTTGACTTTTGTATCATTGTTTTTAAAAAACAAAACAACAAAAACAACAACAACATATCTTTTTATTTTCGCTTATACTATCCACCAGAGAGAGAGAGAGAGAGAGAGAGAGAGAGTTGCTTACAATGTCTATCTACCGGTTAATTAAGTTGCGTCCGAATGCCCTTTTTAAGTCAATGATTTAAATTGTGTTCTTAAAGCCAATGATTTAAATAGTGTACATACATGTAATTTTCGGACATATAGCAAGAGTTCCATACAATTTTTAAAATAAGAAGAATTTCATTTGAACTTCAGTAGCTCGAACACGGATATCTCGAATACCATGGATATGTCAAATTGATTGGGAAGTCCTAACCACGTATTTCTTATGTATTTTAGTTTTTTTTCTCAGTCCCATCGAGTTAACGAGACTTGACTGTACTTGATGTTTTAGAGACATCTAAAGTCAATGGTCATAAACGTCTATAATCAGTACAATATTGAAATATGAAACAAATGATAAAAGGACCAAGACTAGAATGTATGCTATTGCAAGCAGTGGTATGGGGGGCGGAATTGGTATTTACCACCATTAAGTGATATCACCGATTCAAATATGTGATATCACCTATTCAGTTTTTGATATCACCTATTCAGCTTTTGAATTGGTGATACCCCATATTTGAATAGGTGATATCACTTATTCAAATTAAGCATGAAATAACAACTGCTCACAAGACTATAGTGCATACATTTACTCTATACAGGAAGTAAAAAGTTCAGTTTCTTTTCACACATATAAAGAGAGAAAGTAACAATAAATGTGGCTAAACTGACTGCAAGTGAAATTTATTTAACTTCAAAGAATTTAAAACAAATGGTGTTTTAAATGTCTTGGACTAAAACACAGGGGAAAAGGACAGCCCGATTGAAGCTTTTTGAAAGCTCATCCTTTACATTGCATTGAAGCTAGATTGTCTTGATGAAGGGAGCATTCATATTTAATGTTATAAGAAATGCAAATAGGTGATACCACTAATTCAAATAGGTGATATCACTAATTAAAATTGGTGATATCACCAATTCAAAAAAATGTGATATCACCAATTCCAATAGGTGATATCACCTATTCGAATAGGTGATATCACGTTTTCAACTCAAATAGCTGATATCACCAATTCCAATAGGTGATATCACCTATTCATTTCCAATAGGCTATTCGAATAATTGATATAACTTATTCAAATAGGTGATATCACCTATTTAATTGGAATGAGTGACATCACCTTTTTAAACAGGGGACATCATCTATTCGAATAGGTGATTTACTGAATGGTGTAAAGACGAATAATGACCCCCATAGGATAATGACCAGGGGGTCATATTTCAACGACAAAAAATGACCCCCCAGCCGTAGAAAAAAATTATTTTTTTGTAGAAAAGGAGACCTAGGGGTCATTATTTTATGTGTGCATCCTATAAAAAATTGACACCGTTGAAAAATGACCCCCTTTCCAACAGAATGCATGATACAAAATTTATAACTGGTGATTGATGCAAAGGTTTGAACCTCAATGTTTGATATTCTTCTTCATGCCTTTTTCGACCAACACTGAACGAACGCGCAATTAAAATGCAATAAAACCGCATTACATTTACCTGCATATTTCTATCTTTTAAGCCTACTGTGTTCTCAGCACATATTGAAAATCGCAAAATGGCTACTATTGGTTATAACTGTTAATGTAATTTCCCTTTATGATTGTCTTCCATTTGTTTCATATTTGGATATTTGACTGATTATAGACATTCATAGCCAAATAACAGACAAGCGGGATGTTCTGGCTTTTCATTGGTAAACATGTCTCCCGAGGTAATCAGCATGCTTTGAGTAGGATCAAATTTTAAAAAAAAAATGAAGGAAAAAAAGAATGAGATAAGTTTTCAGAAATAAATACGGAAAGTTATGCAATGTAATATATATGTATATTTTGAATGACATAAAAAGTCGTGCAAATGAGATAGAATGTATCGAAAATGACGTAATAACTCGTGCGATAGACATACTGACAATAGAAAAGGCTGAAGTCACCCCGTTTGTCAGACAATTTAGTTGTTAGTTGGTCCTTATCGTCTATAGTCAGTAGAACGTCCAAATATGAAGCAGACATGACAAACATAAGAAGGACATAAAATTTCTGCATGTCTGAAATATATACAATCTTATAATGTGCATTCAATTTTATTTATAAACAGTGGTCTACTCTATGCAGATTTCTTTTCAAGTATATAGAAGTAATACAGGAGAATCCCAGTATAATGTACATTCAAGTCTGTTAACATGGTCATCTGAGAATAGGATACATACATGTAAGAGGAATATTTTTTATTCCATTTTAAAACAGTGATACATTTGTCAAATCAATATGGAAATATTTTTCAATACAGTGTATATTGAAGTAGATTAATGTCTTCAATTTATAATTAAAGACAGATTATTTTATTGACCTTCAAGGTGAATACATGTACATGTATAAGGATTTATTTTTCTTACATTGAACTAAAAATAGATTAAAAACAATTCTGAAAAGGTATTTCACCTGCATCTGAATTCTACTCAAGTGAACATAATATTCAAGCACAAAGAATAAGAGAAGAGGGAGGTATTGTTCCCCCTTTTCTGAGTGTAAATTTTAGCAATTTCTAATTTGAAAATGTTCATTGAAAGTCTGGTAACCACCCCCTCTTTCTTATACAGTATAGTTAACAAATCTCTCCTACTTGAGTGAACAAGATTTTCACTTTGATACAGTAGAGTAAAAGAAAATCCCACTTACATCAATAAACTTTTTAAGGGGTTTGTCAAAGATATTTTTAACTAAAAGTATTTTTTGCCTCTTATAATGCACCATTTCCCCTTTCGATGCTATCATCATCATCATTGTCCTTTACATCCTGTGGTGTGTAGGGCAGCAACAAACTTCCTCAACTCTTGTCTATCCTTGGCCAGCCTCGTCAATGATCCCCAGGTCGGTGCATAGCTTTCATCTCGCTATCAACTGTCCTTCGCCATGATGTTCTAGGCCTCCCCTCTTTCTTTTGCCCTCTGGGGTCCAATGCAGTGCTGTTCTTGTTGTTGACTGGGGATCTTTTCGGAGAACATGTCAAATCCATCTCCATCGGCGATCGGTAATGATGGTACCCATGTCCTCTTGTTTGCATCAGCGCAGCAGGTCTTCTTTTGTTATCTTCTCGGGCCAGAAAATCCTGAGTATTCGGCGGAGGCGTGTGGTATGGAAGGATCGTAATTTGCTAAGATCCGTCTCTGTTATTCTCCAGCATTCCAATCCATATAGGCTATTTGATACAACACAGCTCTGGTAAAGCTTCAGCTTGGTGCTGGTGCTATACTCTGCAGATGTTATTCATTTCCCTAAATACTCCCCTGGCCTTGCCCAGTCTGCTGTGGATGTCCTCCTTTGTGCCGCCCTCTGGTTTAATGATGCTACCCAGGTAAATAAAATTATCCGTCTGGCGTAGTTCTTCACCATTGATCTTAACAGCAGCAGGTAATTCCACATTAAGTGTCATTGTCTCCGTCTTCTTCGTACTGATGCGTAGCCCCACCTGATGTCCGTAGATTTGCAGCCTGTTGGTCTTCTCTTGGATATGCTGGTGTGTGTGAGACATAAGCGCAAGGTCATCCGCAAAGTCCAGATCCTCTAAAGTTGAGAACAGGCACCAGCGGATCCCCCTTGGAGAGTCTTCTGTTGTCTTCCGCATGACCCAATCGATGACCAAGTTGAATAATACTGCAGACATTACGCATCCTTGTCTGACTCCGGTTTTAACATCGAAGAAGGTGTCATTGTGTCCTACTGAGCATCTGAAGTTGTTATAAAAACTCTTGATCAGGTGGACCAGTTTGGATGGAATACCATAATGACGTAGAATGCTCCAAAGGCTATCTCGATGTATGCTGTCAAATGCCTTTTCAAAGTCCACAAAGTTTACATACAGTTGTTTCTGCCACTCTGTGCACTGCTCTATGATGTTGCGGAGTGCAAAGATCTGGTCGATGCTATGCCTGACATTTATTTTTTCTACATTGTACCAAAACTAGATTTTAAATGCAAAAGTTAATACTGGTTATGCTTATGTTAACTCCTATTCTTTCACTGTGTTTGATTAGGACTCGAGCAAATGTAAACAAGAAACTTGACATGTCTGCTTAATCAGTTTGTATCAATTTAATCGTTGAATCATATAATAAAACAATTATTACTGTTTTTTTTGTCAGGACGATCAGTGATTTTCCACCATCGAAAAACAATGCTCTCCTCACCCTTTGGAATCGATAAATCTTTAACTCCACTAGATTCTGAATTATTGAATTGACCTTAAAAACAGCAATGATTGTATAATGTAATGAGATCAATATATCATTGATTTATTCCCAATAAAGCTCAAGTCAGCATTTTGGGCAACAGGTCTCTTGATTTATTATTTTTTATTTTGCCCCCTAAAAGTTTCAACTTTAATCCGCTTTAGTTCACAAGGGGTCATTATTCTACGGGGGTCATTTTTCTTCACGTGGGGTATGCATGTTTTTAGGGTGATGACACTTTTTCTACGGGCAAAAAGGTCATTTTTCGACTTCAAATAATGACCGGGGGTCATTTTTCGCCCATGAATAATGACCGGGGGTCATTATTCGACGTCGAAAAATGACGCCCAGTCATTATTCTATGGGGGTGATTATTCGTCTTTACAAATGGCAATAAAGAATGAGTGCACTTTAGTACGTCATTTGGAACCTTTTCGGCTACCCATTTTAAGCTTTACATTACAATATATCGCTTAATTAATCTATGATTATTGTGCAAGCATATTCTTTTGATATTTATTCCTTGAATTTTTTGTCATACATATTTCTATAATTACAGACAATGTCATTGAAAAGAACATATACAAACCTTAAATTCCGGAAATTTAAACGGGACCACTTACGAATTTAAGGTATCCGCAAATAGGCGGAGTCATTTAAATCGCATGGATGTGGAATGTAAACATTAGCACATATATGATTTTTTTTTCGCACTGCGAATTTAAATGGAGAAGAGAGAGATTGTGTAGTTTTATGGTGCACAAATAATAAATGATTCTAGTGTTTAGGGATGGGGAAGATGTCTCGCCCTGCAGACCATTATACAGAGGCGACATGAGCCTGTACATGTACTTACTAATCACACTGTCAATACCAGAATTCTTTCAAAACACCCGTAATGAAAAATACAAAGTAAAATAAGAGACATATAATCTTCAAACCCTATTAAAATTTGCGCAAAAATCTTCCATAGTTTGAAGTTGAAAGTACGATATATACTGTCACAATAGAAACTTTCAATAACAAACACAATGAAATGCTCAATGAAAGCCTTAGCGTATCGAACAGTGGAATGTCACGTGAGTAAAGTGATTATAATATCAATCGTTGACACTCGGTGAACTGTTAATTTAGTGGCTAATTCGACCGTAGTTTGGAGACTTTTTCAAAAAATTAGATATGAGCCGCAATTTGTCCAACATTGTCCTTTGGATATGTTGAAGTTTAAATCAAAATACACATTCTGTGCAAATGAGACCAATGGACAAGTTGCGGCTCGATGTAAACAATGTCGTTGAAAACTGGTATGCATATGAATAACAATAGAAATGTGACAAAACCGTTAGACCCCCGTCTCAAAAGCTAGTGTCGCTCGGCATTATTAAATACTTTCATGTAGTATAATATACCAAAACCTGCTCTTAAGACATTGTTTAATACCTATAAAACATAAAGTTTATGAACTTTGGAATTTTATTTTGCGCAAAACACCGGGACCCAGCTCTCATAGCTTAAGTGCACTCATCCTTCCAATGCGGCGCCTCACACAATAGACAAACACAAAGATCCATACAAAATAATCATGTAACGGCAGTTTTGTACCTGTGCACGTTAGTTCACTCTTTCGTTGTAAGAAAATATTTGTCCAATCGTTTCCATGACAATGGAAACAGTTCCAAAAATCTTAAATGTAAATGCATTTGTGAAGTCTCACAAAGATTTTACAAGCTAACCGTAATAATATTAGTTGACATTTTTTTCCCATGACAACGGTGGTCAGTTTTAAAAATCGAAATGTATAATAAACATTTAGAGTTGCTGATCGTCATTTCTGAAACGTTTCATTAACTTTATCCAAGTCATGTTAGAGAAAATGTTCGGACAAAATAATAAGTCTAGCGATAACGATATGTAGTCCTGACTTACCTTTAACCAATAGCCACTGTGACGTATCTATTGTGCAAATTTAATTTAGAGCTGAGAACACAATAGAAAGAAACACATGCAATGTTTTTAAACAAATCTTAATTGCGTTTACGTCTAGTTTTAATCAGAAAAATGTAAGAGAATTACCCGTTCAGATCCAAACCTTAGCATCAATCGTCTATTTTGAACTTTGTATGGGGGTCATTTTTCAACGGGGGTCAATTTCTTATAGGTCGCACAGGTAGAAAACTGATCCCTAGGGTTCTTTTTCTACAAAAAATGACATTTTTCTACAGCTTGGGGGTCATTTTTCGATGACCCCCCCCCCGTCATTTTTCTACGGGGGTCATTATTCGTCTTTACACCGGTCGCAACAGACATGTCGATAAAAATAGGTAGCAATTGAGTGAATTCAAAAATGATGACCCACAAATTGATTTTTTTAAAAAAGAAAATCAACCTATAATAACATATTTTTCAATTATAATATCATACAAATGCATAGTAAAGTTTCAGAATTTTTATAAGTAGAGCATTATTTGAAAAGGGAAAATATTACTACATCCTTAAAAACTTTATGAAATAAATAATCAAAAGAAATTATAGTTTTTATCCTTCATACTTGTGTCATTGATGTAAATGATAAGATCTTAACCTTGATTTAGTTTCTTCTCTTGTACGAGGGTTAAAATATTAAAATAAACACAACCCTGGGTCTCGTTTATCGCCGCACGGCAAAAATGTATCGACATCGTTATGACGTTTCTCTTTGACACCCATTTCGAATCAGATGATGCATAAGATTTACGCAAAAAGGAATGATTTTAGAAATAACATTTGGGCAAGGTTAAAAAAATTTTAATACTACAACTCAAAATAAGACGGTTTGTAGCAAAATGGAAGTATTAAAAAGTATCAAGATATTTAAAAAGAAGCACGTGAGGGGCTAAAAAGATTTGCGGGTGAACTGAAAATGAGTGCCGAAAAGTAACGTTATAACGGCGTCGGTAACATTCTTGCCGTGCGTCGATAGACAAAACCTAATGTTGTGTTTATCTCAATATTTTAGAAATTAAAGTATTTTATGTAATCAAATGAAATTTTAAGTCAAAAATCAAAATAGATATTGGTATTTGTATGTGTAATTGTGTTGATAACATTTGATTATTAAAGATTTTAGAGCTGACATTGCTTTTGGATCAACCTTCGTATTTGTGAAAGAAATTGGCTTTTTGATTGTTATTTTACATTAATTGTTTCAATTCTGGTTTGAAAAGTTTTGATATGAAGTAATATAATGCAACAAATTCCCGAATTTTTTTTTCGTCCATTTTAGTAAATTTTTTTAAATATAGGCCATTTTTAAAAAAAATTTATCTATTTTCTTACAAAACATACCAGATTTTGAAGTGATCCTATTTTACCTTATTTTGTGGCACTCTTATGGCATCAGACTTTTTTTTTTAATTAAACATTGCTTAAAAATTTATTACACACAATAATTCATTCAAAGTTTGTAAAACAGTTCGTCGTTCTGCTATTTTTACGGCAAGTTTTTCATATTTTAATGACTTCAAAATATGATTGTTTGCTTATGTAATATAACTTTTAAAATATATGTTTGGTGATGAAAACTATTCTGTGAATTGTCCGTAAAATGTCCAAAAATATCAGTAATTTGTTGATAGACATAATGATCTCAACTACAAAGAGTATCAAACATTTTCTGCAATTTATTTTTAGTAAAGATAGATGAAGTTCATTGATAATAAAAACAGTTGGTTGCACTCCTGACTGCAGTAAAATTTAAAATTAAAACGGTAGAACACAAAAATTTATAAAGTGTTGGCAACATAAAGTTGGGACTCTACCACTTGAAATAAAAAGAAAATTACGATCAATGTCAAATTTCAGATATTAAATAAGTATTGAGAAATCTGCTCCACCATCGTATTTTGAATATGCTAATAGACGATTTAATGCTCTTTATACCAGACTTCGTCATGTCTGTGTATTGAATAACGACCTTCACAGATGCATTTTAATCTCAAGTTCTCTATGCTCGTGTCGAGAAATAGAAGATACATATCATTATTTCTTTTATATGTTCAAAGTATTTGAAATCAAGAAAGGAATTTTTCAATAAATTTTAACTAGTTGATAAATTCACATTTCAGATACACGTGTCTTATTATAGAGGATAGATTCATTGAGTGCCGAAGAGAATGAACGTCTTTTCTCTTCTGTTTAAGTATTTATTAAACATTCTGGTAGATTTCCTTGTTTATATTGATAAATATACCGGTATATGTATATACAAAATTACATACATGCATCTACAAAATGCATTGATCTGTACATTTTGCAAATATTGTATGCTTTAAATCTTCATGCTTAACTGTGACTTAATTTAACTTCAAATTTAAACTGTAATCATGTTTCACTTTGACTCAATTTAAATTTGTAATACACATGTAGGGAGAGGGCGTAATAAGTTTTTAGAACTTGTGCCCAATATCTTTGTAATTTAAAGTATAATAAAATGTGTTCAAACAACTAACCAAGTCATCTTGTTTGTCATACAAATTAGATGTTAGTTTGCGCTTATCGTTTATTGTCATTAAACATCCAAATATGAAAAAAGTGTGGCAGACTCTGTGGTGTCTTTTCTTTCGAGTTCTCACTAGGATATATCGAGTTGACATATGATTCTTATTTGTCTTTGTCTATCTGATAAAAATGCATAAACCTAAATGAAAAGTTGTTATTTCCGCTATTTTAATATAGTTCTAAGTTGCTTGCCATGAAGCAAGGGGAACCTTTAAAAATGTTACACAAAGTTTTTTACGAAAGAAGGGTGAGAATCAGTATCCTATGAAGTAGTTTAGCAGTAGATGAATTGCAAAAAATATTCAATAATTCAGAAATGAAAAAAGAATTAGATTACACGATCAGTTTGCACTGGTCCCCGCTAACAAAGCAGGTCACTTCTCCGTGGCACCTGATCCCACCTCTGATGTTTTAGAAGTCCGTGTTTGCTTTGCTCCTGATTTGTATTATTTGAATGGACTTTTGAGCTTGAACACTGTTTCTTTATTCATATTTCATTATATGACCTTCCTTTTTGGATTAACTTAAGAATAACATTTAAACTCAAAGACAAGATCGTCATGGATGTTTAACTTTGAAGTGTTGGCTAGTTTTTAGAGCTTACTTTTCCTTTTCTCATTGCCGTATGCAATACCAATATTCCATATAAATATCCAATACAAATGTGTAATGCTGAACCCGAAGTTAATTGGCAAAGCATATGGCCAATGTAGCAATTATATATGCAATATGAAAGCACCATCATTCAATTGTTTATCAATGTGCACTTATCAATTGGTACTGGGGACCAATGAAATATATGGAGATAACGAACAGTAATCGAGCTCAAAAGTCCATTAAACAATACAAAGTATGAGCAGAGCAAACACGGACCTCCAAACATCAGAGGTGGGATCAGGTGCCATGGAGAAGTGAGCATTCCTTGCCGACCGGTCACACCCGGCGTGTGCTCCTTGTCATGATCGGGAAATAACGGGAAAATCCGTCGACAATTCAGTGTATGAATAATGGTCTAGCAATCAGTATGAAAAACGTCAGTCAGCATTTGACTCAGTGATAAATTGTATTTGCTGACAAGGTCATTGTATCGACCATAGAACTTACAAAATGATGACTTTAAACGAGACAGCTGATATTCTTGTTTCATCAACTTGTTTGTCAATAGCTGGCCTCGTTTTAGAAATTGTACATATATAGAGCGTATCGAATCAACTGAGAGATATATACCCTGTATGCAGGTGATGAAGGTATATTGCTGCATAAGTAAGGGAAGTTGACGATTGAAAAGTTAAAGTCATCACATTTATAATAAAGCTTGGTTGTTAGATTACAACGTCTTTTTCAATTAAAATATCCAAATATGAAACAGATGTGTCGGACTCTGTAGTATCTTTAATCTCAAGCTCACCGGGATATATCGTATCGACATAAGAATGGAAATAGCCATTGTTAATTGACAATACGTCGTCGATATATCTAAATGTCGAGTTGAAGGCCACAGCAAGTGATTTCTTCTTTTCACGTACAAGATTTTGGACAAATTCTGCTTCATATGAATACAAAAAAGGTCTGCTAATAACGGGGCGCAATTGGTACCCATGGGAATTCCAATAGATTGTTGGAAGACCTGGTCTCCAAAAACCACATAGATATTGCCAATCAGAAACTCAACTTTTTTAATGTCAACTTCAGAGTACTTGTGTGTACAATCAGAATGTTTTTTAACAAAATAATTTTGCAAATGACCAATGACAAGGTAAGTAAATTTACGAGTTCCATTTTTATTGATAAAGCAGCTGTCAATGATATCAAAAAGCCTGGACTTTAATTTATTGTGGGGAATGGTTGTGTATAAAGTTGAAAAGTCGTAAGTTTTTTAACTGTTGATTTTGGTAAAATCTTGTGATTTCAAATTTTCCAAAAGTTCCTTGGAATTTTTAAGCATCCACATCTGATTTACACCACTTCCCGAATATATTGTTGCACAGTACTCTTGAAGTTTCTCCTTCAGTACTGTTAATATCTTAGTGAGGAGTAAAGAAAGAGCTTGGTTGGAAGGACCATAAACATACATTTAGGATACTTATACCGACACCAGAAGAATGCCTAAAGATCAGGGTGATGGTGCAGTAACATATAATAACATGTAAAGAGAAAACGTCAATAAATTAGTGAAATTAAGGTTTTAAAGTTAGAAAAAAAAGATGGTGAGGGAGAGGGGGTAATATACTTCTGCTCCTAAACCAACTGCACAAAGTATTTCTTCCTGCTATGAGCCTGTGATTAATTGTCAGTAGAAACCATGATTCAATTACAGTGTTCAATTATTATAAAATGTATTTACATGTATATATATGAATTAACAACACTTACTTTTCAGATATATAATAAAACAACAATACCTATCAAAATCTCTGTATCACATCCCACATCAACCCTTGACCAATATCAGCCCTCTGGCCTTTGGGCTGATATTGGAGTCTCGGGTCAATATGGGATGTAAAACTGAATTTGCCATGTAGTATTCTCTGTTTACTAAAATTTGTGGACTTTATTTGTTTCCAAGGACCTAAAATTGGCTCTACTAGATTTTAAAGAAAAAGGTCATTAAACGTGCACGGTACATTCTAAAATGACTCTCTTTGAATTCAGATATCAAGAATTTTAAATATGATAAATAAAATAATACATGCTGAAATCCATTTCATATGTCATATCAGCCCGAGTAGCTCCAGCCTCGGGCTGATGTGGGGCCACTTGGGCTCACATGACATATGATGTACATTTTAGTATGTAATATTCTCTTCATCATACCCTTTTCGTATCACATCCTGTATTAGCCCTCGGGTCTTCAGCCTTCTGGCTAGCTCGGGCCGGGCTGATAGAGGATGTGATATGGAAAAGGGCATGTATTATTCTCTATTTATATGTTCATCATTTAGCTCATATTTGGTTACTCATAATTATACAAAAATGATAGTAAGAACACACTTCATATGTCCAATAATTGATTTATTAGTATGCATTATTTTTCGATCCTGTTGTCATTCCATTTAACAATCCATTTCCGGATTGAAAGGTTGCAGGTCCACGAGTGCCCAAGACTGAATATATCATATTGATTGGTGAGGGTATTCCAAGTCCCCCGTTAAATGCTGAGTTTCCAGAAAATGAAGAAGATCCAGGCTGGGAAATGAACATAGATGAAGGAATCCCAACGTTTCCACTGTTAGTGAATGAGGGCATCATGCTATTCCTTTCAGTAAATGGCATGTTCCCAGCTGAAAGTGAAGAGGATCCAAAGTTAAATTCAGATGCGGAAATTCCCATGTTTCCATTCGAGGATCCTTTTTCTGCCATGATGGAAGAGGAGCCGAAGTTAATTTGAGATTCAAAGGGAGATTCAGAAGGAATTGTGTTCACTGACGCTGCATTACTGGCTTGCTGGGCATTGTTAGAAGGGATGGGTGACATATCTCTATTGGGCATAACAGCAACTCCTCCATTCGATGCACCTATTGGTGCCCTATTGATTGGGAATGGTCCTAAATCGGAATTAAAATTTGGGCCACAAGTGGTCTGACAATCAAGTTGTGAGCGGAAGTTGTTATTTCCACCGTTGCTTCTACCGTTGCATGAGCTGAACCGGAAAGGTTGACAGGTACCAGAGAACTGATCAAAGGCATATCTTATCGTGTATCTGTAGACAGGTGGTTCGAATGGACTGATGGGACAGATGTTGCCAAAGTCAATGTCGCTGAAGCAACCGCAACTCCTGAGACATTCGGTTCTTGAGGAGAATCTATTTGGAGTTCCGCCACATCCCCGGTAGTAAAAAGACTGGCATCTTTGAGTAAATGGATCGTAGTAGTACTGGGTGGAGGGAAGAGACCCAAAGGGACAAAAGTATCCCGAGTCCACAAATAACGTGCATGCTAGCCATTAAAAACAATCAATTGATTAAGAAGAGTAGATTTATGAAATCTTGAGAAATGAATAATTCAAACAGGATTCATACTTACTGAATGGGACCCTAGGACGTAACATGACTCTTGGGGGAGGGGGTAGGGTTTCAGGAGGGTCTCTTCCAGGACTACCAGGAATCCTGTTTGAAGCACTCATTGTCATTCCTTGATTGATTTTCTTTGAACCATTTTCATTAAATGCACCAGACGTTCCCGTCCCCTCTATATTGGCAGTGGATAACTTGTGCATTCTTCCCAGTACAGTGGGAAGTAATGATATCCACAAAGCAAACAAATTCATGACAGAGAACCTGTAAAAATTAAGAAATATTAATTTATCCCTCTACTAAAACATGGTTACATTTACTAAACTAAAAATATGATTTTTTTTTTATCTCTCGATTACACATTATTTATATATTTTTTAGAATTAAAAAATTAGGTTCAAGGTATTATTCACAAAATGTTAGGACGTTAACACCACCGCCTTGACTGTTAACGCAAGTTAGTGCAATATTACTGCTATTGAATACTACATAGGTGTGTTAGAGATGTATATCCTGTGTTTTCACATTTTCTCTGACATTGCCCTTTTGTTACATAGACTGTTCTTTGCAGTTTAACAAAGTAGACGGTGATTATGACATTTTGTTTCTGTGTACTTCATTATAAGAAATCAACTGTAGTTACGAATCTGGAACTGGAAGACCAGATTAATGGCACCACTGCATGTTGTCAATAAATTACAACAGAATCATCTTTATACATGTTTCTTATTATGGTGTCAGCAGAATTCAAACATAGCAAACTTTGGTAGAATAAGTCTTTTACTCTACTTTATTAAACTGATTTTTTGACAAATAAGTAATCTATTATACTTGTGTCAAGTTGTGTGCCCAACAAATTGGTAATTATAACATGACACATTGATAATACATATACATGTTTGCAAGTTTGATTGTCTCAAGTCTGTTCTCTGGTTATTTCGAACAATACACAGGCTGATAGTTTCATTTTTAAAAGACTAAAGAATATACTAAAATACGGATTAAATTTCTTACACGTAACTACTCAACCTGCAAAATGCTATAGGGATCAGACCAAAGACAACATTTTCAGATACCCTTCACAACAAAATATTATATTTACATGCACTGAATATTTTCTCCTTTATTTCTTAAGGAAAAAAACAATGTCCTTTTTAAGTCAGTAAACGCTAAGCATATCACATGTACAGATTTCTTGAGCAGTGGCTCTTCCACCAATGAAACGTAAAGAGTTGCAAATATCAATAATACAATATTTAATCTACTTAATTCTACTTAAGATGATTATTTGTACAGATATAAATATGAACAATAAATTGTCCTTGCTTTCTTTTTTTAGTATGGGAATTCACGTTGCAACTATTGCAGATAAAATTACATAACCTGCTTACGCGGGATATGCTTTTTTCTGCAACATTAATTCCCATAGTGACAACCAAAGAAAACATTTTATTGTTTAAATAATATCACAGTTTGGATAATGTAATTAACAAGCAATCATGATTTTTCCAGACTATCCTCACAAATGGCTACTTGCGTCATCCATAACCTCCTGTAGTGGTTCTCGATGACAAGTATAAGAAGCAAAAAATTAATGACCTATCGTATAAATTTTTAGGAATATTTTTTATTTTACTCATATTATGGATCAGGAGTCGATTCAACATTATTTCTTAACAACAATGCATTAAATCTTTACAACTTACGGAACTGTGACGCAACATACACTTAATGTTCACGTCATAGAAATATGACGTTACCTTTTTCCCGCAAGCACTTTATAGCGAGGTACAAGTTTCTCTAAAGTTTAGCGTAAATAATTGACATAATATCGGTATTTTAATAAGATTATAACATTTCTTATTTTATGAGATTTTAGCAAGTATAAATTGGAAGGGAATTGGCATTAAATTGAAGACTAAATTTATTTTTGAAAGTGCGTGAAAATGCGTGATTGCGGGGAAACGGTATATGCGTGATTCTGCGTTAGAAATAGGAAATGGTATATGCGTTAAAATGCGTGACTGCGGGGAAGAGGGTTAAATTAAATTATTCATAGATATCCTATATGATATGTTTTTCATTTTTAGAATAGAATATATCCCTTCAATCTACTACTTTGCTTTATTTCATTAAAGTTTTACAAAGTTTTCATGACTAACAATGTTTCAATGTAGTTCAGCGCTCACATATGGAAATATGCAGTTTCCGTATCTTATAGTTATTTTAACCATTCACCTGTGCGGATAAACTTTGAAACAAGCGTAGTTAATCTTAAATTCAAAGAGCCTATTTTGATTAACCTACCTGAAGGCAGCGAACCAGAAATGGTTTTTTATCTCTCGATTTATCACATTATTTATATATTTTTCAGTGTTTAAACATGAGGTTAAAGGTATTAATTACAAAATGTTAAGAAGCTAACAACACTGCCCTGATTGTAAACGCGAGTCAGCGTGATATGACTTCTATTGAATAGTACATCGGTGTGTAAGATATGTATATCCTGTGTTTTCTCGTTTTCTCTGACATTGCCCTTTTGTTACATACATGGTCCTTTGCAGTTTAACAAAGTAGACGGTGATACTGACGATTTTTTTTCTGTGTACTTCATTAGAAGAAATCATAGAGACAACTTCTGTCTGTAATCAATTACAGTATCATTCAACTGTAGTTACTTGTAGACCAGATTAATGGCACCACTGCATGTTAACAATAAATTACCACAGAAGCATCGTCAAACATGTTTCTTATTATGGTGTCAGCAGAATTCAAACGTAACAAACTTTAGTAGAATACGTCTTGTATTCTTCTTTATTAAACTGTTTTTTTTTTTCGCAAATAACTAATCTTTTATACTTGTGCCAAACAAATTATACCCATTTCTAAGAAATAAATTATTCAGAATCATATGTCTGTTTTAAATTTTTTTAATATTCCCAACAACCAAATAAATTTGAATTACTATACTTTTACTGGATTCCTAACATTCACCAAATTCTTACAACCAAAGATACTTAGCAGGTTCCAATGAATGGTCTACCAAGCCTCCTTCTTTTCTTTACGCTAAAATTTTAACAGCAATGAAGGAGAAACTTCAGGAGTACTGAACAACAATATATTCAAAAGTGGTGTAAATCAGATTTGGATAATTAAAACTCCAACGAAGTTTTAAAAAATATAAAATCACAAAATTTTACTTAAATAAATACATTGTAACTGCAAAACATATGACTTTTCAACACTTTATACAACCATCCCCCACGAAAGTCCAGGCTTTCTTTACATTATAGACAGCTGCTTTTTCAATAAAAATGGAACTCATAAATTTACTTCGTCATTGGTTATTTGCAAAATTGTTTTGTTTAAAACATTCTAATTGTACACACAAGTACTCTGAATTTGATATTAAAAAGATACTTGAGTTTCTGATTGACAATATCTATGTAGTTTTTAGAGAACAGGTCTCCAACAATCCGTCGAAATTCCCATGGGTATCAATTACGCTCCGTTATTAGCAGACCTATTTTTATATTCATATGAAGCAGAATTTCTTCAAAAACTTATACATGAGAAGTAGACACTTGCTGTGACCTTCAACTCGACATTTAGATATATTGACGACATTTTATCAATTAACAATAGTTACCTCCGTTCATATGTCCAATCGATATATCAAAGTAAACTTAAAGTAAAAGATATCACAGGGTCTGACACATTTGTTCTATTTTGGATATTTTACTAGAAAAAGACGTTCAACGTCAACTTCCCTTCCTTATGTAGCAGTATACCCTTATCACGTGCGTATGGGGTTTATATAGCCGAGTTCATTCGACACGGAAGAGCATACTCCACGTACAAAAAATTTCTAAAACGAGGCAAGTTATTGACAAACAAGTTGATGAAGCAAGGATATCAACAGTCCCGTTTAAGGAGGCTGGGGGGTCAACAAATTAACCACAAATTAACCACCAGATTTAACTTAATTTTTTAGATATGATATCTTAAGCTGTCAACTATCATTTGGCAAAGAAAAATTTCAAAAATTTTAGTTTTAAAATTTGATCATTTTCTATATCTTCATATGGAGCTCTTCTTCTAAAGGAGATCAATATAGTCTAAAAATGGCCACCCCCCCCCCCCGCCTCTTTAAAGTCATCTTTTTGCAAGATCTATGGTCGTAACAATGACCTTGACAACAAATACAATTTATCATTAAGTCGAATGCTGACTGGCGGGTGTGACTGGTCGACAGGGGATGGTTACTCCTCCATGGCACCTGATCCCATCTTTGATGATTTAGAAATCCTAGTTTGCTCTGCTTCCGATTCGTATTGTTTCAATTGACTTTTGAGCTTGATTACCGTTCGTTATCTCCATGTTTCAATACGCTTTGATAATACACGTTTGCAAGTTTGATTGTCCAAAGTCTGTTTTCTGGTTATTTCAAAGAACACACAGGCCGGTGGCTTTTTTTTAAAGCTAGGCTAAAATATATGCTAAAATTCTGGTTAAATTTCTTTCGAGAGGTTGTGTTAATCAGATGTGGATTCTCAAAAACTCCAAAGATCGTTTAGAACATTTGAAATTGCCAAATTTGTCAAAAGTCAGGAAAATCAAAACGTACGACTTTTTTTTTTTACAAACCATTCCTCAAGATCAATTTAAAACTTTTTTGATATCATTGACAACAGCTTCTTCAATAAAAATCGGAAATTTTCGTATCTTGTGATTGGTCATCCATAAAATTTTCTGTTAAAAATCACTCTGATTCTACACACGTACTAAAAGGATGCTGGAGTTCCTCACTGGCAACATTTATTTAGTCTTCGGAGACCAGGTTTTTCAACAACTGTACGAATTTCGAAGGGAACTAATTGTGACCCCTTATTAGCCAACCTGTTTTTATATTCCAGTGAAGCAGAATTTATTTAAAACCCTCTACTTGAGAAAAAATACTTGTTGTGGCCTTCAAATCGTAATTTAGATAAATAGACGACGTATTAATAGTTACAGTACTTCCATTCACATATGACGACTCGATATATCCCAGGGAACTTGAAAAGACACTACAGAATCTGCCACATCTGTTTCATATTTTAATGTTTTACTGACTATAAACGACAAGTGCCAACCAACAAATAAATTATATGACAAACGTGATGACTAGCTTTTCTATCGTCAACTTTCCTTAGCTATGTAGTAATATCCCGCTATCAGCTGCATATTGTTTTACATCTCCCAACTTATTCGATACTCAAGAGGATGTTTTGAGCACGATAAATTTTTAAACCAAGACATGCCACTGACATATAAGTTGATGTTACAAGGATTTCAACAACATCGTTTGAAGTCAGTATTTCGTAAATTTTATGGTCGTTACAAGGACCGTGTTAGCAAATATAACCTCTCTTTGAGTCTTTTTTGGCTAACGTATTTCATACCGATTGTTAGTCTTTTGTTTTTATACTGAATTTGACTACGAAATGTAGTTATTAAGTCTAACGCTGACTGACGTTTTTTATACTAGTTGTTAGACTGTTATCTAAACACTGAATTGTCTACGGATTCTTCCGTTCACTCGATCATGACAATGAGCACATGGCGGGTGTGACCGGTCGACAGGGGATGCTTACTCATACATGGCACCTGCTCCCACCTCTGATGTATTTTAGAGGTCCGTGTTTGCTCTACTCCCGATTTGTATTGTGTCAGTGGAATTTTTAGCTATCTCGATATTTCATTCAGTCTTCCTGTTTAATACATAGTCCTCACGGGATGCTTAATCCTCCTATGCACCTTTTCCTCTTTTCGGAATTACCAGGGGTCCGTGTCTTATGCCCTCTTCACAAATTTGTATTGTTTATAGTTTTTTTTAGATCGATCACCGATCGTTATCTTCACCTTTTTGTCATCAATTACATGTAACTACTCATCCCGCATCATGCTAAAGGCATAATAACAAAGACAACTCTACATCAAAATATAATTATCACAGTTTGGACAATGGTTTTATTATAATAAACAAACAATCATGATTTTTCCAGACTTTCCTTACATATGGCTACTTGCGTCATCCATAATCTCCGGTAGTGCTTCTTGGTGACAACAAGTATAGAAAGTGAAAAGTAATGACCTATCGTATACATTTTTATAAATGTTTTTATTTAATTCATATATTTTATAAAATAATAATCATGACAAAATGTTTGTCTTGCTATAATTTAGGATTGTCAAATGATTTATTTCTGTTGTTTTCGTTCTGTTTTGTGTTCGCTTATTATTTCAAGACGATCCTTGTATGCGAAATTATGTCAACAGTGTTCTAAAAGTTTCTTTTATCAAATATTAAGTTATTTAAATGATTTTGATGTCTATAAATGAAGTTCACTTCGTCCAGAAACATTGTTGATATATTTCGTACTTCTATGTAATTTTTTAAAGTTTGCTTGAAATAAAATGAAAGGTTAAAGGACTTTAACAATGAAGAACTTGCATAAACTGTGAGAATATCTCAATTTAAACATAACTTAACTTTCGTCAAATAATAATTAAATTAACAAATATTTCAGACGGCCACACGGCTACTCGCCTCACCTACAACTTCCGAATATACCAGGATGTGCTAGACGTGTTTACAAGTTAAAGAATTTCGCATAAATTCAGCATTCTCCCGATTTTTTAAATTAAAGTACAAGAGGTGTCCAAGTAAATCGTAGCTGTGCTAGTTGCAAACTAGTTAACGCATTTAAAGAAAATTTTATATAATTCTTTACGCAGTTTAAAAAATTAAAAGAAAACATTTCCTATAAGATAATTTTTCTTTACAAATAAAAGAAAAAGCAACTTCGTACGGCGTATGCTATCAAATGTCATATATGGAAGCTAAGGTTTCAAGGCTATACCCAAATAATATTCTCCTCAATATTATTACTTTTTGTGCTAATAAACCACATATCTACCTGATATAGCTTACCAATAAGTTTCCGAAATTTCATTTGTATATGCTGCTATACTGAAAGTCCTCATGCTACCTACGGGATACACATACAAGGTACTCTAAAGCAACCATCATATTCGGTTAAACCGAGAAAGGTTTCGCCATTGAAACAATTTTGGCTCTGTTAGTTGTTATTGTATGCCACTTGGTACAAACGTAATCACTATTTGCATTATATTTCAAAGTATGGTCTTCAAACTAGGTTTGCTCAATTTGAAACACACCATAATGAAGTACATAACCACATAGGCCACTCCATGAATATATGTCTGTGGCTACAGAAGATTTTCTGAACGCAAGAATACTTTGAGCCATGTGGACTTTCTTCAGGAACCAGTAACCAGATTTTCTTGGCATCATTTGGGGATTAAAAATGTGATTTTATACGTCGTTTACAAGAATATGAATTCCAAGTATAAACATTGGAAATACAATATCTCTTCTAAATAAGTTAATGGCAAAGTAAGCATTTCTACTACAAATGATAAAAAAAATTAATATGTACATAATTTAGGATCATTAAATGTGGCTTAGATAAGTGTGATAAGAGGAACGTGACCCTACATATTGTTTTATCAATGGATCTTGTACTTAAATTACGACATACATGTACATGTTTTTTCTGGTCTAGAGGTAAGTTGAAACGTTATATTTTAAAATGTTCATGCACTGCACATAGCTAAGTAACTAATCATATATTTTTTAATGTAGTAATTTCAACTGCTCGAGTGTCCGTTTTATTCACATTCGATTGTTATTCAAAAAGTCTTCCATATTTATTCTTTGAAAATTATTTAATACTCGGTAGTGTATTGGTGAACGAACCATAGTTTATTTTTAATCTAAAATATAAAGCAAATTTATGATGAAGTCTCTGGGAAAAAAGTATTATTGTTTTGAATAAACAAAAAAGCAGTTTTAATATTAATACGCGCTTGATATTAGATTCACTTCGATTTGTTTTAGGTGATTTCAATACATTGTTCACCGTCCATGATGTGTCCTACATAGACACTTTGTGACACCAGTCAGCGATTGTTCCATTTGTCACCGCCATTTATTTACCTATTTAATTCTGCAGATATGGACATGCTGAACAATGACGAATGTCAGTTTTGTTATGATAAAGTTATCTTTCGTTGTATGCCTTGTAAGGTAGCTCTTTGTAAGGACTGTGTAGCTGTCCATATCAAAATGACCTCTACGATATCCCACAAAATTGTTCTCTCAGAAGAGGGAAAAGAAGAAAAAAGGAGGCAGTTATTTAAAAAAGATACCCTATCATCTGGGTTTGAAAATATGTGTGATGTAAGTTACCAAGACATGGGATTATTTTACATTTGCTCGGAACAATGCAAAGTGATAAAGAAACTTAATCTCTCTGGAAAAGAAATTGATTCGTTTAAGGCGACCAAAAGTCCTCTCTGTGTAAAGTCGTGTTCTAATGGTGTACTTTATACGGAATTTGGGATAAAAGCGGTGATGTTTTACATAAGGGGACGTATTAAACATCTCTTCTCAACAGGAGACTGGCAACCACAAGGAGTAAACACAACTAAAGCTGGTAATATTTTGTTGACTCTTCGACGAAATAAAGAAGCAAAACTAGTCACATTTAGTCAACATGGAAATGTTTGCAGCGAAATACAGTATCAGGATAGGGAACCTTTGTATTGCGATCCATGGTATGTAGTTGAGAGTCCAAGAGGTTATCTCTGTGTATCCGACCAGGGGAAAAGCTCGGTAATTTGTGTACGCAGTGATGGCGAACTAATATTTCAATATTATGGACACAGAAATTCATTCTACCCACGTGGTTTGTGTTCAGACGCCACTTCCCATTTTATTGTTGCTGACCCATGGAACAACAAACTTCATTATATTTCTTCATGCGGAGAGTTTATTTGTTATCTTGAGTATGAGTCGATGGATAGTCCTACAAGTATATCTAATGTTGCTGATAAACCAAACAATTTTCTTATTTGTGAAATCGGGGGATTTATTCATAGCGTAGAAATGTAACAAAAAGGGATCTGTTTTTCTTACGTTTTCTGCTTCAGCCATTATAATTATTTACCATATACAGCTTCAACTGCTTTAGTTCAACTGGTTTAGAATTGATTTTGAAGATCGTAAAGAGACACTCAGTTCAATGCGTCTGATTATGATTCTTGATAATCCTTAACAATGACATCTTTTGACAGAGTAACTTGTATTTTATATTGACATGTAATAATTTTTGAACTTCAATCTAAAATGATGGTACAAGATATGGTGTTTATGACTCCCAAATGATTCAGTACGCAAGAGCATACCCTGAGTACGGTCAATTTTAAATAGGGACATGCTACTGACAAATGAGTTGATGTTACAGGACTTTAAACTATATTGCTTATAGTCAGTATTTCGCAAATTCTATGGTCAATATAATGGCCTTATTTACAAAAACCTCGTTGGGTCGTATTTTGACAAAAATGTTTTAAAATAATGTCTAGGCACTTATTTTAAGGCCCGCATGGTGCAGTGGTTAGAGCGTCTGCTCTAGAGTCGCGGAGTAAGGAGCTGATCCTTTCGTCGGGGGTTCGAATCCACTGTGGGACATGGAGGATGCTTGTAACTCCCCCTAGGCTTGTGATACCACTTCTGATGTTTCCATGGTAGGATTTATGAGATCGATACTGTCCATTATCTTCATCTTTTCATAGAAAAAAAACTTAAAGCAATTTCCCGTTTGGTTTTCTTTTATTTATACATCTAATAGATCTTTGTATTGTTTGAAATATATTTTTATACATATCTTTTTATGATTATACAGAATACGAATTACAAAAAAGTTGATAAACAATGAATTTATCATATCAATTAGAACAAATAGCAAATATATGAAATAATTACAGCTACATGAATGTTAAAAGGTTATTTTCAATGTTTTAAATAGCAAAGGTGTTCCACGTCCTATATAAATGTCAATGAATACCTTGATATTTTCTCAGAAATATGTTTTAGTTTCAATTTTTCTATCTATTAAATAGATAACAGTACCCGTAATATTTAAATCAAATACTCGGTTATGATTTTCGAATATTTGTATTTGTAAGATGTTATCCTAGTGTATTTAAGAGCAAATGTTTGAGGCCGACTTGAAATAACAAGATCACAGAGAAAATGTCATTGTTTAGGCCTTAAACTTTGTTTTTAATTTGACTACAGACTACTCCGTCTACCTGATCTATACGTGTACATAGAGCTCACGGCTTGACCGATCGACAGGGGATGCTTACTCCTCCCTGACACCTGATCCCACCCCTGGATTTTCAGGGGTCAATGTTTTATGCCCTGTTTACAGATTTGTATTGTTTGTAGGATTTTTTTTTAGATCGATCAAGTTCGTTATCTTCACCTATTTAATTCCTTAATCAGGGAAAAATAAATAAAATATTTTTTTTTTATTTGGATGGAGGTGTTTTGTGTAATGCTTAGCTAGACACTGTCTAGGCACCAACCAGATGTAGAATATTAATACTCGTTGTTAATGTTTTAAGTTTAAATAAAATACAAGAGGCATTCAACAAATCCTTCAGTCTTGATAACCATGTCTTATTTCAGAAAGGCAATCATCCTTGAAAACTCTGTGGTTTGATGCTAATGATTTCCGTCATTTTGAAAGCCTTATATTGGCAGAATTTTGATTTATAGACAGTTGACTAATAAATATCATTTACTTTACACCTCAGAGAGAAAATTGATTAAGTGCAATGTTTTAATAAATTGCTGAACCTTCATTTTAGATAGTTTTAATTCAAACATATCTCGGAATATGTATACTTATTTTAAATATCAATTGTTTGTTTCTAATATTATGAATAATATCAATTTATTCTACGTACTTTTGGAACCTTTAATAAAACATAAATTCATTTTTAAATAAATTACTCAATGTAATTTATACAAAAATACTTATAATTGCTTAAAGAATTTTTTAGCAAACGTATATACATGTACTTTTGTAATATAATTTGAAACATTGCAAAGTAGTCATATTATCATACCCCGTTAGAAACCTCCTTGTTTGAAAGGCGTTGACTATTAGTAATAAGATAAAACCATGGCCGTAGGAACCCGGAGCACGGGGGGGGGGGGGGGGGAGGGGGTCATATATAGAATACTATAGAAAACATAGCTATTGTATGCTTGTGCCCCCTCAATAATAACGTCTGATGACCATTTTTTTTTGGTTTGTCAAGGAATTTTGGTAGTTGATTGTGCCCCCAACTGAAAATGTATGGTTGTGCCCCCTCAAAGTGAAATTGCTTCATACGGGCCTGAAAACGCTTTACAATTTGCAGACTTTTATTTCTCGATAGGTCGGACAGCATTAGGTACAGCGTACCGAATGTTAACAAAATTTCGTATTAACAGACATAACTGATAATTAACAAAAATGAGTGACAGATGTCATAACTTATATATTTTACGGGTAGAATTTAAGATTAGTATTCTTAAATAAGCAATGATTAAGTCACTCGAAGTACGACCATCTGATCATCGCACTTGTGGCTAATTGACATAATTAAATACTATATAATTATAAAATCTGGCTCACTGAAGCAATTATGACAATTCATCACTAAATTACTATTCAGTAAAATTCGATATATATATCCTACGTGTCGGATCTATTAAACAGATACAATGTCGGAGATTGAATTTTATATAAAGCACTAAAAATGACCAACGACACGAACAATTAAAAATTGTCAAATTTTCGGGACGCCCTGTCCCTTCCTCAGGACAAAGAAAAAGATAAGTTAAGAAGTCATAAAAACAAAGGAAATAAAGAAACAAAAAACAACTAGCACTACTACTAAACTACCAAACACTGTGTATTTACAATGTTACATGTTTAATTTGAAGTTTATAACCAGTTGTAAAGAAAGAAATTCGGACAGCTATGAAATACGTCCGGTCTGTCGGTGTTCTCTGGTGACTTTACAAATCGGGAGCAGAGCAAACACCGGCCTCCAAAGTCATCAGTGGCGGGATCAGGTGCCATGGAGTAGTAAGCATCCCCGTCGACCGGTCACACCGCCGAGTGTTCCTTATCATGATCGGGCAAACTGAAAAATCCGTAGAATTCTCAGCGTGTAAACAAAGGCGTAACAATTAGTATGAAAAACGTCAGTCAGCATTTGTCCTAATGATAGATTGTATTTGCTGATATGGTTATTGTATCGACCATAGAACTTGCCGAATGATGACTTCAAACGAGATTGTTGATATCCTTGTTTCGTCAACTTGCTAGTTAATAGCTTGCCTCGTTTTAAAAATTGATCGTACGTACAGCATGCTCTTGTGTATCGAATCAATTGGGAGACATAAACCCCATATGCAGGTGATAAGGGAATATTGCTACGTAAGTAAGGAAAGTTGAAGATAGAAAAGTTGAAGCGTTTATCATAAAGTTTTGTTGTTAGGTTACCATTAACGCTTTTTTTCTAGTTAAATATGCAAATATGAAATAGATATCTCAGACTCTGCGGTGTCTTTCATTTCAAGTTCACTGGGATATATCGAATCGACATATGAATGTAAGTAACTATTGTTAATTGGATAATACGACGTCGATATATCTAAATGTCGAGTTGAAGGCCATAGAAAGCGTTTTCTTCTTTTCATGTAGAAGTTTTTTTTTAAAAATAAATTCTGCTTCATATGAATACAAAAATAGGTCTGCTAGTAACTGAAGAGATTTTGCTGTGATAGATGCTAAAAAGTAATTCCTTTAATGTTTTTCTCGCCTTTTCCCTCAAATGTAAGTAAATGTATTCATTATATTTTTAAGCATTTATCTAGAACTCAAACAATTCAGTCAAAGGGCCGAGATCTAGGGTGAAATCCAAATTTGGTGACAAATTTCCATCCTCCATCGATTTTTTTCACCCGATCTAACAAAATTTTGATATCCCAAAATTAGGTTAAACAATTTAATTTTCAGAAGATAATTTCAGTTAGGATATTTTCAAGCATGATCTGCTTGTATCACATCAAATCCTCTAATGAACACAAAAATAAAATGCGTGTATGAATTTTACTTTTTGCTGATTTTTGTCCCTGAAGTATTCACATACATCCTTACAAAGTTTTACTAAAAATATTGGTCCTTCTGGAAAAAAATTTCGAAAGGTTTTCTACATTTATCGAATATCGTATATACATCTTATAGAAATAAGTTTTGAAATATTATTTGTAGATAAAAAAAAAACAATTGAACACTCAGAATGACAAATAGGCTATCGACACTTAAACGATGTATAAATTCATATGGTTTTCTTAATAGAGCTTACAAAACCTTAAGATATTTAGAATGGGTGGTGATGCTAATTTGATAAAAAGATAATTGAACACTAAGGGAAAAAAAGAAATACGGTGAACACCAAGTTCATGTTTCATAATGTAACGAAACCTTGAAATATTTACAATGCATGATAATCCAAATTTTACAGAAAGACAATTTGTTCCAACAAATTCAGCATGTAAACTTCTTTTTAATTAAACATACACTTTTTGTAAATTTTCCATTTATTTTCCGTGATTTTTTTTACCTAATTATGTATGACTTTCTCAAATTCAAGAGATTTGATAATTGAAACAGTTATATTTTGCCGTTGTAAAAATAGACACATGTGTTCATTAACATTTGAAATAATAATTAACTGAGTTGGAAATGTCAGGGGATTTCTTTTGTGATATTCAATTTTGTCTTTTCGACCACTCTTTATCGTTTATTGTGACTCTGTGATCCACTATTGATACACAGCCGAACCTATGAACGACTTTAAATGATGAATAAAATGATGAATAATTTTTTTGTCAATTCTCTTCCAGACGACGTCCTCTCTTTTCCACAGATAGATAGTACTATCTTTCGGCGCCGCTGGATGGAATACGAACAAATACATGTATCTACTATGTCCAAACAAATTTCTAATATGTCCGAACAAATCTCTAATTCGTTCAAACAAATATCTAATTCGCCCGAACTTATTTCTAATTTGTTCGAGGCGAAGTCTAATTTTTCAG